AGAGATAACAAGTTGTCAAAATGCCTCTGAGTGCCTCCTTCTATTTCGTCTTCATTTAGTCACTCATTTGATCTGGCACCAATATCAAGTAGCAATTCACTGGCGGATACCACGTCTACCATACATAATATCCGCTATATTTGGATCCCGTACGTGACGATAGGGGTAGTAACAAAGATTAGGAGCAGTAGTTGAAATGCCGAGCGGTTGTCGTTTTACAATCGCCGTTTTGAGCAAAGCTACGGAACAACAAGACAGCTGCAACAGAGAAATCATGGTGCTTTTACACTGGAAGAAAGGCTGGACATGTCGCATACGATAGAATAGAAAGCAAAGCGAGTGATTCAATGGTTCGGGGAGCGATAACTGCATCCGCTAGTCGCTAAAGACGTGACAACGCTACAAAATCGTCGCGTCGACCTTTTGTGTGGAAACAATACCAGTTTACGACATTTACGCAGCGTCGGCCCTGCCAAACGCTTTGGCAGTTGACGCATTTCAATCGCGACATTGTTGCCGCTGTTACAGATGTTATTGGCGATACGGGCACACTACGGGGGGTAACAGAAACTCCATACGAGACGACTTGTTTGCGCACCAGGCCTAATGGTGTAACAATAAAATCTAGCAATCTAACCGGAGCTCTAACGTCATTGGTACTGCGTTCTATCGAATATATGCGAACAGATGTTTCAGATGCAAAAACGTACAACAAAGAATTATGCCTTTTTTTAATAATCAGCGTATTTCATTTTAAATATATTTCTAAATAGATTAAGCTCGATAGTGCCGACAAGGCGAACGCGTTGACATTGCAACCAAACTATCGTATTTGGCCTCTTATACGATGCGTAGGTTTGTAATACGTAAACCATCAGAATCTGCGGTACGCCAGTAGTCACGTAACGGGTGAAAAGACTGGAGCATCGAATACACTGCGGTTGATCATTATTACATTTATTATCGTATAGCGTCCGTCACGATCCTCTTTACGACTCAGTGCAAGCAAGGAATACAGTTTTAGACAATACATTTGTCGAACTTGCAAAAACAGCCCCTGACCTAGCGACATACTGCAATTACTCGAATAGTAACCAAATTTAGAAAGCTCTTGGTGCACATCAAATGTCTGTGGCCGCATTAAATGTACTGGCTTGTCAAACAGGTTTGATCATTTTTAAGGCAAATATTTTGTGTATTTTTATATCTAAGTAATCTTACTAAGCTATATATACGCCATTCTGTTCTATGACCTTATGTCATTTTTCTATCATCATCATCATACGATCACGGTGGAACTTTTACCGCTTCTAAACAAGGATCAGTGGCCGGTGATTTTGGCGTTCCCTTATGAGACTAAATTAATACATCTGGGGGAGTTTTAGAAAGGCCGAAACAGAGGATCGTCGAATGGTGCAAGATCCGGGTCATCCAGCGGATGACCGGATCCTCAATCCACCGTTCAGGTTCTTTCAGCTTTTGTCGAGTAACTAAAATGTACGGTCTGGAATTATCGATGCTTATTTTTCACACAAATTCCAGTCAATCTTTTTAGTTGTGCGTTGTAATCTTCTTATCTGTTTATAGTAGAGACGCGAGCTAATCATACTGGGGCAACCACTCATAATACACGATTTTCTGTCGATCCCACCAAATTCAGAGAACATATATATATATATATATAAAATATATATATATATATATTTTTATTATTTTCGTATCTGATTCAGTTTTCATCATCTGCGGTCGACCGTTTTAGAAATAAGTCGATTCAGTTTTATTTTTGTAGAGTTTCGCAGATAAAAATATGGTCGAGTACGCACATTTTTGTTTTTATGATAAAAGTAGCAAAATGACATAAACTTATCTTCGTGTGGCACCCGAACGTACAGCCAATTTATTTAAATGGTTTGAAATTACTCAAATGGTCGATGTTTGCTTACTTGGTAATATCACGGCTACTCGCGTGCCAGCCTTGCGCAGTTCTCGCAATAATTCCATCACCCTCTTTCGAATTTGATCGACCACTGCGAGGAGCATCTTTCGCATCGAAATTTCCGGGACGAAAGTGATATAACCATCGTTTATCATGATGAAAACACATTTTCGTCATAAAGAGGACAACTTTTTATAGGCCTGGGCAGCATTTGTGTATTTACCATAAAATGAACAATATAACAAATCTATGTAAACATTTCCCTTATCCTCACGGCGCCCTGTTTAAAGTCTGAACAGGGACATTTCAACAATCTAAAAAATTACATACAGAAAGAATTGCGGGTAAAATATTCAAATCATATTATTTGAGAAATAAACCAGTCAATTAGAAAAACAATATCTTTCCGACAACCCAATATAACAGGTGCAAAGATACAAACCCGCGCAATCAACTACAATGAGACGATAATAAACCATCTCTTGAAACGCTGTGTGTCTAACAAATGTGTTGTTTCTTCGAAGAGTACACTCAGATAAATGCGTGTCTGACAAGAATATTTTTGACCATTTCCCTCATTCGTATATAACTCGAAATTAAAATCGTAATCTAGTCGGCACGACAAGACGCTAGCCACTTTTATTACGCAGCTTAAATATCACGGCGTCGTCGATATACGCGTACGAAAGACACAAAAAAAAGCCTAAAATGCTCATCCAGTCGATTCGTTTATGAGGGGCAATGGTTACTTCATAAAAACAAAGCAGCGGAGAAAAGGTGATACGCTTCTACGTTAGTAATGTCGAGTAATTTTTAGACCTTATCAGATTCTCGAGCAGCGTGGGCAAATAAATCAGCAACAATGTACTACACAAGTCTATCTAGGACCAATGAAGAGGCATCTGATAATCAAGCAACGTTCCATTGCCTGGCGTACACATACAATGTATAGACAGTACGTATCCAGGTCGTATAAAAGTGCAATCTGTATTACTCATCTTGTAAGTAGCTATTACCTAAGGTACACATCATTTTTTCACACCAAAAGAGATCACAGGCGATCCGGCAAAGGCAATAATCATGGTGATAATGTCGCAGCGACATCATCAAACGGCAACAAAGCATTCGAGATTCAAGTTATGAAAGGGCACAGACTGATACCAAACGGATAAACTGTAATGAAAATCTATATGCACGCAAACGAAATGTACCAAGTATAATGAGAAAAGGCAGCGGAAGTCCGTCCCAGTCTGCTGATTTGTGGAAAACAGCGGCCTACATCAGACGCCGCTGCTAGGCCTAAACAAATTTCATTGGACAAATTCTCATCAGTTAGGCTGGCGGTAGAAAGCAGATCATTCCTGTGCTGATCATAATTATGATGATGGTTCTAATGATGCTAGTATAACAGAAGTCAAGAATTTGGAAAGGTAGTTGAAAGAATCGAAAATATGTATACCTTACATATTTTCTATTGTTTACATACGTCACAATTAACTAATGTCAAGGCGACCAAGACGATCTGTTTTCTAAGCTCATAAAAGCATACACACACACACACCTGTGCATTTTTTCGAGGGACCTTTTTGCGGCATATTATTTTGTAGATGAAAAATGCAATTCACGGTTCTTGCTGTTCTGTTTTGCTGAAACGATATCTCGTGCATTGAAATATGTCTGATTCAATTTGTGGTTTTACTTGAAATGGATACCTTGAAATTAACTAGTCCAGCTAACCACGAGGTATCTACTTCTCTCTAGTCCAAAACAAGATATGGTACCAGGAGGTTACTGTCTAAAAATACCCATACTGCGAGTCTTTCCATTTGAAGCTACCAGGTTTCAACAAACGAGCTCGCCAACATCGCAACAACAACGCTAACGACGCAGAGTAGCTCCAAATAGATACCTGGTAACTGCAACATTTCGACTAAATACGTGCACCAATGCAAGACGCTGGCAGCCCAAAGATGCTTTTTGCCCATCATTGGCGTCACGCACTGGAAAGGAAGTAGGCTTTAAAGCTTCTCTTATTAATATCTTCCCTAATCTTCAACCTATCCTTGTAAGAGAACCATGAAATGATAAAGCGGCAGAGGTCAAACGTTCTTTCCGCACACGAAGCCAGTTACCGCCAATGCTAACGTGTGTTTTCATGCTCATACAATTATTGCGCTTTTTTTTAGTGGGCTGGGGCGCCCTTGATCGGCAGATGACCAAGTCCGCACTTAGACTGGCTGAATCATTCACAGATAGGAATGTCACAAGGAAACATCCACATAAAGATGATATCATTTCCATTGATTATTTGACACTATAATGTTTACCGTATTGACACAATATACACATTTTTAAACAGTTTTACAAGATAAATACGTAGACCATGTAACCCACAAAATCGGCGTGATGCATGCATTTAAAGAATGCTATTAATTTGCGTTCGTAGGCTTTCACGGAATAACCTTTACGCCCTGAGTTATTCAAGTAGTTGCACATTATTTCAAGCCCGTTGTTTTTCAGAAATAATGAAAATGGCTTCTTGTACATTATAGCTCAGATCGTTTATAGCTAACCGCTAAATTGGCTGCTTATCGACATAACATAATTTTAAACTGTAATAGTCTAGTGCTGCAATAACCAATTCCTAAACATGTACGAACGTTAACGCCGTCACAACTGCGAATAACATTACCCTATAGCAGACGATAACGTCCCGTATTACACGCCAACAAGCATGAAATCTAGACAATAATCATTATAACTCTCTCCTTCAACTTGGTTTAATCGCATCTACAGCAATATTCTTTTAAAACAAACTTCATGGGCCTAGCTAAAACTTAAGCATAAATTACCTGTCTCGAGACTGTTGATTACCTTTGCGGTAGTTAGTCTGTAAATAATTAGGAATTACCCCGTTGCGGAGCCTATAATGCGCTGAGTCCAGAAATAGCAATATATAATAGCACCCAAACAGATATAGAAAAAAAACCGATGAGATAAGATAGTCTGCGCGTAACACGAGGTATAGATTATCGAAAATTGAGTAAAATAATTACTGACGTACCGATTTCGCTGGGCTTTGGTTGACAGAACTTTCCGCTAGAGATGCTAGACAGTGTCGGATACTCTCCACCATCTAAAAGTTCAGATTAAAAAAGGAGTCGCAGAAAACGACGCTAAAATACACAATAGGTCGAATATATATGCAGCTACACTTAAGCGTTCGTACTAAATTTTTCGAAGTCGTTATATTTATTTGTACACATGTCCACAAGAGGTGATCTTTTTTAACTAAATGTTCGTCATTTTCAAAAAAAGTTAGACAGCAGAGTCTCCTACTTAGGAACGTAAAATTATCCACATGGTCCTGTAGAATACCTCTTGAAGAGACGTAACTTTAGACCGTTCGCAAATTCTCATTTCCTTAGCTGATTGTTTATAATAGAGTAAGAAACACTCTTGATTTTCATGAATTTTAAAGCACACTCAGCAGCCACACAGAGAACGTTCTGAATAAAATATGCTGGTAATAAGTTTTGATACTTTTAAGAATTTCAGTGTATGTTTCAACTAATTCATATTTCATTTGCGAGCAACAGCACCTCAAAAATGCTACTGTTGATCGTGTAGGGTTTTCATTACCTTCCCTAACAAATGATATTGAACTTAAAATCTATCGGATGTCTCATAGATCTTAGGTGGTTGAGAAACGTATACGGTTGACGACTAGCCGCTCGGCCGAATATTTGAAGTTTGCCTGAATACGGATTGATCTTCATTAGTCAGACACACATACATTTAAGCCGGATCGTGTGCCTCTCCTATACGGTCAATGTAATGATAGCTGACTCTATTAATGATGAAACCTTTGAATTTGAACCGGTGAATTTGCTTTACAAATCAATACTAGCCAGACCGGTATTGGCCAATGTATTTTAGCGTGCGAGGCATCCTCAAGCAGACCCATAACTAGGTACAATATATAAAATACCGCAGAATTATTTTAGTGACTCATAACGATTATACACAAAAAGGTTGATCAAGTTAGTAAAATCACGTCTCTACTACGACCCAATTCGACAACTGTGCTCTAGTGTCTTATCTGATTTATATAGTATGATCTGATGATATGACACAGATATATATATATATATGTCGTGTTATTTTAATTATCTTAACTTTTTTTTGTTAACCTGTGACATTCTTGGCGATCGAAAAACTAAAAACATTCATGTTTGACTTTGGCAAATTATAGGTGAATTGGGGCACGTATTGGTGTGGAACATGATGAGCACTGCGAGTTGGAGAATCATGTTGTGTAATTATTAAGCTCTTTTAGGAAACAATTCGTTTTGAACTTGTAGAAGAATCAAGCTATTAGCCGAGGAAAACTTGGCAAAACACAGAAAAGCACAATATTTAGGTTAGTGAGTTATTTGATTGTGAGCATCTAGACAGGAATACGACGTAATCTATCCATTCTACCGATTTAAAATCTAATTTCCGTACTGAACGTATTTTCACACAATAATATAATACTATATAGCATTAAAAAAATATATATATATAAAGCAGAAAAAAAGACCTGTTTTAACTTAATATATCCGCATAAATTGCTCCGGCAATAATTATTAAGGAGTTATCGTAATCTCTCGCTAATGACAAGTTAGATATTAGCTTAACGATTGAAAATTCTCGCCTGTTTTAACCTAAAACAACATAGTTAACCTATTTAGATCGACACAAGGAATATATCTGCATATAGGCGGGAAAATGTAATCACACACTTCTAAGACTGAAGTAAAAAATTTTGCAAACCTCCTCATTTTTTCACTTATTGCATAGGGATATTGATTGATAAATTTAACTTTCTCGTTACGTACGATACGCATCGCGTCTAATTTAGTAATGTATGAGGAAACGAAGTCACGTTTTACCGATTACGGATTACGAATATAATACGATTAACTAACTATAGCAATAAAAATGACAGTAAATAAATTAACGAAATTGATCATAGGTCACGCACCTCATCAGCCAGTGTATCAAAAAGCTGCTTCGTAAGCTGCTTGCATTTGATGATGTTTCCCGTGTTGATAAGAAGAGTCTCCGTAGCTTGGATGGTCTTATTTGATTGCATCTTCTCTTGTTTTGCTGTCCTTAGATTTTTGATAAAACAATATTGTAGACCTTTAATACACCTTTAATACTGTTCTCACAAATCGTCACAAGTACACAGACTGCTAGAAAGCTAATTTCACAAATGCAATAGTAATGATAATACCAGTTGACGACCCGAGCTCAGGATCAGCTAATATTTTGTAGGGAAATTCTATGGTATCGTTTCGAAAAGCATAATCTATCAGTGCTCGTACTAATCAAATAAAAGCAACTGTACCGCGGAGTTGACAGAATCAGATTAGCTAAAGGAGTCATACAATGGATACAGAGTAAGAAAAGGGCTTCACGAGTGAAGACGACCCCTTTTGTTTTTTATTTGCTCGAATTTTTCCACCGATAACCGAGAGTCGCAACCGGTTAGGTTAGTGAACGTCTTCTACGAGAACAGTTATCCTCTGCAGTTGACGACTGCTTTATATTACGAAGAACCAAGAACTCTTTTCACACAAGGTACAATTGTCACTGAGGGAAAAAAGCCCGCTTTTATATTCTTACACTAGCGATTTATTGATGCTGCCACTAGCGACCAGTGACTTTGCCATAGAGGCTCCCAGAGAGCAATCATAACAGCTCGATGGCAGGCAGCTAGAATAGATGCGGTTACAATTCACCACACGTATCCCCACGATAAACCATCGCTGACCGTCGTCCAGCCTCCACCGTAAACTCACCGTACTCTCACTCAATTTCAGCAACGCCACAACCACAACAAGCACCGCTGGCGCCGACTGATACTACAGTCGCCGAACTAAAGCCGGCGCCACCGTTCCGAGATCTCCTTTCCCTCGTTCGATATCACTCACCCAGCCGCCTAGCCGTTCTCACCCTCACGTTGGTTCTTTGCCTGCTCGACCTGGAACACTCTGTTGACAACAGCAATTGTTATAGGCAATTTTCGGAAGTAGTAGTTCGTAACGCTACGAGGGTTATCCTAGCATACCGCTGCATGACAGAAATTGAGAAAGAATTATTATGGCACAGATTAAATATTACTGTAAAACACTGAAAGATGTAGTCGAAACTGGAACACAGCGGTTACGGGACGAAGAGCAGGGAAACGCAGTAGAGTCAGCCGTATCCGTGCACAAAGCGACAAAGTCTCGCTGTAGAATGGTTGGCTGACATAAAACGCGCTTGCATTTAGCGTCGAGATAACCCACATATAAGTAACAATCAGCAAGTTTTTTGATGAAGTACGGAAACAGCTATACCCATGTGCGCTATGTGGTAATTAATATCAGGTAGAAGACAAACTATACAAGTTTTTGTCAGATGACATATTGCGCGTGGGTCCCGTGCCGGCTATGCCCCACGGCAGAATTGGCTGTTAAGATGCAGATGCGCCATCGGATACTCTTGCAGTTAAGTCAGTAAACTGAATCGACTTGACTAACTCGCGAACAGTAAAAGCAAGCATGACGGGCAAGGGGACGACCTGCGAGGGAGTACAATCTTTTTTGCAATCAGATGGTCTTTCTGGCGGTAATTTTTCTGGGTTGGCATCTGATGTTCCTTAAGCGTCCATAAGACCACGACCTAATATGCAACCATGCCAAAAACCTATCCGGATTCAGAAAACAAGAACTTAAAATATGTAGACTGAAACTCATTGGTTTGTCATTTAATAGATCTTCGCTGAACTTCTTTAATAAATATTTATAAAAGTCACCTGGTAGATTGGGTTGAATTTGCATTTGTATGTGTCCTGAAGGTCGGACTGAGAAGGAATAAATGGCGCTTTTAGTAAAAAAAAAAAAAAAAAAAAGGAAGTTTTCAACTACCTGTGCTTGAGCAATCCACCCTCAAACAATCCCCCTTTTTCTTCCTGCCAAAACTTTGATTTTTAAGAAGTTCAAAAATTTTGGTTTAATGCTTGCTTGTCAGTGTAATTGATCAAATGCAGGACAGCTGTTGTGCACTTTTTTGATTTTAGAGAAAATATATCCGTGCTGATGATCCGTGTTTGCAAGTTGGATAAATCATCGCTACAATATCATTGTCTTCTCCCTCTCACTCCTGTCATGCAACCTAATGTTTAACGCTAAAGGAACTTGTTTAGTGGTAACCGTGGCGGATCTTCATAAAACAAAGAACGCTCCTTGTGGATGCGTTAAGACAAGCTATCTCCTTTATAACAGTAATTTGGTTAATAACTAGCCAGTTTGACAGGTTGTGCGATATACTGACGGCTAACCCTTTTAGCCAGCTAACGGTACATCGTGGCGTATTAGAAAGCCACGGCACTTTCCAATACCTAGCATCGCCCGTAGTGTCACCCTGTTATTTGAATCGCAAATGTCGACTCTGTGAAATATAAGGGGCTCTGTATAGTCGACGCAACGAATGGCCACAACTTGGACGATATTTAAATTGCTTTATTCAAAAAATTGTTTTATTTTAGATTAGTTCAGAGAAGAAGCTTGGTTCCTAACATGATTTGAACGCTCCTCAAAAACACATTTCACTCAGTTTTTTTAGGTCGACTTGATGATTCGAGTGCGCCTTTATTCTCAGGGAATAAATCTCCTTTTCAGATGAAACAGAAATTTTTACTAATCTAAACTATCTATACACCGAGTATGAACCGTGTCAAGTAAATACACAGTTTTAGCAAACGCAACCTGCTTAGATTAAATAAATGTTTCGAGTGTATGTTTAATACTGCCGTTCGGTGTAGCTTTAGATGGAATTTGTTTGAACTGAACAGTAAATTGTTTCGGTCTTTCAATGTTCTTGTTCGAGTTACGGATGTATAGGGCTTAGCATGTTGATTGTTTACATTGATTGATACAGACAGTAAAAGCCAACGAGCCATTGCGGCTCACAACTAAACGTATGAATATTCGTTTTTCCCGATGTCGATTGGTATAAAAATTTTAGTTCTGCTTACGCTTACTTTAGTTTTTTCTACCTCGTTCGAGTATACGTATAACAAGAAACTCAGTACTGTATCTATGTCATCCTACAGTGCTTTACGAAATTGCCCTACCTATCTACTGCAGATGTGGATTGGCCATTATGGTATTACCTTGGGCAGAACATTAAAGCGTTGAACTTGTTTGGTCCATGCGTGTGCCCTCCGAACATGTAGTAACTATTACACAATATCCGGAAGCTTTCAACATCCAACCGGGAACAGCACACGTCTCGTTCTAAAGAAAACGGTTATTCTCATTTTCTTACTTAGATGCATTGACATGTCTGCATGCGTCTGTTGATGACGACATATTTTCGAGTGACTCACTCTCATCTTACTTGTTCAGCTATTTAATAGGAATCTTGAAAAAGATGGAATTTAGTTAAGTAACAGCGTTGGCCTGTGTAAGAACAGCTACTGAGCTTTTCCATTCTTCTAACCACACGACGGGATAATTAGGACATCCATGTCAAATTTCTAATAACTTGTTCGTCAAAGTCTAGAATTTCCTGTTTGAGGTACATTTAAATTCGCTAATAAACACATAAGCCATGTTCCAGTATCATAATGGCCCCAATTTTTGGCAAGGGATTTTATAGGTTCATAACACATGCACAGGTGCAGATTACAAGTGCAGCGGTTTGAATTGTAGTGGTCAGCTTTAAACGCGAAGTGCATCACAAAACCAGCAATTTTAAGTAGCGTATATAGTTTGCGAAGGTTGTGTGTAAATCAAGAATAATCAACGCGGGTGCCGCTTTATAGGGACGTGCATCTACACATTCGCCTGTTACGTTCGGCAAGCTGAATCCCAGGTGCATCTGTTTATGCTCTTTTTTGAAAATAGAAACGAAATATTTAGACGGTAGTTCGGACATTGAGTTCTAACTCATTACACTCTGACCAGTTTCGTGAAAACAAACGAGTTCATTATGTTCTTTGGAAGCGTGGGCCTTTTGATCTTTCTGCATATGTACTGTGCTACGACAATGTTCCCAAAACACATGCTTCGATACCCCGACGTGATCCGGCAGTTTCGTGATGCAGACCCATGGTAGGTGTTAAATAAAACCGACGGTGATAAAGGCAGCGTCTACATAATGTCTGCGTTCGAAACATTCGATTTTACCAGACTCGTGATACTTATACCAGAAAAATACGACTTTTGCTGGCTGTTGTAAATGGCCAACGGCACATGGATTGTTGTAATCGAAGAGGGCGCTAACACGTCCCTCCCCATGTAAGCTGGTGCGAAAACAGCAATTTTCTATTGATAGGAAAATTGATAGGATTTAATCTGCAGAATATCAGTAGTTGCCGAGTATAATGTTAATATAGTTCTGGACGTAAAACTCGGAACTTTGTGCACAAGCTATATGCAGAACATAATTATTTTAGTTAAAGCTAAATATAAAACGTTATAATTGAGTTCATAGCCACGCTTATATTGGGAGGTGTTGAACAAATATAGTACATGGTAGTTTTATGGTTAGTTACATTAACTAAAAGGATAGCTAATACATTAAACAAGAAAGCGAATTTAGGAAAAATCGAATTTTAGGTAGGAAAACTGTAAAACGATTGTCCCTCAAGACGTGTTAAGTGTTAAGAAAATCTTTAGTTTATCGCTATATGTATGTTAAAGAAATGAACAATCTAGAAAATTAACTTTTAGCAGATTTAACGTATCAAGGGCTTTATTGGTGAGAAGGTTATCAATAAAATTGATTATACTTTATTGTTATCACTGTAATAATTTTAGGTTCTTAAAATCCCTTCCCGATTTCAATAAATTTTTCGTGTCTCAAATTTCTGTTCAAAAAATAAATCATTCGGGGGAGAGCATCTACATCAACAAAGAGCTCATGGAAATCGACGTCAAGTACGGCAAGGTTAGTGCTCGCATCTGCTTTGTGCTCCCCTGCGTTTGCACCAGAAAAAACCCCAAACTCATCGTCATTCATATATAAAGGAATCAATCATCAGCCAGTTCATCTAGTTCATGTAAAGAAGTGTATTATAAGTACGATTAAACTGCTTTCACTTGTAATCAAACATTGGAAGTAGCGGCATCAGTGGACGTTGAACAAACTTGATTATTTATTTCAATATTTTTAAATACAAACAGATCGAAGAATATCGCAGCACAATCGCAGGCATATACGGCATTTTATATCAGGGCATCGACACAATTGGGAACGGTCTTTCTTACGACAAAGCACTCGTTACCTTTAATGTGAGCATGCCTTTCGATGAAGAACCCAATGCTAGGCTGGAAATTGGTTCGAGTTTCCCGGGCATCTTTGAAGTGATAGCTATGGGCACGACAAACTATGTCCCTGTGAAAAACATCTGGAAACTGCACTCTATACCGCTACTAGTGACTGAAGAAGGTCGTTACTTCAATATTAGCTTGGACTTCATTACGGTTAGTTGTGTCACGCATGATTTATAGGGAGACAATCGTTGCTAAAGAATATGTGCCCGGAGCTGCATGTATAACGTGAAGCAGCCGAGGGTTTTCTGAATTTTACCATACAAATAATTGTGGAGATTTTATCGTTCTCTCAAGTGCATCTAAAAAATGTCGCTCATATAGAAAGCCCTTAGGTCTAGCTGCCATAACAAGCTTAAACCATATAAGAAAAATCGCTAATTTAAATCTATAGCTATGGCTTCAGTCGTCAGCCTGTCTTATTGAACATTAGCTAAACTTTAAATGTATGAAACGAGAAATGTAAGAAATAGACACACAGAAAAAAAATATTTTGTTTTATTAATAAAGAAATATCTGCATATTAGCTTTAAATTTATTGATACATACATATTAACATATAAAAATCGGCGCCCTTGGTCTCACAATGACGCATTCAGTCCTATTACAACGTGCATTTGAAACTTTTAAATATGTTGAAACCATAGGTTTCGCTCAAGTCGAATGAAGGTAAGGTTTTTATTGACAATCAGATCAGCGGTTACTTGAACCTGGAGTGGAACATCAAAAGTAACTCGGTTTTGCTGTACGGAATGCCTGGAGTCGGCGAACTTGACCCACACAACACAATCATGATCAATTTCAAAAAAGAACCTCAGTGCTTGTATCGGCAACAGGAATGCTCACAAATTAAGGTAGCACATTTTTTTGTTTGTTAATTAATTTCCTACCATAGCTTTGAAATAAAATCATAAATTACAGATTACTTTACGTAATAATGGTTTAATTTGAATAATTGGTTGTTTTCGTTGTGATCGAATCAAGAGGTGTGGTTAAGATCAGTGACAACATGTAGCTCCTTCTTTTTTATACAACGGGTAGTTCTTTTTATTAATATTATTATTAAAAAAAACCTTAAACTTACTTAAAACAGGTAAATATAAAATCTGAGCTTTGGAACTCAGGTTATACCGTTAGGCCTTCATTTGAAGCCACATTTGCAACAGAATTCTCTTTGGTTGACGATCGGATATCAGCAGCCAAATGTATAGCGGAACTGTACGGTGTTCAAATTATGGATTTACATGGACTGCAATTTGTCAGCCAGAAACTCGAAAGACAGGCTAAAGGACCATCAGTTGTCGTATCTAAAATGAATGGAACGATCCTTCATAAGCACCTTGATTGTGACATTATACAAAGTGAGTAACACCGCCTAGCCGAAATTTGCTGTAGCATGTTTAAAATTCAAGAGAACAAAATTCAGATCACATGGAAGTTGAATTGCCTTTCTTTTCAATTTTGCATAAAAACAATGAAGTAATTTGCAGTCACCTTTCTGAAAACATTTAAACGTTTTCTTAGAGCAATTAAGTAGAGAAGTATTCAAAATCTTAATCACAGTGTAGCAATAGAAAGATAAAATACGCTACCTACTAAAATTCCTACTAAAAATACCTACTAAAAAAGAATGTCGGTGGTCTGATCTAGCCCTGCACACATATATATTTATTGATAAAATATTATTATGGTGCACAAACAATTCCTTAAACAAAATGTTAAAAGATAAAGATTAATGTTTGCAGAAATACAATAATAATAAGTTAGCTGAATACATATGCTGGACATTAGTACGTTCTGGAATGGAAAGTTGCCTCTTTCCCGTGCTTGGTTGAGGAGACGCATGTTTGCCCGCAACGGCACTACTGCATAAAATGACCTTTCGCGCGACATAATATGTTCTAGAATTTTGACATAATAATGTTTAACACAAATAATGCCAGCGAAAAAATTCACTTCACTTTGTTCGTATGTTTATTTTTATGCAACAAATGCTCTACAATAATTGTTGGCTCAAATATACGGTACTCTCCATGTGTTTCGTCTATTTCTTTTTAGGAATAAAAGAAATGAAATATCCCGCGAGGTTACCGCAATGCGAGTGGTCGTTGCTTTCACTTAAACATGATTTGAATTACGGGAAGAAGAGATGTGATCATTTCGAGAGCTTTCATCCTAAAGAAATAGGCAAACCGGACCGTGGCGACCCGACTAGATATGGCGACGGATTAAGCGTTGCCTCGGCAAATGCAGATGGACAGTTACGACTTATGAAAGTGATAGGATCATCAATGAGGCAAGTTGCAAGTATGCCAGGGAATTCTACCTTCTACAGAAACGGTACCAAGGGTTAAGTCTGCCAGTACCAATGAAATCTCGACAAGTTCCACTAAGTATGTCTAGAAAAACCGTGGCTGATTAATGATGGTTAGTTACTTTGCGATATGTAGTTGCATTTAGAAGCTTTTTGCTTTTTTTAATTAAAATATTCTCCATTAACCTGAACCAAATTTTGGTTCCGACGCAATTTAATCTACAGATCATACACTACTGTGGCGGAAATAGAAGGGACAGAGAAAAATTTGATACCACATTCTGCCGGCGAACACGAAAATGGCGGGAGTGAAAACTCTACTGAAGCCGGTATGAACTACTGCAGTTATTATTTATCCTAGAAATATGTATATTTCATATATTCATAATTAGGTTACTGGAGCAGTTTGTCGTGAGCCCTAGAGCTGCGGCCAACTGTTTCTTGCCAAATAGGCGAATCAGTACAATAACATGCTATGCAGTATTACAATATCTGACTCTGAACTATGCACTTTATGCTCATTGCTATTATTTTGGTGATGCAATTCTGATGACATTCACCTATTTTTGGGTTCGTTGTTCGGGATGATCTAATGGCACGGATATCGATTGCCACATTGACGACGATCTACTTGAAGCAACCCCATCAAACCCAAAACCTTCATGGGGCGAACTGCATGATATACCCTACAAGTCACGCCTAGTCCATCTTACCATCATTTTTAGTGCTCTAGCAGGCGTCGCAATAACCGCATTTATTAGCGTGCTCTGTTATTATTGGCGTCGGGATTTACGTAGCTACCCTCCGCATCATTCGTGATCTCAAATGTTATCTGAAAAAAGAAGCAAACGTTTTATAATCGAATCAAGTTTTTATATTGGCGTCGCCTCAGAAGAACCTGTGCTTTTCTCACCCGACATACATTAATTCATAATTATCGTGCCAGTTATCGATATATGGCCACTTCGCTCGCTTTGTAAAAACAGACTTAGTTTAAAACGTCGCGGAGATACCATTTGAATATTACTACAAGCAGCGTCTAATTACAACACATTTTTAACGTGTCCTACCAATGTAGAGTACACCCAGGGACTGTGAAATCGGAAATTTCGTTAACATGTTTTTCAACGACTTTTACGAATGTGTAATAAATCGAATCAAATTAATATAATAATTTTTTTAGCTCAGTTAGCAGTTGAATTCAAGGAAGTTAGTGTGTTACAGTCCTTTGTAAAAACAAAGTTAGCTAAATTTTTAGTTTTTGATGCCGCTCGTATCGAACGGCATCGAAGGTATTTTCAGGTTATTTATCGATCATTCATGTATACTACACTACAATATAGATAAAATAAATTCCAAATTGTTGATATACGTATGTGTAGGTAGGAAATGTATTATTTAATATAATACTTAGCAAGGTTAACCATTCAAAATGACTTCTCAGTTATAATTCGAGTTAACGACAGTGTCAATTGTGTGTGATAACTATGACTATGGTTTTATGACTCGTTGATATTGGCCAAGGTTCCCAACCAACTAAAAGATGCATATCTTTTGCTTACACACTAAACGCATAATAAACCTGAATTCCTACTTTCGAAATCGACAACTCCGACAACCAACGAACAAAATAAAACCTAACAATAAGCAAATTGTTTTATTTATTGGGTATTTGGTCTTTCTGTTTTTGCTCTATATATTCTAAACCTTTTTCTATGTATTCATAATAGGCGCTAGCTTGAAAGTGTGTGCCAGATGTGGGAAAGAATCAAGAGCAACGATCTTGGAAGACACTACGGATAACTATTAATGTTTACGCCCATGTTGACTTCTTATATAAGGAACCACTGTTGCTGGAAATATTAGACCGAAAGCTTCTAAATTAAATTTCACGTCAAGAATCTTCCACAACATTATGCGTATACTTCTCATGTTTTACCTTATGCAGGAGTGCCTTACACTCTACAAGTGCGGTATCATTATTCAGCGTCCTCAGTTTCACCTAAAAATTTATTGATCTATCAGACGGCTAGATTGCCGAACATCTATCACATACGAATACTTAATGTAGAACGAATGCGGTAAGTTAAATTTAAGTGAACCAATTTCAGTTACGCGAAAGGGACTAGAACAAAATAGAGGTTAGTCTGTTAAGTGAAAATCTAAAAATTGTTCATTGTTTGAAGAATATCCTAACCAAATGAGCTTTCTACCCTAGCCGGGACTTTTTATTGCAATCTAAACCATATGCGTTTACCTCTGCGAAAAAATCATTAGGTTTTTGGAAACAGCAAGTTTGAACGTATACTTAATGCTTTAGTAAATAACAAAAGAGAAAATTCCTTACACAAAGATCCTCAAACAAGGATCAGCAGAATTGGTCTATGAAGTTCCACTTGCACTCATAAAATATAGCACGTACGCTAAAGTTTGCTAGTCGTTTCAGTCCAAGCAAATCACTGCCGAATCCGAATAAATTCCATACAATTTTTCGTTATAAAACGTAATAAAAAAAAATAAATAAAATGCAATATTGATCCTAACGCAGTATTGATACTTTCATCCACTTAAAAACCATGCTGTGTCCTTCGAACTGAAACGATTATCTTTAATCTTGTGCATGGGTTACTTAAGCTCGTAGCACAAGTTGCTGATATAACCCATATAGAACAGACCCAAGTTATCAGGCTCCTACAAGCAAATCCAGCGGACTTTGAAATTGGATAATTTTCCGTTTTTGGTGTTGAGTGACGATTTTAATATGTGTTAGAAATACTCGTCTTTATTTTTGCGCACTTGCCCCAGCGCTTTAGCAGCTTTTAGACAGCCATCCCCTATTCTTCATAGCTCCCATATTCAATTTCTCTATCTACGACTTCTAGAAGTGAATAGTGGATGTCCTTAGCTCCCAGTTGCCTTTGTTAGGGCATCAAAAGTCCAGTAATGACACGGACTTGGAAAATAAGGGGGTTTTGCTCAATTCAGGAAATAATTGAAGCAATACAATGGGACCAGGCATTGTTATTAAATAGCCAGACTACGTACTAGAAGTATCGTGCCAGCAATACGCGAATCCCTTGAAAAACTCGAGCAGTGGGCTGCATTCACTTTTCTATTTTCGGTGAATAGCAAATGCCCCTGACGTCAATCGCAAGTATTACTATAACCTTACGTTCCATCCTATTTATCGCACTTAATTTCTGTACAGAGCGACGCTATTCTTTTACTTGGTCTTTCTCCAATCACTGTGCGCGCTTGGGTCTTCACCTGTTTTGCTACAGATCTTATGAACAAGAACTTTTACAAACTACCAAATCACTAAAAAGTCAATTTCATAAGCTTTACCACATCCATTAGCTCATTAGGCGGGACTGTCTTTTCGCGTTAAGTTGATGTGTAGAATTTGCTTATACCTCACACAGAAGCATAACAACTTTTCGAATGTTTTTTTTTTTATACAAAAACAAACTGGAGTCTTGAGGATCAACTTGCAGAACCTAGTTTTATATCTGATTCTTTTGACAATGCCATTTCAAAGCCGGTTTAAGCATTTGCCAGAGGTGCTCTCGACAGACATGCGTACCTTCTTTTCTTCAAAACACCTGTAGGGGCATAGAATGATTTCCACTATCATATTACCACCATCCAAAGCGTCAGCTAACGCGCTGTCCAAAGCTTAAACATTCAATTTATTCCCATCAAAATTGAAAAAATAACGTTATCCATTCTGTCACAGTTCCCTGGCGTGGAAAACACTAATTGAATGCTATAACATGCAATAAATCCAACCCGCTTTCTAAATCCCATTTCATCTCGTCAGTTTGAAGCTTATTCCTTCTCGTATGACTTATATTACAGTTTATATCCTGTCCAGCCTGGAAATTAGACAAGATTGCCTAGTCACAAAAACACACAATATCTAAAACCGATTCTTCGCCTCAAATATTTTTATTTTTACGAGTTTTTATTTATGTCGTTTTTCGTTTGTTACACGCACCCTTCTGCATTTGTTAACCGCGGCGCTGGCACTTGCCACACAGTTACTTGTCTAGTCACTGCCACAGCTCGAAAGATGACAAAAGTCCCAGCACCATAATCATATGACCAACATATACATCAACCGCTTCCTCTTTTTCTCGTTTTTTATTTTCAATTATGTTTTTATGGTTACTTTTGTTTCTTGTTGTAACCGATTTATGTTTGTTTTTTGCATGATGTCTGTCTGTTCGTGTAAGTGCACGTGTGTCTGTATATTTAGTTAAAGCGGTACAGTTTTCGCATGTATTTCTATGTGTAATTCTTTAGAGAGGGCTGTATTCTATTGGTTCACATTTTGACTAAGAACTAGACGTTTGACCGTGTCATCCGTGCATTTTTTTCGCTTTTATGACTATTTTCTGTCTTTACACTCAGCATTTGCTAGTAAGAAGTCGCTGTTGCATTGACAAATTAACTTCCACTATTCGTAGACATCCTCCTTGTCAGCGATGTAGCGCACAATGTCCTTGACTCGCAGAAGTTTTTCAGCGTCCTGATCCGGAATTTCGAAGCCAAATTCGTCCTCAATTGCCATTATCACCTGAGGGATGAAAAACGAAATGTAAATTAGCCATACTTGAATCCAATTTTCTGATCTTTACAACTAGACTATTGTTGCAATCGCTACCTGTATATATAATATGCAAAAAACCTCAGTTACGGCCTAGCATTATACTTAACATACCTCAACACAGTCAAGTGAATCGAGTCCCATGTCATTTACAAGATGACTTTCCACACGGAGCTTATCGGCATCGATTTTGTCGTAGAGCTTTAGAACGAGCATTACACGATCCTCAATAAGTTGTAAAGACATTGGAGGCTTATCCGAATATTTCCGTAGGCTTGTAGTCTGCTCAGATAAAAAGCGGAATAGAACAAAACGTTAAAAAAGTCTTTTACGTAAAATGACAGTCGTAATGGTTGCTTTAAGATGATCATGCAAATTCGCTATAGAGAAATACTCCGATACAGTTCCAGACGACAGATGTAGTAAATGATATAATTGCTGTGAATCTTAGGCAAACTATACATACACACCAAACACTTTTGAGCATAGGTAAAACTACCGCATCTTGGCTAACGCGACTTCAAACGCTTCTTGTTCTATATATAATTTACTTCAATCGTAATTGCGGTTATCAGGGTCACAGGAATATCTTCATTATATATTCAATACCTAACAAACCTAGTTCCTTAGTGGGCAAGACTTGAAATCTCAGAGACTTCGCAGCTTTCTAAAACGGATTTCTTCTAATATTCTTGACAACGAATTCTAGAACACTTCTTATCATTTCGGTATTCATCTGAGATGGTCAAAGGACAGTTACTTTGGACTGCGTACATTTGACCGCACTCATACTCGCGTTGTCATATGAACGCTGTAGCTGGCTGGCCGATGACAGACTAACACAGCTCTGTAACTCTTAGTCCGTCAACTGATACCGGAAAATCTCCCGTTTACACTGCAAGTTTACATACTGATTTTAACTCTTAAATGCAAGTTTGATATCACTGAGTAATGTGCGGTTCTAACAGCCTTAGCTTAGTATTGATCTATATTATGTGTGGGTATTATCTTACTCATGCTGACTTCTCTTTGGCATCGCGCACTAACTTTGATAGCAACTATTTCCTACAGTCCCGCTAACTTTCCGAGTTTGGAAAGGCCCTTAGGTTTATTGCTATTGCGAGCTACATATGCGCCCTACATTGACTACTGCAACTAGTCGGTTATCTCACATGAATTTGGTGAAACAATGTCCTTAGGCTTATACATTTAAGCACCCCCTGAGGGAGACCAAAACAAAGAACGAAACTGACCTGCGGTCTGATGAGATGAGCGGAAACATCAAAAAGCTGTTTTCTTCGATCTTGAACGGCAATCGTGGAGCCGGCTAGGTGCCGCGAGGTTCTAAGGCAGGGGCCATTTCGCGCAACGAGAGCGCCCACCATACGTAAAAAACTTCCCAAAGCGCGACTCGCCATCGCTCTTCTCTATAGCAATGTGCCCCCTTGACCACGCTAGATACCGAACGATGCGAGACAACCGGGCCGTTCCATCGTCTGCTAGCGTTCGTGGAACTCACTCATTTTCAAACAAAACAGTCTCCACTTAGCGAACCACACACAAATAGCTTGCAAAGATAATAAATGGGCGCGAGTTTTTAAAAAAAACCATGATAGGCATTTTAACAACTGCTAATGTCTGGATAATTTCGGTCACTTCTTTCTATTAAATATGTATCAAATATGTTCCTGATAAGACAGTTGAAATCTGTAGAATCAGTAGGGAAGACATTTAGATTAAAGAAAAATGTAAAGATGACTGCAGTAAACGAAAATAAAAATACTCAAGCATTCTATTGATTGTTGGGTCTGTGAGAAAAACTTGAGGAGAAAATTGGCTGGCTATTCCAATTAAATTTTATTTTCACCCACTAATGAGTTAATATAATTGCAAAATTATGTTGCATGTTAAAAATAGGATTGATTTTAATATATCAATACCATCTCATAGCTGGGTACAATCATTTGGCACTCATGATCAATATAACGTACTTTCTAGCATAACAACTTAATCTCTTAGCTCACTTATCTATCTAGTGGAATTTGCTTCTATTTGCAACAATTCATGGCAATTAGATGTTTGAATCTTAAGAGATTTATTGTAAAATAAATTTATTTTAAATTATTTATATTAAGTACAAACATTTTAATATAATAAGATACATAACATATTAAGATAATAACGGTTCTGTAAAACAGGTTTGAACAGGATATTAGCCTTAAAACAAATTTGAAGATTAATCCTAGCTGTTGAATCTTCTCAGAATATCGCTGAACGCGTTGCTAAATACAAGAACATTACTGCCAGATACTTCGCAATAAAATAAAGAAAAGTAATTACATGACAAGAACAGCTTTGGTTAGGAGTTTTGAAGTCAATTTTGCGAGTTGTTCTAAGTGCATATGAACTATCTGACCCATTCTCCACGTCTTACAATTGATTCTTATTAGCCTGATAGTATCACCATACAGACACATATAAATGTGGGCATATTACCTTCCACTGCTTCTCTTTATTGATCCACGAACCGAATGAAAATTACGTTTTCATAAATATCCGGGTCCGCAGGCCTCTCTCCCATCATCAGCTGGGTTGGAGAGGGTTTTCTCTCTTGCCGTGGTTGTGTTCAGCACATCAGATGAACAACTACTGCCCGGCGGAAATGAAAACATATTCATGCTTTGAGAAAGTTCTCACACCAGCTGTGACTAACAACCGCGAATGTGATCGAATTTTTAATAAAACACAATAAATAATTATTGAATAATTGCTTGACGTATTCAGTCAGTAAGAATGGATATAGCTACGTTGTATGAGTCCTATTAACGGCGTTAAATTTTCATTGCTGCTGTGTTGTAAGTGGATTGTAAGTTAAACATGAGTGACTTTCCTGAATTGAAAAATGATTGTATCTTACGGGCTGCTCGTGGCGAGGTGGTTGACAATGTAAGTATATCCCCCTTCATTTATTAGCAGTGTAGCTGAAGTTTTTTTTTGATAACTAGCTGCGCTAATAGCCTGTCTTGATCGTACACGTACCAGTCGCTCAATCATCAAACGACGTGGTGACTATCTCCTACACTGGCGATCTACAGAATCAGATTTATATCAGTCAGTAAGTTTTATCCTATAAAAAAACAGCAATATTAAGCTGGCACGGTGACTGCCTTTATGCTGTCCGTCTGTCCCAACTGTTCATCAACATATGCAAAAAGGTTAATAAACATTTGTTAATTAATAGTTATTAATAAATAAACACAACAATGCCCGTGGAGATTCGACTAGTTGGCCGATAAATTCTTGCAGACACAAGCTGCATAAGCTATTGGTTAGACAAAACATAAAATAGTCTGGTAGGTATAACGGTACTCATTAAGCTGCGATGTTTTTATAAAACTACTGGAGCGCAAAATCAGATTAACACTTATAAGCTCTTCACGTCCAGGGTAAAGGCCCAAGGCGACTCACGTACACATGAACTTTTCGTGTTTCTTTGAGGACAGTGTTTTCTAATTTACACAGCTGCGGTGCTTCCTTCCATTGGTCGATCCCATTTAAATCTTGAGGGTATAGCAGTACAAACGTTTTAGTAGGATGTATCAATTAATTAGTGATTTTCAGATTTGCCAGTGATTTGTAATTCGTATAAGAATGTTTATAGAAGCGCCTCTTGAGCGAAAATATTGCCAAGGGGTAGTGATTATTTAGCCACTTCAGAGAAAGGCCTAATACTTGTTTAGAATTATATTCGCGCATACTACGATAATTTTAATGCTCTAGAATACGAAGCGTCATAATTATGAGAACGCACACGTTTTTCATTTTCAAATAACTATTATTAATATTATTAAGTATTTCGTTGTTATTGGTATACTGCTTTTAAAACTAAGTTATTAACTCACACTGATTACAATGTGATGCGATACACTTGTTACAATATTAAGCATGGTTATATAAATAGAATCAGGATCGTTTTTAGGATTTCCCTAAATAAATAATAGCTTTATCGTTCAGTCTATCAGTATGGGCGCCCTATTTACAAAACAACTCTATCGGCAAAGTAGTGCTTTCATTAAATGTGAATGATCTTTCCATTTTACTTGAGTTATCACTTACTGTTCGTTAATGAACCTTTCTAAGGAATTTTCTTGTCTGCATTTGTTGCCCTACATCCCTTTCCCTTTGTTTCAAATTCAAATTTGGCAGATTCAACTAATAAATAAATAAGCCGAACCACGTCTGTTTTTCTATAAATTCAATTATTTCTCACCGGAAGTTTTCTTTCCGAATCGCCCGAGCGCCCATTGTGACCATTTAAAACGATCTGCTATATCTATGGTAGTAATTGCAGTATAAAAGTTAATGAAATTATAATTATAAAAATTAATAGGTCAGAAATAATTTCTTGATTAAACAAAGTTACCTTCAAAATTTTGCTCGCTTGCTTGTAGGTTCCCGTTTGGATCATGCGACAAGCTGGCCGTTATTTGCCCGAGTTTATGGAAACAAGGAAAAAGCACACGTTCTTCGATATGTGCCAAAAACCAGAGGTAGCATGCGAAGTGACGTTACAGCCTATTCGAAGATTTTCCCTTGATGCAGCGATAATATTCTCAGACATACTGGTTATACCCCAGGCGATGGGTGAGTAACTAACAGTTAGGTAAAATAGCCACGTCAGTGTCTGTGTCGTCTGTACATCTAATAGCTGAGTGCATACGTGTGACATGAGTAAACTTCGCTAACAATCAAAAATATTATTAATATTATATATAAGAACATTTCGAAAAATCTTATATACAGGAGGAACCCCTGAGTTACGATTTCCGTCTTCTTCAATACGATAGTAACTAAGTTTCATTTCGTAAACCTTGTGCACGTCCTTTCTATCAGGAATGAATTTAGAAATGCGTCCCGGAGAAGGACCTGTCTTCACAGAACCTCTGAAAAACCCAGCCGATATGGAGCATTTGAAGGATATAAACGTTAGCGAAGACCTCAAATACGTTATGGATGCAATTAGTACTACCCGACGAGCTCTCGATGGAAAGGTAACAATTGGACATTTGTAAAGACGTTGTAATATATCAGGTATTCTACTTCAATAGCTTTATGAATATGATCGAAAAATGATTATCTCATCTCCCAGTTTCTGTTGTGAAAACGTCATATTAAGCCTGAACGACCAAAGAAAGGTTTATTGTGTCAGAATTTAGTAATAAGGAGATCACATCATAATGCCTGTTGTCTACAGACCCTTGTTCAAATAAGTGGAGTTGCAATAAATGCAAACCTTCACTTGTGCTTTTTTACACCGCAATAGGGCACTGACCGTTTCCTAAATTAACTGACCTTCGCTTGTTTGCCTTGATATATCCTGCTTTGAAGGTTCCGCTATTTGGCTTCTCTGGTGCACCCTGGACGTTAATGTGTTACATGATTGAAGGAAAAGGATCGAAGACACAATCGAATGCTAAAAAGTGGTTGTACCGCCATCCTTCTAAAGCTGACGAACTCCTTTTGCGACTTGAAAAAATAATTGTAGAGTATATGGTAGCTCAGGTTAGTTAATGTGACCTCAACCTGTTTTGATTATTAACCAACATACCGTTTACATGAACCGGAAACCGTATCAAGTTTATACAAGAGTATGTACCTATTGTCAGCATAATTCTGCATGTATTATCGTTTAAAGCAACAAACATGGTATAATAATCGTAAGTTCAATGCCGATGTATACCGAACGTGCTTTTTAACAGCACCACATCGGCAATAAGCTTAACATCGGACGTGCTTAAATATGACATTTTAGGTGAGAGCAGGTGCCCAAATACTGCAGTTGTTTGATACGAATGTAGGGTTCCTTGATGAAAGAATGTTTCTGCGCTTTGTGAAGCCCGGTTATGTGCGTATTGCCACGGCTGTTCGTGAGAAACTGTCAAAATCGTTTCGTTGCCCCCCACTTTGCTTGTTCCCTAAAGACGCCCATTTTAATCTTGTCCATCTGCGCGATGCGGGTTATGATGTGATTAGCGTGGACTGGGCTATCACTCCCGAGAAGGCACGAGAAGCCCTTGGAAACAACGTCACTATACAGGTAGAGAAATATTTCTTGCTGTCTCTATACTGGCAAAGGATAGCGCACTAACACTGATTATTCCTAGATGATATGAACTGTTTTTCTAATATGTTTTTGTGCACATTTTAAATATGTTTTAATGCGGCATGGTTATAAGCTCATTCTCGCATTACGGTTAATTAATAGCAGACCACTGACAGTTCTTTATAATACACTATTGATTTTTATAAATAAGGGCTATTGATAAAAAAAATTTGTCGAAATTACGTTTTCAAAATAGACTGGCCTTCGAAACGAACTTTCATCTAATCGAAAATCATATTCTCAAATCAAAGTAGATCATCAATGACGATTATTTATCATTTTGGTCACAGTCAGAAGTGGAAAATACTGATCCAGCGTTTAATCTTTTCATAGGGTAATCTGGATCCATGTGCTCTTTACGCTGATGAAACAACGTTACGTGAATTGGCACGAGAAATGGTAACTCGATTTGGCAAAGAGCGCTACATAGCAAACCTTGGCCACGGAATGTATCCTGATATAGACCCGGATAGAGTCCGAGTATTTATAGAGGCCATACATAGCGTTAAATAAGTTGAATATAATGGCGACAGCTTGAAGAGCAATAGATGGTAAGCCATCTGTTAGGGTTGTTCGATAGGAACCCATTTATTTATTGTAGAACTGTACCAACGATGTGATTTACACAGTATTTTGTACTCAAGTCTTTAAAAATGGTTGACTGTTACAGAATTAGCAAATGTATGTTATTTATTATATGAGATGACAATAAATAATAGATTAAAGTGTAATCGAATTTTCAATATAAGAAAAAAGTCTATAGTGTTATTTCACTTGTCATTTATATTCATCGTTAATTATCACAGTAAACAAAAAACAACCTAAAATTATAGAACAATATCAAGGTGATATGTATGTACCTCAGAGCTCTCCGTATGACTACAAGGATCTTCGCGCTGATTGCGGATATACAGCTACCGCTATGTATCGGGTATCAACGTTGACAACCATTTTGCAATTACATTTAAAAAATTTTTAGCCCATGCTTCACATGATACAATTAGTTGGCAAATCACTATTAAAAAGCCCGTATTTTAGAACTTATTATCTATATATATATATATATATATATATATATAATAAGCGGTGAGACGTCTTTCTATAATGTCAAACTTAAAAACTTCATTGCTAATCCGTAGAAAATATGGAATGTGCCATTACGAATTAGGTGGAATGGACGCTGTTTTAGAAGAAGATCAATTTCTATAGGAATTATTCGTATTGTGATGATCATAGGCAAACATAATTAGCGTTGTGTTTAGAGAGCAGCTCTAGTGATCTAGAAACGTTCATTTGGTGATATGCAACCGTAAGACTTTCAGATACTCTTACCACAATGCAGACTGCAAAAACTAATTAAAAGAAAAATGGCAATTTATCGTCGAGATTGCTTTGAATTTTCATTAAGCCAGGTAACGCGCTTCCTGCCGCTGCTGCCGGATCCGGTTAATGGAGTGTTTGGCGGATACTTCAGAATGCCAGGAGATGCTAAGTGTGTCATTGAAGTACCACACACAAATCACAATATTCAAGTTACGTTAAAAGCTCTGTAGTCTGTTTGAGGGGTACGTTGTTTATAAAAATCGGAGCCTGCGGAACAGCGAAGTGCGTCGCATGGATGAATTGCTTCCCGTGCATTTTACGGTTCTACTTTTTTTTTTCACCAACGATAGTCTTATCAATGTTGTTAATTAGACAACTGCCTACCTTTAAGACACATTTTTAACTGAAGTTCTATTGAACAAAATTGTATTCCTAGCTTTTGAGTTTATGGTGCGACAAGTTCTTTCCTTCTCTATATTAAGCCAAGGACGTTTGATAGGGATTATTACCTGAGGTACCTACGACCGATGAAGTCCTCCTAGGCTATTTGAAATATTAAGTTCTACTCAATACGTAGACAGGAGCCAAAATAGCAACGTTACACGTCTACATTGAATTTGGAATGATAGAGAAGGGATATACTAACTAGTTGAAGTCATCGTAGTTCTAGACGTATAGTCAGAATTACGATCTCTTTCCTGCAGTCGAGCGCGCTTGTCTGTGGCTTCTAGAGCACCTCGTCTTTTACGTAATACTTCATGTATGTTATCCTTATTACTAGAAGAAGGTCCTGCAGCAGGCCACCTGTGAAGGGCATTAATTTTTAGTATCTGTTGGTTTGCATTTATCTGGTGCATTGTTTTCAACACCATTTGCAGTATTGAGGTGTGAAATAATGAATGATGACAAACAATGCCATTCGATTTACAAAATGTGGAGAAGATTCATGTTACTGGTAGACAATAACACTTATACGAGATGGACCCTAAGCTAATTCGTAGTTGTAAATATGAAGAAATTGCCTGCACGTTGCTTAAGCCTCAATGGGACGGGAAATCACAAGCTTTATCCATTCCATTAAGCTAACTAGTGACTCGAAATCTATGTATAATAACATCACAATCATCTTTTGTATCCCGCTGACCTCTTATTGTTTGGATTTTCTCAAGTTTTGAACAGTGATACGCATTTAAAATTTGCGAAAGGCCTTTAAAGTAAGTAAACCAAGAGACAAATGGCAGTTTTATCCCTTGGAATTAATCTTTTTTTTTTTTTTTGAGACGAACAGTTCCTAATAGCGGCCTACATGTTATACCTGAATCTGTAGTTGATTTGTGCGCCTGGATTGATTGTTATTTCAGTAGGATTAGTTTTCTATACGTTTGCATGAACATATCAGGTACAATAGCGCGTGGCAAGTTTTGATTGCGATGATACCGCCACTAAAGAGCGATTCCACAATAGATAAGTTCAATTATGTCATTGATTGTATTATTTACATCCGATTAGTTTACATGATCATTATAAACACTAGATAAAAATAATTATTCGTTTAACTTTACATTGATCCAATGCAATCTAATATGCAAATAGTATTTTCGAACTGAACTTGAGCTGTCAAGTTAACCTGGGTTCGTCCAAACAACATACGCCATACAGAATGTATGATTGAAAAAGGAAAGGCGATTTTCTTCAGCTAATGAAACACTTACTGAAGTTCTTTAATTTTACTTTTCCAATAGGAGCATGCTTCATCAGCTTTGGCAAGCTTTTCGTGCGCTCTGTGCAGAATTCGTTCATGGGAATATATTAAGGAGCGCCGCAAAGACTTCTGAAGGGCGAGAGCCTATACGAACGAAAATAAACAATGGGTTAGAATAGGAAAATCATTGTTTCCGTCATTGACATCCTTCATACCACTATATTGGATGCATTATTAAATTATTCCATGCATTATTTAGCAAAACTACATCGGCACCCGTGCGCACCAAAAATTATTCTCCAAAAGTTTGCTAACATCTCTTTATACCGCCAGTCTATTATTGTGCCTATCCGTTCCGTTACTGTTTCTTCCTCACACTAGTGACTACAATTAGAATGGAAACTGCACCGATGAACACTGAGCGCCGTTGTTTGACCAGACGATTAGCAGTCCTTTTCCAACGAATATATCATCAAATACGACATGCGAATATCATATGCCTGAACTTCATCGGCGTGCTTTGTTACACATGCAACCGCTCTGTTGTTCCCGATGTGGTTCAATTTGCATTTGCCGCGGTTGTTATTGGCCTTTTGCGAGAACACTGAAACGATCCTGAAGGTGATGAAATAGCTAGTCTTTTATGTCCTTACAAATACGAACCTCACTTGAAGCTGTAGCAACTCGGCGTTATCTGTATGACTTTCAGAGCACTGCGTAGGTAACCCTGTGTTACTCACAGACACACATAGCTGCTGCAGTTATTATTCCTTTTATAACGCGCACCGCAACCATACACTTACAAATCCAGTGCAATCCAACCAAATCAATTATCTTCACTATTTCGAAATTATTCCAAAGACTGTGCCCTACTCCTGTAAGACCTTCTTGGTCTGCAAGAATCGATCTGGTGGAACTGAAATAATTACATTTTGAATTTATCGATTCATTATTTCCATCCAGGTCATTTGTAACTTTATCATTTCAGTAGTTGTGTGCTAATGGGCTACTGAGTGGAATTTACCTTCGACATCGATCTGAACACAGGCCTGACCGAGATGAAAAGTTCCTTTACTGCTGGGGGCGCTCTATCGTTGATCATGACCAGGCGCGACCTGTTACCGCAACGACGGCAACTAACCTCCTGATATTCGTCCTTGGGAACTAGAATAGTAAAAACGCATGTTTTGTTTGTATATGTTGATTATACAATTTCTGTAATTCGTAATTTGTCGACGTTCTGCAGTGTGCTAATGTTGGGTAGATTCGCATTGCTTTTTTTAAATGCAGCCTTGTATCCTTAGGGATAGCATAAACCTTATTTTTAGGAATAAAAAGAACTTAATTAGTTTGAATTAATAAATTTTGTGTCACAACAACGCGCAGTAAATTAAATGCATCTAAATCCCAAATTGTATCTACTGAAAGCGATCGAGTGAAATAACATATGCGATATAAAAATGCGTAGAAAATTGCTAAAACATGTAAAATGGTTTCAAAATAAGAAGATCATTTGTAATAATGTCAAGTGAATCAGACTGCTGATAGCATTAAATTGACCTTTTGGCTATGTATTTGATGTATGCTAGTTATAGAGCCAGGAAACCCGATGAGATTAACACATTTGCAGTACAGAAGAAATGCAAAAGTCTTATCGTCGACAGTTTGTGTGTCTGACACTTAAAAATCAACATAATTAGGTCGAGGATGTCGCTTTCCGTTTTTGGTATAGAAATAGTAAGTAAAGCTAGACTCGATAAGTTTTCATCCATGTCAAGGAGATTGCGAAACGCTTATTTAAGCATAAATCAATAGTAGACAACTGCTGACCTGATGTCTAGAAAGCGCTAGCAAACTTGTTGCGAAACAAAAGGACTCATATCGGCGACATTATTTTTACAGCGATAAACGTCGTAAAGTTATAAGTATCTTTCCTTCAAGGCCGTATTCGAATTATAAGCTCCAATAGAATTTTTCTAGTTGCAATCTATCAAAGAATAATGTGCGTTGTCAATGGCTTCGGAAGTGTTAGCGAGTCACATCGTCCGGTCATTTTGAATCTGGAGCCTCGCACCCCTCATGGCGGAAAACGCGAAGTCAATCAAGTCTTGCCGTAACAGATTTGACGGAGAGGCGGCTGGCTACTCCCGCGCGATCATTATACGCGGCCGTTCGAATCGAGTCGCTGTTGATATCCAAACGCTGACTCGAACGGAAACTGTTGTACGCCGGTTGCTGCAGTGTGGCTTCGCCATCTTAGTCAGTCAATCAATCAATTGATTTATGTTTGATGTCAAACAGAAGGCTACGAACAAGTTGCACAGACTCGTAATATGATATTCTACAGTAGGTAGAGTATCTCTGACATACGTGAGAGATCACATTTCTGGAGAGATAGTGACGCAATGGCAAGACATGTTTTCTGCAATATTTATCTCGTTCAACGCGAATTCTATAATTATACAATTTTACAGTATCCCGCTACTATTTGTAAATTCGAAAGCGAATAACTAGTGCGCAAATACAAATATAGGCTTATGTTACCTACCTGAAACACATCGGTTGCATGTTGTATGCATACAGTTGCTAATGAAGATAGGCACGGAAACTGACCACTCGATAGCACAGTGAAGACAAGCAGGTTTGAATTCGGCGCCTTCGAAGGGCATACTATGTCACATTTTAAAGTGAAAAGCAGAGATTCATTGATTCTGTGGGTGTATCGTATGAAATTGCTTTGATTAGTTAAGACAAATAGATACGCTGGCTTATCACCGAGTTGCTGGCGCCAAATTTTAAAGAAGACCGACTAACTATCAAAGCAAACCTCATAGTACCATCAAATACTTGTTTGTTTAGTTGTAGCGCTTAAAAAGTTAATAGGTAACTTGCGGCTAAATGACCTGTGCTGTTCCATACGATTACATTGGTATGGTAGCAGCAGCCTAAGCAACAGCGGCAGACTTTTGACATAACAAATATTGTTTGGAGCAAGTAAATTGGATATTTAGTCCGTGCTCGAAACGACACCGTGAACTCTTACGGGGACACCGAGTGTTTGCAGTTAGGAAGCATACAACAGCGACAGGCAGCTCAGATACTATTGTGAGGCAATATCGGAATATAAACGGACGGGAAGCTTCTTGTTTTATGTATAGAAAACGCAACCAAATAATTGAACATTACAGTTCTAAAGATATACAAGCCAAACGCGTTATGACTGAGAGAAGGATATCACAGCGCTCGCGGTTTGCCTTCACGAAGTACGCATCTTATTTAAGATCATGGCAATAGAGGTCATGGGAATTTCGCACCAATATAAGCTTTGGATCATGAAATGTTTTCAAACATGTCTGTGCTACCTTATTTAAGTACGAACAAGTCGAAAAAGGTCGAGGGAATTCATAGTTTCTTCAAAAATTGTTTGTGTTTTATTTGTGCATTATTTATAACGTTACTGCGCGCGTAAATGCAGTGTGTAGCCTGTGCTGCAACAACTAATTATTCTGGCATTTAGCGAACAACGAGAGCTACGCTACCGGGGGACAGTAAACGGCCAACAGACTTGAGAAATATCGATGTGTGAAATATGTTTGAGAATACTGGGATGAAAAAATTCGAATATTTTTTTCTAGGAGAAACCAAAACAACAAGCGTAGAATGTTGTTAAAAGAAAACTAGACGCATTTATATTACGTTAGAAACTCAATAGAGGATTGTGGCTAGTTCGACGTTTGTATGCTAGAAATTTGTTATGATTTTAAACATCTCAAGACATAGGCCCAATCTTTAACTATATCACTCCTTTAAAGTGTGTGATGTTTGTCAGTGTTTATTTTATCCGCCGAGATTGCTTTGCATGTTATTTGGATAACTTCTGAAATTGCTGGTTATGCGGGAACTTCAGGAATGCTGGTTAATTACAGCTTTGATAACCAGAGACCCTGGATACTGCATGACCAATAAAAAAATAGTTATGATCTTTTGATAATTCATGAGGATCGAGTCATAATAATTCATAGATGAAATTTTAATTTTTTAATTCGTATGGTCTATCCCCTGTTTACGAACTTTTCAGATCATTTGGCATTCTAATAGTGTTTCCATAAAGCTGAAAAGAGCAGTTAGCTGAGATGACTCTCGTATGAGTCGCACTAATTGTCTTCGAAATTCCAAGTCAATGTAACGGAACTGGCGTTTATAGTTCGCCAGCTTTGTTTCTTGTATGACTCATTAGCTACCTTGCCGCGGCTGTCAGTGTTCTACAGGGATCTGTTACACTAAACAAAGCCAAGTCCGGTGTTTGAGGACACTACGTGAGTGTTTACAATAAAATTATGCATTCGTTTATATTTCAACCTGCTGTAATTGATTTTGGTTTTAGAGACATACTGCACGAAATCGAAGAAGACGCTCGTTTCTAGTTCGTTAAGTTCTTTTTACATTGCTATCAGGCTTACTGTTATGGGCCCTAGTAGCAGATTACATTGCTTCTAGGGTATTGAACTAAATGTGTTTTTGTCAACAAAATGTGTTCAACTTTCATAGCTCAAGTTCAGTGTTCGTGGACAGCGGCATCCGGATAGCGAGGCCTATGGCTTAGTAAATATTTTTGGGAATGTAATCAAAAATACCCTTTATCTCTTCTTTCATATTATTAATATATTACCTGTTTTGCTCATTATTTAGGTTCCGAAAAGTATTCCCGCCTTTTTTTTAGCATGTCACATGACCATTTTAGCCTCCGGCTAATCTTTGCACACGCCTACACATCATCTCGTAGCCTCTCAGAGTTTAAATCGTACCGCGCGTGCTTCTCCCAGGTCGCAGCCTTTGTAATGAGCGCACAGGGGGCGCACCAATCTGTCCGTTCCGCACAACGCCTGGCTGGCTCTCTGGCTGGTTCGTTCATAGCTGACAAGCCAGAAGGCAATGGCAGCGGATATAGCAACGAGAGACTCAGCTTTCGTTTACCCTCACTTTCAACTCCTTCTTACCCGATTTCGCTCTTTCTCTCTCTCTTGTTCTCGAGCTCTTTTTTACTCGGTTAGTGATGGTCTGGCTCGCTCGATGCCACAGGAGAGGAGCAGCTCAAGAGAATGGCGGCACGCCAGAGAGGAGTGGGCCAGTAGGACGACTGAGTTCAAGGGGCCTGAGCAGGACACCATCAGCAGGGTTCGCGGCAATAGGACGGTGGCGATGGTGGCAACAGCACTAAAGGGTCAGAGCAGTCAGCGCTGATGCTGCGGATTCTGCAACAACGAGTCTACTGGAAAAAAGAGAGAGATCGAAAACTAGAGCGTGTTACAGAGGAAGAAGGAGGAAGGGGAGAGTGAGACGGCCACAGTTACTGCATGCGGATAGCCTCTATCCGGTTGGGAAACGGGGTGGGGCGACGAAAATCATAAGTGGCAGAATGACAGAAGAGAGAACGTACGAAACGACTGGAAGCTCAGGCTAGAATGAAGGAAAGGATACGGCAAAGGGAGGGTGAAAGGGGAAAGAGCGAAAACACAAGCCAGAGGATGGATAGCGGATAGATGGTGGAGACATGACCAGAGAATGAAGGAAAAGGACAAGGTAAGAGCGAAAAAGGTGAGAGTCGGGGAGCAGATTGGAAATGAAGAGCGCAGAAGTGGGAGAGAGCGAGTATGTAACAGACAGAGAGAGTACGGGACTGAGAGAAAGGGAGGAAAAGCTGCTGCTGGATAGCTCGAAAATCTACCTGCTGCTGTTGGCGGGCAGACGGACTACGTACGGACGGACGCAGCGAACAGCGAGCAGAATAGACTTGCAGAGAAGCAAGCGAGGAAGGAAGGCAGAAACGGCAACCGGAGCAGACGCTGGCGGTACGGTACAAGACAAACAGACGCACGGACGCGCACAGACAAGGCCAGCCGGAGCAGAGGGAACAGAACAGGCACCGAGAGGTTGGAAAGGACGAAAACAGGCTGAAGCAGACTGGAGAAAAGGGGCTGACAGGAGCTAGGCAGCAGGAGAGTGTACAGCTGCCGCTGCTACTATTACTGTGTGAGTTATAGTTGTGTGGCTGAGGTCGGAACTTGCCTGGTCTGGCTAGGATAGCTGGCTGGCTGGAGGGTCGACGGCTGGAAGTTGCGGTCCGACAGGCAGGCGGGTGTCGCGGCGCACGCCCCAGAGGCTCAGAACGCGAGAGATAAAGAGAGCATTTAGGACCCCAAGAAGAGCCCTTGTGTAGCAACGAGTGTCGTGTGTGGGGCTGAACTTGTGCCTGTTAGTGGTGCGTGGTGCTGCTGCTGGTGTAGTCGTCGTCATCGTCATCGTTTTCGCCGTTCTCGTTCTTTTTTTTATAGTATCATAGTATAGTAGAGTCTGTACGCGACGCTGGCAGGCTCGATCCAGTAAAGTGAGACTGACTGGCAGTCGGGGTGACGCGCGACGCCTGGCCAGAAGGTGACGGAAACGAGCTGAGACCGTCGTGCTTTTCGTGTCGATAGTGGTGTAACGTAGTATTGATGGTGATGGTGCCCTGCTAATGGAAGCGAAATATAGACAGAGCTGTGGGTAAGGCGCCAGGCCTGTGTGGGCGTCGTGCTTGTGTTAGGACGACGAAGAGTAGTAGCAGCAGCAGCAGTGAGAACACGACGTCGGCAAGGAGAAAAACGAGTCGACAAAGCTGAACTCAAAGCCTCTAGATTAGAGGGGCAGAGGCTAGTAGAAGAGGCTAAAGATTTCGAGCCTAAGATCCAGGAGACAGGCAAAGGACGGGTCAGCAGAAAGCCAACCTTGACCCCCTCCCACCAGCTACACGAGATTGATATAGAGGAAGCTGCAAGCTACCGGCTGGTTCACACGTCCTGGCGGACGTTCATTGCCTGGTTGTTGGTGTACGGTATTACCGTGGTGCAGTGCTGTTCATTTTATGTAACATAGCGACGAGATCATGAAGCATTACTGCAAAAGGCTCCACTAAGTAAGGCGTCCATTCGCTTATCATCGTCTATTACTTGCAACAGCAGAACCAGCAGCAACAAAAGAACGGAACAGGCCAAAACGACTATCCATATCCACCAGCAGCTCTCTTTTCCCGTCCCTCCAACCCAGTCTGTGTCACTCTAATCATTTCTGTGTATATACGAGAAGTACGACCGGAACGTAAATCGCGTTCCCACAACTCAGCACCGTAGCAACCAAGCCAGTGAGCAGGCGCGAGAAAAAATCCAAAAATATCGCTAAAGAAATCGGCAAACAATAAGAGCAACAGAAGAGGGAAAGGCTGGCGACTAACGGACAGCCCTGAGCTAATACTACAGGGAAGCGTGAATAGCCCGAAAGATACGAACAGCCAGGTGCTGCTCCTATGATTGAACATACTGCTGGCTGCTGAAAAGAATAGCAGAGAAAAGACATCACCAGCACAGGCCACACTAGGGTGCACAGCGGTAGCCAAAGCAGCGCAGAAGAGGACCACCCAAAAACAAGGAGATTGCAGCAGATCCGCAAAAAGAATAAACACCGACTATAATTGCGTACAGCACCAGAAGCGGTAGCTACAGAAGTAGCAGCACAAAACAACGGCAGCGGCGGTAATCGCTAACAACTGTAGTCGCTTCGACAGCAATAGCAGCCGATATATGCATTCAAATGAAAGAAGAAGCAAGGAATAAAAGATCGTAACCTGAGTCTTGTCCGTTGTGTCCTGCGAGTTTGGTCGTAGCTGCGAGCTGGTGTTGTCCTGCGATCCGTGGCCTGGTGTTAAAGGTCCGTTATTAAGGGAAGCAGGCTCGCGGCAGCCTGTGTTTTGTGTGCCGGCGGTGGAAGCTAAGCTGGCCTTAGTGGTCTCGTAGTGGTCATTGCCACGGTCGACCTGGCGCTAGAGGTACTACTCGTCGTTATCATCGCGCAGTTTTACGTTGTTTGGTCTTGGTGGTCCTGGTGCTGCCGAAATTCGTGCGTGAGCAGGCCAAATTTGCAGCAGTGCGGCGGCGTCAGGGCGATTGCCAACGGGCAACAGCCACAGCAACAGCTACCAATCCCGAACGGTGACGACAATGGCTTGAGCTGGACGAGGAGACCACACCAGCAGCCGGAAAGGGAACGCGTAGAGCGTGAACAGCCGCAGCACGCTGGTGTCAGGATTGAGGACGAAGGTAAAGACGCTGCGACCGCTGCCGAGGCCGTGTCCGACAGCGAAAATAGCGTCAACTCCAACGACACGAACGGCGTAACGGCGTGGCACGAGGGCCGCGCCAACGCTAACACGAACAAGGATAAGACGTGCGTGGTGGTCGAACGTGGCTCGTGGAGCATTTTGGATCGTGGTTAGATCAAACACCACGTTGGGCAGTACAAATCGCCCCAGTTGTAGACGCTGATGCTCGTGTGACGGGAAGGAAGCGTGTGTGGCAAGAAAAAGCCAATTAGCAAACAAAAGCAAGAAAAAAGAGGAAGACCAGGCAAGTGTTGCTGTTGTATCGTAGTGAATGAGCTTTTTACCTCGTGCATCTTCTACGTTTCTGTGTGATTGCGCGAATGCGTGTCGCGAGTGCCATTTAATTGCTCGGTTGTAACACTCCAGCGTTCAGCCCCATCAGCTTTTATTGGCGTATGCGAAACGCGTGGGACCCGCGTGGTTGATTTTGTTTGTTCGCTTGTTTTTCATTGTTCGTGGTTTTGTATGCTGTGGAAGAGCAACAACAACAACATTAGCAGCAGCGACAGCAGAAATTGTCTCAGTAACGGCAACAGCAATAACAACAACAACAGCAGTAAAAGTAGCAGCAGAATGAGACTTTTCTAAGTCCCTGATCACGGAGTGTTGGCAGTACTTGTAATAGAAGTACCACAGTACTACCACAGCAAATTTAACGTCGATATAATACTGTAGCTTACAAGGCTGCCAACTTCTGTCACGAGAACAGCTTAATGAACACGGGCCAGGTTGTTCGCGGTGGTGCCCATCGAGGTAACCTAATAGCATAAGCAGCGACAGCAAAAAGAACATCTTTTGCCTAAATCAAATTCGAAACCCGCGTAAACGTCAACATTTTAGCATCGTTGTTGTCCACGATTATTGTTTGCGGGTCGCCGCTCGAGACGAAGACGATCGACCGTGAGGTGGTGAGTGAGTCGACGTGAGGTGCCGCGCCGTGACGCCTTCGGCCTCGGCCTCGCTCTCGGCCCGGCCAGCCCATGAAGAAAGTGCGCATCCAGGAGCAGGGGGGTGCGCCTGGGAGCGCAACGATGAATCCTAATATGCCCCAGCAAAACCCTCCAGGAGAGTACCCGAATGTCCTAGACGACATCACTTTTGCTGAAAATAGGTAAGTAATGCCCTACTGATTATAGAGACTATTTGTAAAAAATGGTGTATAAATCGATCGGACGTAATTAAAAAAATAGTAATCATAACATTACAACAGGAATACCATTCAATAGTGAAGGGATACACAAATTGCAGATATTAGTATACACTTATTTAACCATGTTCGTTTAGACTAAATTGCGAAAGTGCAGTCAGACTTTTGAGGAACCAATACTCATAACGAGAGTAAAAGAAAAAACAGAATGTGACTCATTTGATGCTAGCAAACTGCTACAGTCACATGAAAGCATATGAAAGGGCCATGGGCCAAATCATGTTTTCATGTAAAAGCAAAATATTAACAAATTGATAGAAAATTCTCAACGTTGGTTAACGAAAGGAATGAGGAAATATTTTTTATTATCACGAAACGACTTTGGACGATATTCGGTTTTTATCTATTTATTTACTGTACGTCGAACGTACTCTACAAATAGGCCCATATTCTCGTGAGGACAGGAATCGTCAGAAACAAACAGCGCCAACATCTTCATGTCTCACCATTTTTGTGTATCCAGGACACCGCTGTCGTTGGCGAGAACGTTGCCGGTCCTTGAATCTACGGGCCATCCACTAGTAATAACAAAGAGACAGAAACTAATAGTCAGACGACTTGATACAGCTATTACGCTTGCTGTGACCGCCGCCGTTGTTGCTATTGCCCGTGGGGCAAGGTCTGCTGGGACATCCAATTCCGGGATCCACGAAGCAGCTATCATCAGCCGTGCCGTCGTAGCCGCTTCCATGTTCCCTGGCAAGTGACCCTATTGAAGGATTCGATCGGTCTGGTCTAGTCTAAGAATTGGGATTGAGTACCGCACAGAAGACAGGACACGCTGTCGGCCAGGTCAAGCCATAGTAGGGCACGGTGAGGCACAGCAAGGTGCTACTTCCAGACTCAGTGACTATAAAATGCAGCGCGAAGAAAAAAGGGAAGCGAAGACAGATATGGCAAGTGAGCACGCTTTCGCGCGAATCGACCCGAAGGCGACGTGGACATATAGTGTCATCGGAGTGCCTATTACCGAACGGCAGCAGCAATCGTGACAACGGCGACAGACAAAAAAAGGCACAGAAATACATCGACACAGACATCTTCCTCCAACGGAAGGGACGATCGGGGAAGGGACGATATCAAAAAGGAAAGAACTGGGACGACAGGAGCAGGTGCTTAGCCACTACTGCGCGGCAGGGAGAATCAGCAGCACAAGCGGCAGCAGAGGCTTCAGTCGAAGACATTTCGGAGGGACATAATACGGAAAAAGATGAAGTGAAATGAAAACGAAAAAAATATGAGCGACAGCATCACACGCCAGATAGATACCGGTGATACGATGAGACGAGCGTGTTGCGCAAAAACAAAAGAACGCTAAGGCAAAAGACGAGTCGTAAATATTTTGTATTGTTCACGGTTTGTACTAATACTTATTAGTAGCAACGAAATTCAAAGAAGAGATAATTCATCAATGGCGAATTCTGTTGTTGATTTGCTCAATTTTAATTAGTCTAGCATATGCACGGTATCCCCATGATAGCTTAGTACGCAGCGTGTTTGCCTAGTAATCTTAGAGACACGTTGTGGTCTAGGTTCTAACCCAGCCATAGACAGACACACGGTTTGTTTCGTTCAGGGAGCCGACCGTCTGATGGGATGCCTACCGGCGATACCAGACGTAAGACTCGGAACACAGCAGCATGTGCTCGTTAGGTCATCTTTCTTTGTAAAACTGAAACCCAACAGAACTCGCAAAACTAAGGCATTAGCAATTAGAAGTTGATAAAAGGACAGGAAACGACAAAAAATAAAGCATCAAATATGCAACCGAAAGGATTTCACTTCGTTGAGGGAGCTTTATCAGGTCCTGGAGAGGCAAACCAATAGGAGATAAGGTAATCGAATAGAAGGCAAGATCGTTGTCAAACTTAGTCGAACGAGAGTGCAGTGGCTCGTCGGTGAAAACTTCTTTATCAACATCTTTTGCTTCCTGTTGCTTCCAGTACAACAAAACACGGGTGCAGCACTAGCAGCTGATGTTTGGGGCTAGGGCCTAGTTTACGAAAACGCAGCTCCTTCAGTGTTTAGTACAATGTCTGTGTAGCCCTGTGTCATTCCTACGTGGATAGTTCGAACTTGCGTTGACTTAGACGGAAGGTGTGAGAGTGAAGTGCAAGTAAGCGAAGTGCTCAAACGCTCGTGCTTGTCTTTCGCTATGTATCGCTTCCATCAATCGTTACCTCACTGTGCTATACCCCTTCGGCTGTTCGAACGTCCGTCTTCTTCGTTTTCGCCAGCCATTTTCCTTCTCTTCTACCTCTTCTTTTTTCTCAGGAGAGAGGGCAAAAGCGACCAAGGAACATTCGACCGGCAACGAATGTCGAACAGACGTAACGTTTCGAACGTCAGAGAACCGTCGAAGATGATGCCGCGGGCCATGGCTTGTACACCAACCCTCAGTGGCACTTCTCCCCTCCTGTTTCCACGGGGAATGACCCACTCACCCTGCCTCGGGCGCATAAAATGAATAGACACACGGTCCTGATCGTCCGTGCAGACGCGTCAAGCGATTGTGAGGGAGGGGTCCGACGGGGAGAGGGGACTGAGGATAGGGAAAGGGTGGGGATGGCGGGAAAAGAGAAAGTGGACTGAAATGCGAGTGAAGAAAGAGACACGGAAAGAAAGAAGCGCAAAAATGCCGGGTGAGAGGCCAGAGGAGGCGGGCTGTGAAGGAGTATAGTGGCCGCGTTGCATACAGCTGCTCTCGATTGTCTTCCTCATTGCCAACAAGCAGCGAGCCAGTGAACGGATGAGTACCCAGGCATAGGGGACAATTCCTGCGTAAACGAGAGACTAAGAGGATGGTGATAACAACACTGGAAGCAGCGGCGGCGGCCAAGGCGGTAGCAGAGTGAATGGAGCATAGAGCCATGGCAAGACCATGCAGTAGGCAAGCTTCGACCAGCAGCAAAAAAGACAGAAAGGAAAAACGGGACGCATAATCGAAAACATAAAGGCGGCAGAAGAAACGGCCACTAGTAGTCGTCAGCAGAATCGCTAGTAGCGAAGGCGCGGAGTCACGACGGAACGAGGAGCAGAAGACGTTTTGTTTGTCGATTATGCATCGACCCGACAGCGTCCATGCGTGTACACGGCTGTCAGGAGTAAGGGCGGCAGTAGCCGTAGTGCTGAAAGAAATGGAAGAGTGTCTGGGCTGCTGCGAGGAGCCATCCGTTCTACGGCGAGATTCGTTCGAGTCTGCTCATGCTGGCACGCTGATGGAAACGATACACATGTTACGTCGACATGCAGTTTCTCTCGCCGAGGCTATAGTAGTAGCCGTAATAGCCAGACGTCGTCAGTAAACCAAGCTTTCCTTGGTGGATGTACGTTATGTTGCTAACTTTATCAGTTTCTCTGAATTCTAAATTACTTTGATTCCTAACGCTTTTGCGCGCTCTAACGTTATTGCGTAACTTGAACAGTTCCCTTTAGTAAAAGCGGATGTTAAGAATCTTTAGCCATGCAATTGTTCAACTGTTCTAGTACGGTCTGTAAACGCACGACGATATGAATGAACGCTAATTAGTCGACACGCAAATTTGGCACTCACAAATCGAGTGCCGAAGTGTTAAAGCCGTGAATCGTCTAGAACAATAGATACGAACCCATAAAATAGGTGAGCTCTACTTAGCTAATTATCAAAAATGCTTATCAATATACGTCAACTTATACGGCCAATATAGCACCTCACTAAATGACCAATATATAACAGTATGCTGAGGCTTCTATTTGTGTTTACACCATATGCTGCTGTAACTGATAGCAATACGCTGTATATAAATCAAAGTAATATACCGTATGCTGTAATACGACTATTACTTCTATCATATTATATAAAAAAAAAAAAAAAACAGTTTAGGTTAATTTCTCTTATCTACAAGAGGCTACCGTGGGTTTTGACGGCCTCTTGGCGGGTGTTTAAAGAAATTCGAAATTCGGATTTGCAGCAAGAAAATTCTAAACAAAGCAACAAAAAAGAGCTGGATTACTGCACAGGCCAGCGCCGCCACCTTGAATGACTGGAATAGTCGTCTGACAAGCGCCATTTTTTGGCTCTTTTTGTGGTGTTTTTTGCTGTTTTTTGTTTGTACTTTTCCGCTGCCAGGGCTCGGAGACCCCGTCCGCGACACAGCCAATCGGAAGAGGGGCCCTTTCCCAGCTCGGAGGAGCGAAGGTATCGCAGCGCAACCGCCCAGAGTGGCTCACAACAACACTATCGTCTGCCAATCAGTCAGGCACAATATCCACAACCTCTTCTACCGCTACCATTTCGACCGCTGCCTTTGAATTACTTCACCCTGTGTTACCCCACACCCCCGACCTTCCCACTACTCCAACCTCTCGTACGGTTCCGCGCATAACACACCTTTGTCCACAAAATCCACTCGCTGTTATCAAAACCCGAATCTATGCTTGTTGATTGCTTCGTATTGCTTTTCGTTTTGTACAACTATAAGTCCTATGTGGGTAATCTCGTAAACACGTGCTAATTTCACCCATAGCTGTTTTCAACCATCCCATTAAGTTTTTCGTTAAGACAGAGGAGTGTTTGGCAAAAGCGTGAGCAAAGGCTGCTCAATAATATTACTTTATTTAAATAAATTAACTATTAGATGTTTGATCGAAAAAATATTCGCTTTTAAAGATTGCTAGAGAATGAGAAAGTTTATTATCTATCCAAATTAGTTGATGATTAGGTCTACTAGATGCTGACCCTTTTTCAACAAGTAAAATTTTACGTCCAGAGAAAGGGAAAAGCTTGAAAAGGCAAAGCCTATGATTGTTCTTTTTGGTTATTAGGTTGCGAATAGGTGCTGTTTGTTTGTCTGGTCTAACCATGGCGCCGCTTGTTAGAGTAGGTCTCCTTGACATGACGACATCTAGTTTTGACATCTGAGAAATGTCAAATCCTGTACATGACGATGAAGCTCTATTATACTTTATTCTGCAATGAATATAGAGTATATGCTGATATACGTGCCAATTCTGATCTCTCATTTGAAATTTCTTTTAGACGGAATATGACCTTGGAATGCTTTGTTTATCCATCTGTAGAGGTTACTTCTGAAGCTTCACGGTCGTCTATTAGCAACGATCTTAACTATGTTTTTCTACTATGTTAATGTTAATTGACCAAACCTTGTTATTACCTTTAATATAGGGTTTCATATGATCGTTCTCAAAATCATATGAAATCTTGACAGCTGCTCAACCATTTTTGGATCAGTTCTATTTATATTGGGGTATGTTAGCAAGAATGATGACAGTGTCCATATGTTGAGATGATTATCTGTTATTTATAAGAAGAAAATTTTTAAGGAGAAAATTTCTACTCCATTTTAAAGATAGAGGAGCATTACAATATATACAGAGATTATATAAATTAATGGTTATAACTTTAAAAAGTAATTCTATTACATATCTCCTGTTTGTCAAACCGACTGCTAATCTTCTACTACTGTTAGTGACGACAAACAAAACAACCCTGTCATCGAACTAAATTTTTAGTTATACGTTTATGTTATACGAAACAGTAAAAAAAATATAGAGACGCATATTACTTAATTTTTACGCACGAGATTTCACGCTACTTGAGGCAGAAGTTTTCAACTAAATAAGAGCGGATCGTTTAATGTCATATCCATTGTTTCATCCGTGCCAGTACCTCATTAATCATCAACAGAAAACAAATTAATATGGCGAATTATCGAATGTTTTTTTCCTACCCATTTACGAAACTAAAATGCCATATTTCTAAACTAAACTGATTACTAAATATATTGTGACGGCATAGAAGAATGCCCCAAAAATGGTTTGTGGTGATCTGGCCACCCACCGCTCGAACAAAACGGGCCTAACCGTAGGGCAAATTAATTAAATGAACGGCTCTTATTCGAACAACTAAATTCGATGAAGCTGATACAGAGGAACGAGTTCAATGAGAAAAAATTATTGTATCGTAATAATAATAATAATAATAAATAGTTTCCGTTTGTATTGATTCCAACAACTCTGGTTAATTTTACCTGCGATAGGGATCGATAAGTTAATCTCATGGTGTCAACGACATTGATTGTGGTATGCGCGAAACGTAACCATGCCGATATTTTGAAGTTTTGGTTATTCTTGAAACAAAACAGCTATGAGCATCTAGACATTTAACCTAAGCCGACTAAAAGCACCAGGAGGAATCCGGATTTACACTGTCCTCCCCCTGTTCAAAGAGCGTTAACTAATTTTGACTAGCATTATTTCCCGCTTTTTTTTTAGCAGCGTTCCATCTTGGCGTAAATCAGAGGTAACCGGCATGAACCCGCTATCGATAATCCAAATGATATTATTACAAGACACATTATCGTGTTATCTACGATAGTTATTGCATTTATAAGACAATCACAAATTAAAAGGAATATCTCGCTGGTACGATAGCATTTTTTGATGCAACCAAAGCCGAATCTTATGCTTATGCCATGTCTAAAATCGACTGCCACATTTTTTCCGTGCGGGCAGATTCGCAGAATGTAGCTTTCGGCATTATAGTGCGGAACTTCTTCAGTTTCATTCTCCTCGAGTTACCCCCCTTACAACCCCAATATTGGCTTGCTCACAAATTTCGATATGGGCAGTAAAGTTAGCAGAGGTAGTAAAAAATTATGAGAATTGGCACATAGTAGAACATGCTGAAGAAGTAGGCCGAGAGTAAGAAAACTACTACTGGACGCTTTTTGCCCTTCGACCGTAGCTCCTATAGGTTTTCCTCCGACGGCTGTCGGTCTCCAGCCTTCGATGTCCTCTCTGAGCGATTCTAAAACGAACGAAAGTCGAATCACCGGTTTCGTGGCAGAAAGACAAATAGACACAAAAGCAAAGAATTTTACTTCTACGATGGGCCTTTGAGACTAGAAAATCTTAGCTGAGCACGTCTGTGGATTGGAATACAGGGTCAGGGTAAATGCTAGTCAACAGAAAACCGAGATGGGTCCCAACAGAAGTGGCAGTGGCAGTACTTCTTCGGGACAGCAAGGGAGCAGCTGTTCCCGTTCACGGCTTGGAACAGGAATATAGGGTAAATTCTGGAATATACCACTGGAATCACGGAGTGCCAGCATCGGTGACGACTGGCACAAGCTGACCCATCGTTGGCTCGGGTAACTTAGGGATTCAGGGTAGTTTCTACAGCGCGGCAAGTAAGGCCGTATATCAGAGCAGTAGCTATACAAAGCGGAGACGGAACATGGGCTCAGCTCACAGACTCTGATGAGAACTCAGCACGACGAAGATGACGGTATCGTTTGCTGCTTGTGCTGCTGCGTGCTGTGGTGCTTGATTGCTGCTGTGCAATGTCTTGTGGTGAGTGACTGTTATTGGTTACAAAGTGCAAAATGCAAAAGCCTCAAAGAAAGCACCATTTCAGGAGAGAATAAGGGAGAAGGTAAAAAAAAGAGACGCGTTGCCGCGATAGACGAGCAACAGCATAAGGAAACAAAAAGGATAGGCCGACGGACAGAGCCCAGCAGCAAAGCGCTATCTGCCAAGTGAGCACGTGTTAGCTAGCTTCTACTTTCTTTGGCCTTTGCCCTTCTGTTGTATACACTCTAATAATTAAGCAGGCGCGAAGGCGCCTTTTGAACCGCGGCGGCTTTTATGGCTCGTCTGTAGCCCTACAGCCGCTTGACCAATGCAGCAGCACCTCCCCAGCCAGCGCTTGCGCTACGTTGGCAGCAACTACCATTGAAGCTGATAATGCTGATACTGTTCCTACTGCCCGCAGGGGCGCGTCAGATTCGTTGATCGGTGCTGCGCCCAGTTTTCCCTATACTGCGCTCGCCATGTAAAAGGAAGCGAGGTTCTCGGAGGTCAGATAGAGGTAGGGAAAGAGAAGAGTAAACAAGCGATGTGAAAAGTGCAGGAAATCTTGCGGCTTCTCTTTGGTTAGAGGATGTCCGACCGACCCATTGGGCAAGATGATATGGAGTTTGCGATGCAGTTTAATCCGACGGCGACGCGTGCAGAGATAGGCAACATATTGCAGTGGTAGTATCAGCATGAAGGCCCCCACCCCGCGCTAAACGAGAAGCAACTGAGAACATAGGAAAAAATGAGGACACGTCGAGGCCGCCACGATAACAATGGTGACGATCATAAACATCATCATCATTATATTGTCGCTGATGGTGAAGAGAGCCCGCATAGGTCCTCTGATCGTCAACAGCTTGGAGAAATCTGCTGTTAAAAGTCGTGGGTCTCCAACAGACGCTCCTAAGCGTATTCTTGCGAAGGTTGTGTTCATCTTAAATTTCCGTCTTTTGAGCTCCTTTTGACTTTGGCTTCTGACCCTGCCACTGCTTCTTAGCTGTTACAGTGCTCGTCACTGGTTTTTTGAAGGAGATATGCCTTCCACCAAGTAAACACAGAATACGCAAAACGAACATATGACAATAGGGAGGCTCAAAAACTACAGTTGAGTCGTACGGGATCGGATATTTTTTGGGCAGAAGAAGTGAATACACAGGAGATCGGTTGTTTTTTGCTCCGAAAATTGCTACATTGGTTGCCTTTCTGCGCTTCTGTATTTTCTTAGAGAGCACGTTAGCTTATCGGGTCACACTCCATCGGCCTCTGACGTTGCGTTTGAGGATTTTTCATCCGCACGTTAACACCTCATATGCAAAGTATGAATATGTGACAGGGAAAAGCAAAGTGTTAGGGGGTTAAAATGGACGAAGGGAGCAAGTCTCAAAGGAATATGATTTTGCAGGTATAACTTAACCTCCATTCTTTTTATGGATTTCAAAACTCTTTGGAAGGTAGGAATTAGACTAGGCCAAGGGAAAGGCGGGAAAGGCGGGAAAGACGGGCTAAACGAGAAAATGCTCGGGCACGCAAGAGCCAGTCGAAGGGGAAGTAGCAAACTCAGCGACGATATGAATGCTAATAAATACCTACTACTGAATAAGCGCAGAAGGGAAGCTAGTCTATAGGTCTATAGAGTTTATGGCTTGGGCTTCTACCTCTCCCTTCATTCTCCCCCCTTTTTTTGCCCAGTGCAGCTCGACGAGATGTAAGTACCTGGGCATTTCTCCATGATGAAGAGGTAATAGCAATATCATGCAGGACAAGGATCGACTATGACGATCAAGCCGCCAGCCCGCGCAAAACCAATCTCACCTTCTCTGCTGTCACCAGCTGAGAATTTGATAAAATACGAGACGTCAAAAGCGATAAAAGAACTATTGTAATAGTACTGACGATCTATGTCGAGACGACCGTATGCAAGACAGAACCGAAGCCTTCTCTATAACGTTCCGACCGACTGCCTTCAAGTCTGATCTGCATTTGAATACCCAAGCCGCCGACTATACAGTCCCTATCTTTATGTTTAAATCGAAAACATCCCCAAGCTCTTTGGGCTGGGCAGAGTCGTAGTACACGATAAAAAAAAAGTCATATTGTCAATAGAATAACTAATAAAGCGTTCTCTTATTGTGGTACATTTAACTAAATGATAGTGTATCTCGTCGTCAGGGGCTGGGACCTTAGACTGGCGGGTGCAGTCTTTGAGAGAACTGTCTCTCGACGAATTTCACAGCAGAAATATTCGTGTGCGCATTTTTAGGTCGGCGCTACGATTATGACATTGAAGGCAAAAGTCATCTAGGACACTGATGAACCAACATGGTTGTACGTCTCATAAAGTAACTTCAATTAGCGTCATGAAATGAAAACCAATGGAAAAACCATTTAGTTGAATAGGAACTTTTAGAATAAATACTAAACTAGTTTATCCTGTTTTATGCCAATCATGTCATCATTTCTACGGTATAAATTTTTGGTATATATATATGTACATATAAGTCAAAGGAATACACGAATTCATTAAGAGATAACTTTAACTAAATTACTAGCTCCTCATAAGTTGTAAGTTTGGCGATAACTAACTAAAAATACCAAGGTAATGGTCTTGTGCGTAATATACTGTAACTGACAAGTTGTGAAATATTTATATTTTGAATTTTCTATATTTAAATTAGTGTGAAGTCCCGCTAAATAGCAACAATGGTTTTAAATCATAGTTTTGTAGTTTACTTATTGTAGTTCCTACTTTTATCCTAGTTTTCCTACTTGCTGCCCTCAAAAATCATGATTTGATATGTAACCTGCTAGCTTCATATTAAGATTTTCCGTTAAAGGGATTTGTGTCATGCAGTCAAAACAATTACTATAGACCGAATAGAAACATACGGTTATTATCGTTGGGTCAGATGCGTTTGCACTCCAGCAATGACGCAAATGAAGGTTGTGTCAAAAGTTTTTCGAAAACACTGTTATAAGCTTTCTTGGTTATCTGAAATCGATAATTTCGGGGCACGGAATGATAACATCATCGCGTAATGACGACGATTAGGCAGTTGTTTATTATTATGGGGTTTACGGAACGTCTGAGTAGAGCGAGTCTGATTCAATGACAAAAGTGTACCCAAAAGACTCAAAATCTCCATCGAGAGCGTACAGTTGCATACTTGATAACACTGATGTCACAACCTGAAACTTTTTTTAGATAACCATAGCGTCTAGTTTGTGGAAACCCCAAGTACGCTTGCTGTATCGTAAAAGTCCTAACAGATGCTCTCTCAGAACGTTACGCCAGAGACTTCTTCCATGTTGAGCTCTCTTAAATCCTAAATGTTTCGAGTTTTACATATAGCACTGTCGTAAGCATTACTTCAGAGGGCAGAGGTTCAGTTCGAAGTGTTTCTAAGCTTTGTTTAAAACCTAAGTTTCTGGGATTAATTGGCAAACTTGCAGTTTCTGTGCTTTCATCAGAACGCTTTCTTAGCCTTGTGAAGCATGAATTTTTTTTTACCAACGAGAGAATCTTTGTCTAAAGGTGTTTTTATTATAATGAACTAAATCTCTTATTTGCAAGTCTTAGCATTAGGTTATTTACATTATATTGACGAAAAACTATTGACCCTTATAAACCAGAAGTGAAGCACGCATTTTGTGTGTTCTGGAACAACGTTACTAAACTATATATGCGCTATTTTGATGGATGACCTGCTGTGATTTTCTAATTACACTATAGTGCCGTCACTGTAGAACTTTTATTGTTTATTGTAAAGCGGACAACTGTGAGGAAAAATGTTTGCTTTTCTCTGCTGAAGACGATACATCGGTATCAAATGAATGGTATTAAGAAAGTTTTGCAAAGACCGAAACAGATAGATAGTCTGACGGTGTAAGATTAGAGCTATACGGCGCGTGCGTGGAAATTTCTCATCGATTTTCGCAGTGCGTCTAAAGATGTATGTCATTGCACTGTCATGGTGGAAGACGACGCCTTTTCTGTTTACTGATTTCGGTCATCTTTTTCTTAATAGCTTGTTATAATCTCGTCGGTTGTTGGCAGTAGAAATCTTAATTATTTTGCCAGGTAGCGACAGTTAACAGTCCCTTTCGAATTTTACTAAACACATAGCGTCAGCTTCTTTGACACCCGCCTGGGTCACAGATAGTGAAGCATTTTCTCATTTACACATTACCACTGTTATTATTTGTATGTGTTTTTCATCCTTCGTAATTAGCCGTTTTAGAAGTGACTAGATATCTTTGTATTTTTGTAAAATTTCATAGAGGGACGCAAAATGGGTAAATTCGTTTTGCATAAACTCGTGCAGCATCCAAACATCAAGCCTATTTTCATCCAGTTTTATTCAAAAGGTTTGAAACTGAAGGTGAATGCTGAGTTGTTCGGCAATATTATGGTCTCGCTCAACTTTCGCAATAATTCCATCGTTTTTTTTCGGTACTGTTCGACCATTACGAGGAGCGCGTGTAACGTCGAAATTTCCGCAACGAAAAGAACAGAATTATCTTTAGACCGTTTCCAAACAAATTTTGTGTATTTAAACGTTAATTTTTAACCGTTCGAAACTCGTTCAGTATAAGACAAAATGATATGAACCTTACAAATAACTTTAAAGTACTATTGCTAATAAGTAGCGACACGAGCCGTCTCTTAAATTGAGCCAACTAGCTTTCCGCAAGGAAACCATCACTTGTATTAACACGTGTTTATTTATACTGCCATTCACACAGTTGGATATCGTCACTTGTCGATATCCCAGTTTAATCCACCAACCTACTTCTGTGGTTGCCTAATAATCTACTCTACGTATCAAATTAAGTTTTTTTTAGTTGTGCCGGTTTTCATTTATTTGAATATATAACGTAAGTGAAAGTATAAGGTTAATACACGGCAGAAACATTTTCCATATTGAACTTCTTTCCATATACACATGAACATGTAATCCTATCGAATTATAAATTTACAACCAATACCACGAATTGAGTATTGGCAGTACAATAATAGCCATAAATCATCTTCCCTTCATATACCTATAGTGCGTGACGGAATTACACTGCCTGTGCTGCGGGCGGGTTACAGAGACACGGCGAACCTTCGATATCGACAGATGGGCTTCAGCCGGGGCTTCGGTTTAGGAGAGCAGGTCGGCTGGAAGGAAGGCTATCAGTTAGGTTTACAGCGAGGTGCGCAGCTGGCCACTGAATTGGGCTTCTATCAAGGATTCGTGCACGCGTGGATCACGATCCTCGAACATGAAGATCCTTCGAAGCAAAGGTAAGACGCACGTTATAAAAGATAGCAAACGTTAGTTTGTGTAACATCGGTAACTTAGTAAGCAGCTATTAAACAGTTTCAAAACGCAAACGACCTCGTCGTCATTCGTTCATTCGGATGGCTATGATCTTGCAGTAGAAAAATAGTATAGTTTTATTCAGTCTTGCATATAAAATACATCTAGCCAACCTTCATCATACCTATTTAACACCTAAAACGCGAGTTTTAGTATAGTAACACATCAAACTCGAATATTTTGCAGAAAACTAGCTGCGCTGAAGGGTCTCCTCGAAATGACGAAAAATTTCCCGAAACAGACGGTAGCTGACGATGACATGTTCGAGAAACTTCACAAGATTCGCGCCAAGTTTAAGCAGGTAGACATCACTTCTTCGTAACTATAGTACACGATATCCGGATAAATAGATGTTTCAAATTTTACATCCAATACTGCCGTTAAGCAGTGTTTTATACAGCGAACTGCCATCATAAAACGGGGTCTATGCCCGGATCGAACCTAGTCTGCCACATGTGCCACAAGCTCATATGCAGCTCTAGCTTAAACAAATAATCATATCAGTTAGCTTTTCCACTGGTCACAATAAATATTGCATTGAGGCACGGTCATAAGCTATCGATGTTAACGTCCTGGTAGATGATACCCAGATCTGTCCGATAAAAAGTTCACTGAATGAGAAAATAAACAGCGATATTCTGTTAAATTTTCTGTTAGTTGAATTTCACCAGCTAAAATATGTAATGGAGACATATGCTGTAAACAATCTATTTTTGAGCACAACAAATAGGATACGCTATCGTTGGAGGCATAGCTATATATATATATATATATATAGACAGAAAATTCACTTAGATATTCAAATCATTCATCATAGAAATTAGTCGACAAGCAAAGGAATTGCTTTTTACATTTCATCAGTTTCATTCGTACATACCGTGGCACTTTTCGCACAACGTACCAGAAGCGATTCGTGCCAATAACGGGATTGTCCCTGTGAGATAGACCTGTCCCTGCGTGAAGGATAACTAGGACGGTCCTGAGTTTAGCTTTAATGTTATTTATGTATGTTTAATATTACGGTAACACACATACACTCATTCTCTCAACTCTTCCATTTTATCGACCAATTTACAAAAGGGCCAGAAATTTGAAACTGTACCCTCGCAAGCTAATTTAACATATACTGCTCTGCCGCTCGTGGAAGACGCATATGAAAATGTTGTGGCCTTAGTTTTGAAACAGTTAGCTATAGGGTTGCTACCCTAAAGGGACACGGACAATAACAGAAAAAAATCCAACTATCTTATAGGCCCGCATAATTTATAATGCTTGAATGTAAAGGCAAACTCGTGAAAGCGTGACAGATTTCTAGCCGATTGTTAAAATCTCTTGTTTGACATAGACGTTGACCTGAAACGAGTTGAAAGCGTAAACCAGAGTGCGCAGCGGAAACCGTAGAAATACTTAAACAGAATCCGAACCTTGCAGAACGCCAACCTAAGGATGAGTCAGCCTGTTCAAAGGATTCCAGTTGCAATGAGTGAAAAACAGGCTGCTCCTTGTTGGCTGTTGTGATTGATAGAGGGGGGAACTGTGTTTGTGTTCGATGAGGACAGCAAACGAAGACAACTTTGTGTATAGATCGTAATATCTATTCGGCAATGCTTACAGCAATGTGATTTATATGCATTTTGCGTATATGCATCATAAAGAGCATTCGACGAAAAGAAAAGTGTTCAGTTTCAGAAAAAGCCGAATACACCACTCTGAGGAAATCACTCCTCTGAAGCACATGATTACTCCAAAGTTTAATGTATAAGATAAATCGTTTTGTTTCATCGTTTCTTCTGTTTGTGATCTTCAAGGTTGTAGCACTGTTGGAGTTGGGCGCGGACCAGGTGGTTGGCCAACAATCGACAGGAGGTGACCGAGGAGGTGCCACAACCCCCGGCCATGGTCCTCCCCCGTCAGGCTTCCACCAGACCGAGCCTATCTACAGCACGTCAATGAAACAGCAACACCACGGAGTTAGCGGCGGCGGCGGCGGCGTTGGAATGCATCATCAACAACAGCCTCAACATCATCATCATCATCACCATGCATCAACACAACAACAACAGCAACAACATCAGCAGCAGCAGCAGCAGCAACACCCCTCTGCGTCAGCCGCTCACCATTATCATCAGTCCCTGCAGCAAATGCAACAGCAGCAGCAGCAGCAACATGGCACAGGGGTGTATCCTCAGGGTGAGAAAGGACGCAGTGAAAAAGAGGGGGGGCGGGTGGAATAGCCGCGTTGATGTGCGATAATGTTCGATATATGACCTGTTCATGGTTGATTGCTCGGGCACTCATACACTCACATATAGCACGGGCCAAAAGTTAAGTTACAGCTGAGCGAATAGTAGGTTAGCAGACACGAGAAAGTATCAGGAGAAAGGAAAGTTAAAAAAACAGTAATGTAGACCACTGGGAAACTTACCCGTTGTTGCATGGTTTGGCTGTGCCAACAGAACCTAATACCTTACAGACCTACTAATTAAATGAGCAAGTTCATAAAATTTTTTCGTATACAAGCACATATACGAACATATCTGATCCGTAATCTTATACTTATGAAGCATGCCCATCCTATATTTAAAGCTTAACGCTTTGAAAGGTACGGGATTTTTTCCTTGACGCTCATTGAGTCTGCTTTATAAAATGCATTGTGAGCTCTAAGCGACCGGTCCGCCTCGTTTCGTTACTTTTTCGAGAAACGTTTTGGAAATCCGTGAAAAACATGGTTCGGACGTCTTTTGCAGGGTCGTACCGGTCGCACACGCATCCGCCCCCGGTGAGCCACGTTGGAGCTTCGGGCGGAGTTCCTTCGGGCGGCCGCGGGGGTGTAGGAATGATGGGGGACCCGTCACGACCCTCCTCGAAGCACTCTGAGATGTCCTTCTAGTCCCTGCCTAAGAACACTTTGCATTCTGCTCTACCATTCGACTCAGCAACTACAATAAAACAACAACAACAACAACAACAACGACCACTACCGACAACTTTGTCTTCCGACACTGGTATCCAGCTGCTAGGTGCAGCTGGTGTTGCGACAACAGCCATAGATGACACATCATCCAGCAGATATATTAACAAAAAGCTCAGTCTCAGCACCCCTGAAGGTAAGACCTCTGAGAAGCGCACCGCATTTCATTGACACAATTTGTTATAATATTACAGAAAATTGGACGGGACGTCTGCTTCGAATTCAAAGCTGTGAAATGAAAGTTGAGGCGGTAATTAACGCTCTGCTCAAAATAACAATTATCTAGGTTGTACTAACAGATATTAATGTAGGTGATCTTAAGTTATAATCGATTTTTGCGTACTGTTACATTTTGAACGTATAAACAAAAAATGTACAGCATTTTATATACGAAGAATAGCTTAGATTTTATAGGATAAAGGATCATGCAGTCGTCGAAGCCGTGTGCTGCTAAGATTTCGACAAATTAAATTTCCACTATTTCATATTTAAGCACAACTTGTTTATATTGCTACGCAAGTTTACCAGTAAAACGAAATGATACTTAATCACATGATCACTTTATTAATTCTAAGTCCGTATCAAAAAAAGGTCTTTCCTGGAAGCGACATGCCGTTAGGTTGTCTGGAGCTATTTAGTAAGTTCAACTGTACGACATTTTAAACGCGTTACGTGTACTTATTTTTATTGATTGCTAAATTCAATACAATGCTCTGGCTGTATCTTGAAGGCTGTGCATTTGATGTCAAATCTCAATTATCAACTACTTCTTTGACGCTAGATTACGCTAAATTGCCTATCAATCTCTTTAAGACATGAAAGCAATAAAACTTATATGGGTTTAAATATGGAGAATATGGAAGCCGAAGCCACTGCTAACATTTTCCGCAATGAGAACGTACGATTTCATTGAGTAGCCGCACTGTGTTTTATTGATCAAAATTTCAAGACCGCATTCATTATTTCCTGTTCGGGTAGTAGATACTGTTGGTATCTACTACAGCTACGAACTTCCGTCCGAATGAATTCGGCATTGCCACCAAAGTAACTTTTTGCCTGATTCGATGCTTTCGGCTGACTCTTCCCTGGCGAGCGGCACAGACTGACGCATGTCTCGTTTATAGCGAGGGTGGGTTTTTTGCTAATAATAACTGTGCAAATGGTCTCTAGATTGTACTACAGTTGTATTAGAGAAGCTTCGTTTCAAACTTGGAAACCTGTGTATGAATGCCATATTGGGCCGGATCGGCAGAGCCACTGTCGGTTCTCTTTTTCTCCTTCCACAAAATTTTTATGAATAAAGTCATCTCTGTTGTAGTCCTTAGCATTCAAGTAGTGTTTTAACTATTTTCGATAGATGTCATTAGATCTGACATCTCCGAAAAATAAAGATCTAGTTATTAACGTTGACTTTTATTACTAAGCAATATCTCGAAATGCGAGTTTATTATTCTCTACATGCAATCAGCTTACAGTCGCTTCTCTCGCATATCAATTGTAGTATCGGCGCCATTACGTCAATATATAGCATTATTATAACTTCTCACAATCGCATCGTTTACAGACCTGTGCCGTGAAGGCGTCATGGCGCCTTCGCCTGGAAGCGCTACGGGTGTAGGCAGTGATTTGTCTTCTGCTCAGCCTACGCCACGCAGGCGTCATAAGCGCCACCGATCGCAGTCGCACATTGCGCCTACCGACCCGTTGCCTCCACTTCCTCCCCTGCCGCCCGGAGACGCCATCTACCAGACGATCCAGCCTCAGGGGAGCATCACGGGTAGCCAGCGAGGGGAAGCTAGCCGTACACTGCCGCTCAGCACAACAACGGCAGGTCATTTACAACAGCAGGTGCGGACACGTAGTAAGGAGACGTTAATTGACGGAGCGGGAGATTACGCCACGACCACACGGCAAATAGCAACAATGTCTCAGAGAGCACAAAACATTTTAGCACAACACTCTGGCCAGTTTCTGCAGGCGCCTCCACGAAACAGACACACTCGAAGTCAAAGCCCTAGAGATCACAGAGGCCACCTGCGACAAGCCTCACATCCCAGTTATTCGGCTTTGTCGACGGCGCAGCAAGGCTATTGTTCGTCACATAGCACGTATCAGCCAGGTGTTGCGGCGCACAAAAGCCTCGAGCGCGTTGGCGCCGTCAGTACTCATGACCATCGGACATCGGGTTCAGCACATCACCATGCCGGACGACCTGGGCGTACGCAGGGCCTTTCGACCTACGCCACCCACAGCGGTGATGGGCATGCGAGTGGCCATGGACACTACGACACAAGCCGCTACCCTGGTCAACTACAGGGAATCACCGAAGGTCACCAAAGTCATGGTGGCTATCCAAACACGATCATCACGTATGACGAACTATGCGAAAGCGTTGAAAACGAACGTCAACGTCGACGCCAACGCGAAAAGAGCCGGACCCGTTGCTGCTGGTGCAGCTGTGGAGAATGCTGCCGACAGATTGTCAAGCTGGCTTTCGTCTTAACAGTGCTCTTAGCCATTTTGGTCGTCGCCTGCAAGTTCTGGTGCCCCGATTCCTGCAAAAACTATCTATTCTTCGGCAACAGTAGCAGCATCAAAGTCGAAACCTCTAGCCGATAGCGTTTGTTAATTCTCGAATTTTTCAACACATTAGCGACATTTATGGTTTTTGCTGCGACTTAGCCAACTGGCTGGAATGAAGGCACTGACGATATGAACTTAATTAGCGTCAAAGCCACTTTTACCACCGTTTCCGCCTGTGATTTGGTAGTGATTCGCTCTCGTCAGCCACCCCTACCTTCGTCGTCTCTGTTCTGTCTTTTTCCATGCATCTATATGACGTGACCGCCGCTTGTACCGATACCCGAGTGAAGCCAATGTGCGAAAGGCCTAAAATGAATTTCTCCAATCTGGGGATAGAGAGACCTAGGAGAGGAAAAAAGTCACAAAAAGACATAGATGTAGAGAGAAAGGGGAAAGCCAACCGTCCTGAGAAAAATTGCGTTCTACGTCGTCTTCTAATCGTTTGGCTCATACGATTTGCTACGACAGACTCTATACGTGCGTTCAGCGAACGTCTTTGCGCTACATGTACAGAGCAGTGTACGCAGACAGTGGTGCATGCGGCTTACTCAAGTACCTGGCGAGAACGTGTCCGAATTAGATGGAGGAGTCACTGTCTGCGCCCGATAAGACAACAACAAGGAAGGACGAATGCTAATTAGCAACAATACGAGAAGCATACAAGGCATGGGAGAGTCATGCGTTTGTAAATGCAACTTGAACAAAACAGAAACGTTGACGCAAATTAGTTCAGGCGGTATGAACGCCTCCTCCAAACACGTTGCGTGATCAACAATAATACTGATGAAAACAATAAAAGGCAACGGCGACAGCGGCAGAACGAAAAACAAACAAAACCTAGCAACAACCGATTGTGAGCAAAGTTGATTACTGAACAAAAGGCAGAAGCCAAATTACCTTGAGGCCCAAAGACGACTAATCAGAAAGCTACTAGCAATTAAACTAATAATGAGTAATATATACAAATTAAAAATCAACTAGAGTGATTGCTGCGATAGGCAATTATGTGCAATAGAGACAAATACATATATTCCCAGAAAAAAAATACATCTATCAATGATAATAATGGACAATGGTGTTGCAACATGCAAACCCGTGCGCGCACACACCTACGAAGCAATAAGGCCAGTACACTGCAATAACAGGTACAATAAAAATGTCGACGAGGAGTGTAACACTAACGTTTCTAAAAACACGAGGATGCTCGTTAGGCAGTGGCTATGTGGCAGAGGCGACGAGTGAACCAATAAGCCAGCTCTGCTCGTGCGCTCGCCGTCGTCGGCGGACATTGAACGAGATCAATCTGCTAAAAAAATCTACAACTTAATGTCATCGGAAAACACCATCGTAATAGTAACTAATTTTAATCAAACTAGGACTAGATGTAAATATAGTACAAAATCTTAAGTATAAATCGGCCATCTCGCGTCCAACTCATGGCATTGTGACACTGCAACAAATATTTCACTAAAGGTCACGATTATCAAAATAAATCAAGCGTTTGAACCGTGGCAGATATGTTGTAAAGCTTTCATTAGAATAATAACAAATGGTAAGTTATTAGACATGAATTAGCAAAATGCATTGAAATGTGCTAGGTAGGACATAATTACAACGGTAAGCTATACGTTTCCAGTACCTAGCTATTGATTAAAATGAACGAGAAAAGCCTATTGTGGGTTATATAGAAGGTACATGAAAAAAAAACAGTGTCTCAGTGATTGGCTTGGTTTTATACTGGCCCCTCATACCACCTTTGAAATTAAATCTTTAGTAGTCGTTCTGAAAGTAATGTATTCCCAAATAACTAGGATCTCGAAAATTACGATTCCAAAGTGATAGGCATACTATAAGTCGTTTCTGGTTGCTATAGATAAATGAGATTTGACAGCCACAAGCCTTATTAAAGAATAATCTAACTTGGGCTTGCTTGATTGACAGCAGATTGACACAACTTGTGTAACTGTAATTGAAAAAGAGCCACGCCGACGCCATCGTCATTAAAAAACTGGCTGGGCCTCTTAACCTGAACACGCAGACGACACCTGCTTGACGCTTCACGTTCTGGGCTGTCAACATCGAATCGACTATAACATGAGTAGATATAGGAAACAGCGTTACCTTGATACGTTCGTAACGAAGACATCAAAGGAAAACAAGTAAAATATGGCGACACTACAATGGAAGCCCCGTACTACAAATAACGCTGGCTTCCGTTTGCATTATTACCAAGACGTTTACCTTCGTACAGATTATTAGCCACTAATATACCGTAATGTGAGTTATCACGTAAACAGAAGACAAAGTAAAAGTTTAATTGCTCACAAAAATAATAGAAGAAAGGAAAGAAAGACACTGCGGTAACGTAGCTGTGTATGCAAATACTAACTACGTTCAAATACCTATAATGATAAGTAATGAAAAAACGAGAGTGACGAAGACAGAAACGACAAACTGATATAAACAGTAATAACAACACTACTAATCATAATAATATTATTAACAATAGTAATACTGACAAAGCTGAGAAGTGCGTTAAATAAATAACAATTATAATAAACTAATAACAACTAATTAAGTAACTCAATCTCAACAAAGAGACCTAGACACTAATGTCTGTGATCAAATTATACGCGAGCGAGCAGTGCCCTTTAATGTGGTTTCCGGCTGGCCGAACGATCAAGAACGATAGTTGTGTTTTTACGTACAACCAATTAATCATAACTTCCCTGTGATGCCCTGCTGCTGATTACCAAATGAAAACAGGGTCTTACAACAAACAACTAGTAACAATCTGGTCGTTTTTGAACGACTGAACGAGTCAACATTTTGGCATAGATTTTCAACTAATCCTTAAGGCATTTTCCTACTTATGGTCAATTAGTAGCTAGCAAACTTTTCAAAACTTCGAATCATTTCACTTGTAGTGACAGAGAAAAATCTGTATATCCTATGGGGACCGCTTACCCGTTTAGTTAAATGCGAATAGCGTACATACACAGCCGATAATTCAATGTGGTCATCGGGAAGTTGGAAACCTCAGAAATGGCTACAAATGTTGCCGCTAGAAAGACTGTAGCATTTTTCATTTAAAGCAACTGCTACAATATCAACACATCTAGCACAATTTAGAATTTATTTTGTTAGGAAAAAATCAAGTGAACGAAATGGGCGTTGCCTAGATACTTTGGTTTCTTTGCGTTTTTAATTCGGCACTCGATTAGAAAAAACAATTTGGGACTGACGCCATCTGCCAAATAAGCGAAAAGCAAAGTGATGTATGTAACATTGTTACGTCAAAACAACTAACGTTTAGTGCTTTTAAATCCGTTTCTTTTTTCTGCTGAAGTTCATCTTTCTTGTCAGTTGTTGAAGTCAATATCCAGAGCAGTACGTCACGCGTGGACTGTCGCTGTGGTTGTGACATAGAAGATCATCTGGCATCACGTAGATCGTCTAATTGTTCACTTTTGCCCATTTTGACCATTCGATCATATCTTTAGCGGAACTGAACTCTGCATGGTTACGCAAGCAATAGCTTCAAGTCAGGATTAAACCAAGATGCTGGTGCAATGTAAGTGCCAGTGGTGTTCACGTGACATACTCCCCATAAGGATGCGGCTTATAATAATTATATTATATAATGGAGCCGATAAAATTTATGAGCTAGCTCCTGTTTGAGGAACGGATAACGAACGCAGACCAGACAAGGGCATTAAACAGATCACCTTGGTGGTAGACAATGGGCTAATCCTATACCGAATATTGGTTGCACATTCCTCGTTCAGGTGTATTTATATATTGGTGCAAGGCGCTGCAGCGAAGAAAAGTGGGGTGAAAGCAGAGCACATCTACATACATTTACACACACACACAGTCTGAGGGGTAAAAGTCAAAGCTTAGAATAACGAGCTTAGCCCTCAATGAGGTGTGGCGCAGCCGTGTCCTTACAACTGTAAAACTCCACTGGCCTGAATAATGAAAATAGTGCCATTCACGATGATGATTATGATGACGATGACGATGACGATGATGATGAATTCAATCAATGCTGATGATCAAAATGCGTAGGTGAAAGATTGACTCCGGCACGAGGCTGATGTGTAAGGCAGAATGCAATGTGATTCCTTTAAACCCAAAGGGGGATATTATTACATCCTGCGATGACAGCGAGAATAACATGAAAAACAGGCCAAATGGAAATATCTACGAAAAATACTAAGAACAACAACAATAACGAGAATACCGGCGAGCCAACTAGCTAAAATAGATGTATATACATCAATGCATTGGCCACAAATTGCTTCCTCACCTGCTCAAACGTTAAACAATGCTTGATTATTATTTCTACCATTAAGCGCCGCTTCCTATTTAGCTGCTGGTAGCAACCAAACAAATGGGTAAAATCGTATTATCACTATAATACCACAGACGCGTGCACATGCTCTCGGACTGAAGAGCTAGGAATTAGCAACTCACAATCAATGAATTCGAGTAGCTGTGAGCTTTGCGTCGAACATTTGACAAAACAAAGAAAAAGGAATAAGGCAATAGGAAGACGACTGTCGCGGGTGGTTTGCGATGACAAATACCTAAAAGTTGACAAAGGACGTTTTCCTGGTCTTGCTGATTTACCAAGCTCAATGAGTTGCAGGACTTCTTGTAGAACGCTGCAACTCAATGCACCCATTGTTTTATCAAATGACAATGACCGCGTAATGGTCAGTTGTGCTAATTCAAATCGAATCAGACCGTCACCACCCATGGACTAGTCCTTCACAGATTTATCTTCGTACAGAAAGAAACGAAAATAGCCCATCACACAAACTCATCAATGCTGTGACTAACAGTGCTACCCTAGACCACACGTACAGAGAGTCACACTATGTATTCAATTTATACTAGCCCAAGTTATCTATTGACGAGATGAATTCAAGGAGAAGATGTGGGTATTCACTCGACAGCAAGAAAACGGTTACCTGATTGGAACTGAATAAAATAGAAAATCCAATGTCCAACAGACAATAAAATCTCACCTGAGAGAAAAAAGGTAATCTGCTCTGAGTAAAGAAATTCAAAAAAAAGCAAAGGGTAACAACCACTAGCTACATGCAAGTGCTAGCTTGGAATAAATGTTAATATGCCTCTTCGACACTAACCTCTTGTTATAGGATGAACGGGCATTGGAGAATGATGGTGTGATCTACAGTTTGTTGATGACTGGGGGTGGAGCCCTTTTTTGTTTATGGTAACACACGAAACCCACCATCAGCCGTATTGCCATGGCGGATCTCGTGGAATTTAAACTGGACAACTCAAGGGATACACAGTATGAGAGATCAATTCATAGCAGCGAGTGCGAACCAGAACGGTGTAATGCGAGAAACAAGCCGGTCCAATTTGTAAAAATAGGTCCGCTAATTATTGACACTGCCCATCTGTAGAAGCTAATGAGAGAAACAATAGTGTCAGTCTCGACGCATGATACTGCCAATGACGATCGACTTTTATGGCGTGCGATGCTCGCCAGACAAGCTTGTCATACCGGCAGTGGAGAAGCCACAGTGACTGATAAAAGAGACACAAGGCCTGAGAGGTGGAAACTTTATGAGAAAATGAAGTGACGGCTTTCAGTGTGAAGGACGGCAGCAAATATAACAAACCCCTGCCAACAAATCCCCCAGCAAACATACATGCATTGTAATAATTTGCCACTGACTGTTGAGCGATGATGATAAGCGTAATTAATAGACCGTGAGGATCGAAGTCAGTCGGTAAGCTTCTAATTGACTTTGGACCGGTCACCGAGAAAAGAAAGCACTTCAGAAGGAACCGCCAATCGGCCCTTGGCAACCTTTCCCCGGTGACAACTATGCCAAAACGTAATTGTAAATCAATAAAATATATGTGTGTGTGTGTGTGTGTGTGTGTGTTACCAAATAAAAAATGCTAGAAGAAAGTAATAGATGCTATACGAGACAAGGAAGGTAATAAATAAAAGCGCGACAGAGGAGGTGAGCGATTTAGACGAACAAATACTTAGCGATTTTGTGAAAGAAAGAGGTGGACATTGAAAATAAAACAAACCGAACGGTGCAACAGGTGCAACACTGCCCCTAGACATAAGAAAAAAAATAATGAAGACAAGCCATGTTACATTCATAATAATTATAATAACAATAATTCTACTTAGGAATACTAGCACTGCTTGCTTATTATTAATACCTAATAAGACATAATAATAACAGATATGGATGTTAACACATAGACGGTTAATGAACTTAGGAACCGGGTGCACAAAAGCGAGGCTTAAAATGAACTGAGTTACTGGTGAATGCTCTGAAAACACACGCAGGGAAGAATTAATAACAACACTATTGAAAATATAACGGTATAACATAGTTCGTTATAATAATAATTATATTATAAGTGATGATGATTTAATTAAGAAGTTAGCAATGAAAAATTAAGGATAACATTGATGAAAACATAATAATGATAATGAGTTACATAATGAAACCGATGACTAATATATATATATATATATATATATGAGATAGGAAGGTACGAATGAACAAAACGCGAAACAATAACAATAACAACAACACTCAACGTAACAGAAAGAAGAGATAAGCAGCCCGTTGTTTGTTACTTCAAATAAACTAATAATAACAATGACACAGTAACAGTAATAATAATGTTTATTACTACTATTACGATTATTATTATTATATATAGTCTATGACTGCGTGCATTGACCCTATTATAATAATATTATAGTACTGCTTATAATGAGACATGTTATGAATCAACAATTGCAATTATTATAAATGACATGGCAGAAGCTCTGCGCCTACTCAATCCTGTTCGCTGCTGTTCACCTAATGACGTAGCAAGTTTCCTATTTGACGCTGCACGACAACTTGACCCATTATTAACTTGATTAATTAGTTGTCATATCAGTAGTGAATATGCCACAGATCACTGGGCATGATCAGATTGAAACTCGTGTGAATAACTGCGCGACATCGCACGCGTTCTCTTCCAGTTATATTAACTCATCCGACATAAGAGCATCTTCTGCCTATTACTAGTAATAATAGCAGTATGCCTTTAACATTTATCTGTTGTTTATCTTAGAAACAACTCAAGATTTTTCTGTATCGTAGCGATACCTTCGAACCCTACTTCTACTGATTTTCCGCTTGATGTCTTAATTTAAGATCCGTAGCATCGGTCTTGTCTGTTGATGTCTGCGTGTTAATATTACATACATATGAAATAACTGTACCGTTTTGAGGCGAACGCATGGAGTTCATCCGTGAGGGTATCAGACCATATGGAACTAGTACAGACAAACGAAACCTCACGCGATTTGGCGATCGTTCGTTTATATTTGTCACAGCATACCGCCAACTTCCATTTGCGAAGAGCATCCACACGTCACGCCAGAGTGCTATATATTGTATAATGGAAATTATAATATTGCTGACTATTATTTTTATTGTTATTATGACTATTGTAAGTACAGTATTACTATTAGTATGATTATCAATGGAAACTGCTAACTAATCTATGACGGAATAAAACAGAACATAGGGGAGAATGAGAGAGTCAAAGGAAAGAGGGACAACTAAAGAGCTTCTCTATACAACCTTCATTATGACAGAGCTTAATAGTACGATGACGACGACGATGATGATAGTATGATTATTAAGAATATTATTGGAGTTCTCCTTCGTCTTCTTATGATCGCATTGTTATTGTATTGTAATTATATTACGATATAATGAATACCAACGTCAAGGAAACAAACCGAACAAAAGGCTAACAAGAAGAGTCAACTAAAACTAAGGCAAGCGATATATAAATTTTTTTACTATAATCTTCCACTCACATTCCTGCCACACATCCAAATGCATCCTTTTTGTTTTGCACTCTTAGTTGATAATACTATGCCATCAGAGGGCGCTAAGGAGGGGCCATTGAACTGGTTGATTTAAGCTGTTGTCTGCTACGCTATCGTCTGCAATTTACGTTACAGTAGATACAAACAAACCGAAAAAAGGCTATACAGAGTCTATAGGAGGTACGATAACATTTAAATAATAAATAGTCTACATTTCTATATGAACGCATTGTCCTCAAGCCTTAATAGTTCCCATAAATTTTTAGTTCTCCTTTACTTTGCCTAAAACGTAGCTTTGAAGAAACACTGGATTTGGCCCTATGTTTATAAACTCTACTCACTTAGAGCAATTACAAGAATCTATGTGGACTGCCTTAGCTCCACAAAGATCAAGAAAAGCTGGCTTGATCAAGAAAAGAAGGACTAAAACAAAATGACAGCAAACGCTCATTTCAGCGTGTCCATTGTGCGTATCTTCGCTTGGCCTCCAAAGCAACGCCTCTCCCGACGCCTACTTGTTTCATAATGCAATTTACACGCCGTATCGCTATGTTTAGTTGCTCCCTGCCTGCAGGGCACAAAATAGGCAGAACGAATAAAATCGAAGGCAGATAAACGGAATTAAATGACTCAAGTTAGATCCACTAGGAATTCACCCAGAAAAAAAAAAGGTCAGGCATAGGGAGGCTTTGCCATGTAAATAGTTCTTCGCCACAATTTCCACCCAGGCACTTAATGACAGCAACAACAAGAATGACAAATACAGCAAAAAAGAACGGACCCTAACAAGTACTTATATATGCTATATATATATATATATATATATATATATATAACGAGATAGTGTCAAAGAGGCGAACTATCGAAAGGACACATCGTGGCAGTTAGCTGTCTGGAACGACAGCTAAACATTACGGGCGCCTAGTTCCCACGTTTGAGGCGGGAACAATTTAAACAATAAAAAGAAAAGACGTGCAATCTCTAACCCATCCATATTCGGATCACATTGATAACTGAAATATAAAAAAGAAGTGGGGTCCAAGCAATTACTTCAAGTTGTACACCCTGGCCCGGCGTTGGATTAGAGCAGTAATCCAATGTACTGGAGACATACCAATACAGGCATTCTGCGGGATGTGCGGCGCCATTGATGCTACACCTTATGACCATAAAGAGGTCAATAATGAATAACTGCTATTAATATGTGGTGTGTACACAAGCGGTTTCGCTTGTCAGCGGTTTCGCCACCGTTGTTGTGAAAGTTGTGGAACAAATCACTGCCTCCCCAAAACGAATAACCTGGTAATTCCTGATGGGAGCCACGAAATCGAAGCGTTCACTTGTAGATTACACTGGTATGTTATCGGTGTCTGTACAACGAGAAATACGACCATAAAGAAAGATAAGTCCCACAGGTAAACATTGCCGGTTTGTATATGTCTCCTTCTTATAGATGCAAAGGGTTCAGAGAGATGCCGTCTACCCTAAAAATTTGTTTAGGCGTCCGAATGTTCGTTGTCGATAGGGGGCAAGGCCTAGAATATCCTGCCCCAGAAAACAAAAACAAAAAAGCGAAAGATAGAATGAAAAGCTTAAGACGATGACTCGACGAATGACCCGAAGGCAATCGAACACAAAATGAGTTCGTCCCCCTTTGAGATGGATGCATTTTATGTTCGGCAATTGGCTCACTTGCGGGGCCATCTCGGGCTGAACGGCTCACATTGGTGACCTGATCACTGCCAAATCTTAAAACACGTACGCACGACACACAAAACACGCAAAACAGACACACCCGCTGATCTAGCCAAACTGAGCGAGGAAAACAGAGCGAAAGAAAAAAACATGCTATAAAAATGATAATGATGATGATACCTAAAGACATGATAATGTTAAACCAAAACAGACAAAGAAGGACCGTTACTTGGACAGGATGTAATAGTGTGCTATCTTGATTGAAAGATGCATTTGCCTGAAAGGGGTTGCTGACCCGCGTAAGGTGAGAGAAACCGTACGCCTCAAGAGGGCTGCGCAAAACGAAGTGACAAAACGGCTTGACGGATGAATTAAGTAGTAGTCAACGAGAGGGATGAAAACTGTGTAGAACCAGACGATACTGTATAAGAGAAAGGGCGAAAGAAATGTCAACAATAACTCAACACGACTGACGAAGGCGACAAAGTTAATGACAAGGAAAATGAAGGGATGATAATGCTGATGATAATGATGGTGTGGATTAATTATTATAAATGTTAAATCTCTGAAAAAGGATGAAGTTGTTTGTTATTCCGATGAAGAAATAAATAAGAAGTATATCAAGATGATGATCGGAGCTTTTCTATATTTGTTTCTGAAAGCATGTTATTACATTGGTATAGCGACAGCTTCTCGAGCTGTGCAATAACATACGCAACATCTTTTACCTATGAACACGTAGGCTTACTAGCTTATTCATTTATTTCCCACACATCGTCCGCACCGGACACATACTAGCTGCTGCCTTATTCCATGATATCATTTTTCCCAGTTGATCCTAAATCAGATTTACACCGTCCATCCTGAGCTCAAATTCTGAACTCCAACTAGTTAGAGTGATTCTATCATTCGGTTATACTGGCCACGGTACACCATTGCAGTCATTTTCATTGTGTCATCGTGAATTTTTGATACAGTTTTCCAATCACCCAGTTTTATTAGCTCACTGCATTATTTGAGTAACCTTGTTACATTGTTGTGTTATCCCGCTATTCTGATCTAGAAAATCGATGATACCAGCAAATCTATTAGGTCTTTGATTCTTTTGTTACTCCAATTCAGATACTCCTTTTTGTGTTTTAGTCATATAATGATCTAGTAGCATATATCCCACACCTCCGTGTCAATTATTGCGTGCTCCTATTGTGAATAAAGACTTCTTGTACTAGCCGTTGGTTAGTTACCCTTTTAAGGTCATTTTGGTATCCCAAAGTGAAATTGACCTTCATTTTTAAAATTTCATGCAATTACTAAATCATATAAAGAATTTAAAAATATCTTAATCGCCTTCTAAAAAACATACGAAAATGAAAAAGTTGTTTTTTCGAAAGTCGAATTTCGTGTAAAAGTCCTGTTAAATGAAGCGGCAAAAACTAAGCATCACACAATAGATCACAAAGACCGTTAGAGCTGTTCTCGGGATAATCAGCATTAAAAAATTTACTCATTTAGGGTATAAAATAGGGACAAATTAGCTTAGGTACCTATCCACCTGTCTGGATACTTTTAGCTAAAAATAAAACATTTGCACCTACACAGAACCACTGATAATGCCTTAATAAAGCGAAAAAAAGAGTTTTCCAAAGACATAATATTTGTTAGATCAAAAAGCATAAAGGGGTGTCCATACACCAAAATAGCCATTACCTATTTACCACCAATATCTATATTTAATAATCTGCTATATTTTTTCAATTCTGCATTGGATCTGATGGCGGAGGTTTTGAGAAGTACATAGATTTGGTTTACAATTTTTCCTCAAGCAAATTTTTTCGTTATATATAACTGAGGTTACCTATACTCAGCAATTTCCAAAGCCACTACGGGAAAATAATTTACGTTTGCGACCATGAAGTTTCATTGGATTAAGCTAGGAAACAGACAAACACTAATTTCAAAAAGAGAAAGATTGTTCTCCATTTTTTTTTTATGAAAAGGGTTCTTTTGGCCTAAACATCAACCTTTCGTTCGCCCTTATTTACTCGAAATATTCAAAGCCAGTTGAATCATGTTTGCTTCTTGCATTGAATTCTTTTAGAGTTTACAATATAAGTAAAATGCAAGTTGTAAGTGCAGAATACCTACAACTTTTAGTTTTAGAAATCGCGCGTTATTCATGCTCAAAGAAAAGGTTTTGATTAGGCACTTTTTATTATTTTGTCTTAATTCTCACTTTACAGAGTCGTCAGACTCGTTTTATTATTAAAGTATATTTTAGCATACATATTAAAGCACCCTTGACAAAGTAAGATAGAAAACGTTATAAATTTCCAAGTATTTTCAGGAAGGTAAACATTTGATACTCTTTACTTTTATTGTTGGACCGACGAATTTACAGTATATACGTCTCTAATATACCTTGACTAAATCTATTCCGTTTTAGTGACTGTCACGTTTAGACGCGTAAATTAAATTCGAGTTTGTTTTTATAACTAACATAATGTCAATAAGATGGTATTTTTATATCGAATCATACGAGTTCACCTATATGCGATTTTTTTTACGAATGCGGCAACGATAGAGTTTTTTTATATTTATTAAGAAAGAGTTTAAGGGCACCCTTTTTAAAGTATAATGACATAGTATGCCATGATATGAAATTTATTAACACAGCAGCACGATTGTTATTCTAGCGCTTGGTTTGTAGTACGCGCTAATACTTTCTGCTGTGCAATGTTCAGCTGATTAGCAAATTTCGATAAAATTTTGGATATATGACATTTGTGCTAATCGGGAGTTATGTATGTAATGCAATGCAGAATCCACAACAGCTTTATGTTCTCTGTTCACCGATCTGAGGTCACTCCTCAAAAAGAATAATTGGCCATTTCGTTATCGGGTGTCTGTGATATTGATCAGGCGACAAGCGACATTTGTTAAGTGCGCGGTGACACATGAAGAGGATGAGAATAGCAGACTATACGTATGTATGTAATATACATCGAGGGAAGTAAAGCCTGTTTTGAACTACGCTTGATTTAGAACATTCATGCTCAAATGTTTTCATTGACATCAATATTTAAAACCTTGGTGTTGGACTAATAAGTTGCATTTCGGCGTTGGCAGTAGTTCTATGATCATGAATATATATTTTTTTTTTATTTCGTCACAGATATAGACAGAACTGGCGCCATTAGCTTCCGTCGCTTCATGGAGTGAAAGGGCATACGCGAAATATCAAAATATTCAAAGCAAAAAAAAGTTTTGCTTAAGTTGCAAAGTTACAAAGGTTGCTTACTTAAAAGTTAAAGTTAATCATCCAAATGAATTTATTGAAGACACTGTTATACTCATAAATGCGGAAAAATATTTATAGTTTAAGTAAATATTTTTATTCCTTCTGTTTATGTCATGTCTTTTTCACTAGCTTCAATCAACCAAGCTCTATCAACAAACTTCTCTTCACAAGTAACGTAAATATCTAGCAAGACTTCAATTTCCATTTTTAGCATTGGATTTATATAATTAGCAATGTTGGTTTAATATAAATAAATAGCATGAAAGTTATAAATTAGGCATTCCGTGCTTCCGGTAAATGCTTATTTAAGAATACTAGATTCGTCGTCATGGTCGTTCACGTTTACTTCTTTTGATTGATAATTTAAGATCGTTGTTGCATAACTAGGCCACACATATTCAAAGAAGCAACGCTATAGTTCAGGGCGTTTTTAGTTGTCATTGAGAATCGCCTAGATATTGCCTCCCCTTTTACAAGGAAAATAATAGTTAGCCAGTATTATCAAATACTATTTTAGATAAAGATTTGATTAAAAATGTTTCTAATGTATGAAGGTCTTTCCTTTGTTGTTACTAAGATTGTTACTAAGTTGTTAGTGCAGACTGCTGTTAGCAATAGATTTAGTAAGGCAAGTTTACAGGGCATTCTTTACAACGCTCCACAATGAGCTATTCAAGGCATAAGTTTACTGCTGCCCAGTCAAAAATGCAATATATATATATATATATGCAATGTATATTACCTAAGTTGTATCTTACAAGAAACACACACCGTTTACACTTAAAGGCAATATTATGTAACAATAATATACAGGACACTTTACTGGAAAATAAGCAAGTATCTCATTCAGAATGATAACCATAGCATACCACACGGGCGCTGTTTGCTACATGCTATGAATGTCCGTGTATCCATTTGTGTCTTTGTTAATGGCGATGGAAAGATGACGATGCTCTGTTCCATAAATAGTCTATTGGCTGTTACTGGCTCCGAGTCAGTCAGTACTCGTCACTCAGCTCGTTTCGATGTAGACTTTGCGTTTTCCGTAGATACGTATGTCACATATACCCGTGGTACGCGTCAATCATTCATTTACATAAATTATCCCTGGTTCAGCGTCTCTTTGTTTTGCCTACAGATTTTCATTTCGCACTCAATTATTTTATACTTTAGTGGTATGTAGCTCATAGAGTGCTTTTAATGCTATTATCGCGCCAGCTGTTGCTAGACGCCTATATATATATATATATATATATATATATATATATATATATACTACAATGGACAAATGAGAAATTTCAAAAAATATAATCGCTCAAGTGAAAAGTGTAAATGAAATATAATGAACACACGTAGTCAACGTATGATAAAAAAACATCTAGTGTAAATATTAGCGGTAAATAATCGTAAAACTATTATTAGCCACACCAATTTGATCGGTCAGTTTCAGTCTTTCCTCGTTCTTCGTCGTTGGACAAACCATCCTGGAGACTTTCAGTCGCGTCTTCGGCTATGGTGAGACCTGGGTAGAACGCCGCTATTCCCAAAGTCGTCGGAACCGGCAGACCCAAGTGAAACTGTCTCCTTGTCTCTAATTACTGTTCGCTCCGATGAGCCGTTATTATTTGCCTCTAGGACAACACGCTTTGAGCTAGACCGCGATCTCCGCCGGGATGGCGGAGGCGTCAGTGCCACGTTCATAAGTGTTCCCACTTTACGCAATAGATCATTGACGATATCGAGCGCGTTTGGCCGACCCCCCGATGAGTTAATAGACTTTTTCTTCTCGTGCATCATTGATGCCGACACGGCAGAACCTGGGGGCTGAAATTCTTCACCAGAATTCGTTACTCGGCTCGTCGCCACAGGTACATGTCGCTTTTGAACGTACAGTTCCTGCTTGAGGTCTCGGGTCTCTTCTTTGAGCCGTTGAACCATAACTGAAAGCTGTTCCTTCTCATCCAGTTCGCTTTCGAGAAAGGCGTTCCGTTCGATGGCGTTATTCAGCCGCGATTCGAACTCTTCGAGCGAAGCGGCCAGGGCGCGTTTGGCTCTTTCTAAATCGTCGTTATTCTGTTCGAGGCCGCGAATAAGTCGACTGAGCCGTTCATTGCATTCTTTCTCCTTGTGCAAGTCATCCTCCAGCTGTTCCAGCTGACCCTTCAATTCGGTGGTGACGAGAACGAACTTGTCCGCGTATAAATCGCGTTCCGCTTCGATTTTCTGCTTTGCTGCCTTCAGATCGCGGTTCTCTTTTTCTGACTGCGTTAGCTGCGTCTCGAGTTCGCTCTCGAGATCCTTTGAACTCAGCTGAAATTCTTCCAGTTCGAGTTGCGACTCTGCTAGCCGGCTTTTGTACCACTCTAGTTCCTCATCGATGGAAGCAAACTTTGGAAGATTTTCATCGGAGGTGGCCATGGCGGTCAAAATGAAGCGAGATTCAATATAGTTACTGCTCTTGGTAGCTAGATCTTAATCGGCAGTGCCACCAGTAGCAGCATTCAAAGCAGCGACAATCAACGAGAATTACTGACATTGGAAAAATGCATCAAAGTTTGAATGTCTCAGCTCTCCCCTACTTGAACACGTTCAAACATGCCTGATTGTACTAACAACAATAAGATCTTAGTATATTATTATTAGTATGCTTACAGATATATTTGATAAACAGATTGGCATTAACTATTTTTGTTTGTCACAAAATAAGATACTTGTCAAGGCACTTGTCAGTACAGTGGATCGTATACTATTCGGTACACTCAGGCACCTACATTCCGCTTTGGTTATTCAACACACTAAAAGAATGTTAACTGGACTAATCGCGATCACGCACAATGACCGGCCCGTAGTCTTTCTCTCAATTAGCTCACTTAATATAGTGTCGGTCATTAATCCGCAGTATAATACAGAGGCACGCAAATAGAATTATACATATGTAATCGTATTAGACAATACCTGTATGTATACACAAAATGTTTACTTTGCGTTAGTATGAAATTCCTGGCTAACATACTGAGCTTTCATGTTATTCAATCAACACGCTCACCAGTTAGTCTCACAGTAGCCCTTATAATGTACAAAACCAGAGACTTGTAGAGTTTTAATGTTCCCTCTCTAAAGAAAGCAACCAGACGAATGAAGCAGTGAGCGCAGCTGTAGTTCACAAGGCTGACATGTTCGATAATCTGTTTTTTATTTAAGCCCTAATTCTGATACGCACAAAAATGGAGAAAAAATATGAGATTTTTTCTGCCAACTGCGCACCCACAGAAGAACACATGGCACTGGTACAAAAATATAAGCGAACGGGTAAGAGCATATTCTCTTTTCATTGGTGTTGTTGTGATAGAAATACGCTCTTAATGGTCTTCTAAGGATACGGGTAAGGGAGTTTGAAACCCATAACAACCCAGTCTATCACTATCGGTGGCGTTTTTAGCCTGTAATAGGTAAATAAGCATGCGGTGCGCGTCCTATAGAACAAGTGGTCTGTTGTATATCGGTAGATTTTGAACACTTTAGATGATAAGCAGTTGGTTCAGCCTCTGTATAAATAAACAGGCCACTCGTCGTTTAAGCGGATCACGAACGCGTCAAAGAAGCGCGCTACTGAATAAGCTCAAATAAACCAAACGATACGAACGACACCTCATTTGGTCAAGGCAGTAGCGCCGCAGGAAACGTAACTATTGCCGTCGTTGCACGAAGGCTGTGGCTATTAGCCTTAAGATTGTTAGAGCGGCAATCTGTACGGCTAAAGTGCTATTGGCTTTACTGAAGTGACGGTAGGGCGAACTATAAAGCTGTTTTCAATATGCGAACTCTTGCTGTTGACGATACTCTTCGATGGGTAAGATGAAATTGCTAAACATGTTGCCCGTGCCGCCTACACTTTTTCTTAGTAGTCAATTTTTTTCTGGCTTTCTATAGTTGTTTTCTACTCATCACTTCACAGTATCTTCATTAGGACATAACTGACAGTGAACTCCAGTGTCGATTCTTACTTCGCTAGGAAGCAAATTGCAATTTATGCCAGTGGCAGAAACACACCATGACAATACACTTATATGAACCACATTCCGCCATTTATATTTTATTGCTGCTGTAGCTATCGTTCTACATGCATGACACTTACATACATCTATTTATATGGTGTAAATATATATATATATATATGTATACATATATATGTATATGTGTATTCGAAATGGTTAGCCACTGTTATAACTTCTCACATCCTACTACTTCTGCTAGCGGGCTTTCTTTGTTCGTTAAGGTTTGGATTTGCAATAGCAGCATTGAATGTTATTGATTCAACACAAGCAGACGCTAATAACAGACAGCTTGTCTGCGCTTTCCCTCTCACCCAGCCGCTATCCGACCGCGCGACTTCTCATAGCACAGCTCCTGGGATAGATTGTGGAACAAAGAAAATTGTTATAGTAATAGAACCAGAAAAGCCGATACAGGATGAAAGAAAAAGGACTTTTTGACGAAAACGTTTGTTATTCAGTTGAAAGACGTTATAATTTTAAGGGTAGTTGGAAAGTTGTAGAAAACCATCATAAAGCTAAATCTTCTCTTGCGTGAATACAATTCACTGTATTCTAGTCGTTTCTAACTACTCAAAAAATAGATTGCAGAAAACTCTTACTCTCTAACTCTTACAAATAAACATTCACCTATTATGTAAAACATCAACCCTTCTTATCACCGTAAATATACAATATAATTTCTTGAATCTTATTTTTTTCTCAAAAGGGGATCGAATGATGCATGCCTCACAAAGCTATTAGACATATTTTAAAATGAAAGAAATGAATCAAATTATCGAATAAAACGTCCTAAGCGCCAAAAAAACTTTATAACGATACTGTTAACTTCATCAGGTCACATCACTGATGAATAGTCTTGCATTTCAGACAGGCATATTTCTTTCAATAAGTTAATCGAGCTGGGTCGAATCCGGGTTCATTCCCTGTAGCCAGTTATAGAGGCACCTAGAAGTAATCTAGTGAACATACGCACTTACAAGCAGCAATAAGGTCTGGTCTTTAACGGATTGCAGTGCGGTAGCGCTTAACCTTTTCCAAAAAAAAACAGTCGACATAAGTGAAACGCAAAGCTTATTTCGTCTAGTATTCGATAACACTGTTGTAGTTGCAGGCTGGTCCCTTACCGCTCCCAATACAGATTCCCGGTCCTGTTAAAGTTTTCGTGCTGTTCCATTTTTATACGCTATTATTATATGATTTCGAGCAATTTTAAGCAATGGACTAATTTGGCCGCAAAGGTTGGACGCTGGTGACAATATAAATATATTCTATAGAGAATAGGAATAGGATGAATTCGATGACTCTTTTGGAGGACTAAATGTACTAATTTGGACACTTTATAAATCTAAAATCGTTTTGTAGGTACCTGGCGAAATTTTCACTTTTCATCTATAAAATATGCGTCAAAAGATTGGGATATTTTAGGAAACTCACAAATTGGATTTAAAAAAGGAACTAACTCCAACCTGCTCGATTCAGTACGAAGACACAATTGAAAGGGAAGTAATATCTAGATAATCCTTTATAAATGCAATTGGCTCAAAAACTTGATCTGAGTAATTTAGTGAAGTAGCAAACCCTGTGCTGCTCTAGCAAATTCTCATTACTATTATTATTGTAAACTTCTATTAGTATATAAAATATGGTAGAATTCTTTTGTTTTCGCTAAATTACAAATAAATTATGTATATTTAGCATCTTGCATGCTGAGTATACGCTATTTCAGTTTCATATTTATCTAACTTCTGAGAAAAATATTAATATATTGAGATTTTAGTTATGCTTGTATGTATTACGTAGAGGTTTCTAACGTGTAATAACATTTTCTATATACAAAGTATGAATAACTACGATGTTCGATGACTAATTTCGAATTCAGCACAGTAGATACTATTTCAACTGCGGGAGGCTTGCCAGAAGGGACGTTTGCCAACTAGAAGCTACACGCAATGAGCAGTGCTTTTAGGGTGACTAATAGCTTATACTAATACCATCAAAGCGCATGTGGAAACTCATATTCTATCAAAAGCTATGTGTCCAGTCGTTATTGAAGTAACCAGCTACACTCTACTCGATTCGTTACAACAACAGATTTTTAAAGAAGTTTTAGGACGATCTGCGATACAAGTTTGAGCCATTCACCCCTTTATTTACTCTCATGACAGAACTAACGGCTTTAATTTACACAATCTATCCAAGTTTGAATCAGGTAAGGCAGCTAGGGACTTGTTGACACAGTAAGCAATTTCCGTTACCTTTTGCTTTATTGCATGCAAATTTAGCATCAAATCGGCAAATAATTTATACAGAAACATTACGTAATTATGGGTCAAATAGTCCACTGATTTGATTTTATCACTTATCCTAGTTCATATTTATTTTCGAACAGACTAATAATTTTTATTTCCATGAGGTCAGTCATCTCGATATGCACCCTTGAGGACTTAAAAATACCTTAATACTTTTAAAAACAGAATTTTATCCCAGTATTGGTAATTTTACTAACCGCATGACCGTAGACGTACACAACAAGCAGCCGTTTGCATTCACCTGTGTGATTTCGCGAATCACTTTTGTCATTAGAGGTATATTCAGCTATTACTATAAAAGTGTTTTCGTAAGTATTTTCAACCTTTGTATCAGCTGAGCCTTGTATCCACCGATTAACAGTCAACCACCTGTAGCTCAACGATATATTCAAGTAAGTAAAATATGAACTCTATAATCATATCGGGTTAAGGCTAGTAGGTGAGATGAATCATACCACAGAAAATACACACAATAGTTCGATTTAACTTCTGTCTACGGCTTTCCACACAGGCAACCAAGACTGTATGGCTGTGATTGGCAAATAAACTTTAATCGCTTTAAACATCGCATGCGACATAACATTCGCAATCGTTAACAAAACATGGATGTGATTTCCTTACTTAGATCCGGCCGTATTTCTATCGACACCGTTAACCTCTATTAAATGAATACCTTTGAATTTATACTATAGACGATGCCATTGAGAGAGCACCGCTAAGACCTGCTCTCACAGCCTTATCCTTCGCTACGCGATAGTATCTTCTTTAATTAATCATTTGCGGCTTAACAGCATTTATGTAAAATTGATATTTTGAAATTTACTATTATTATTATATTTGTACTTATGAATAACAACGAGAACGGTAATGCCTGAAAATAATTTTTCTCAAGTCATAACTTCCAAACGTGCATTTTATGCCACTAAAGAATGTAATGCTGACCACCACTTGTAACTTGGCAGCGTTTATCCCTACCACAGGCGATTTCAGGGACTCATATAATCCTCACAGTAGCAGTATCTCGACCCAGCTATTAATAAGAACAATTTTATCACGTACGGGTGCATTTCAGATCGTCTGTGTATATATATATATATTTCTTTTACACAGAGAATATGAGAATACGATTTAAAGTAGTCACGTGTGTGCCCTTAAACAAACAATAGTTAATCAATCAAAAACTTGTCATAAGCAAATGAAGTTAAATTTAAATGATGCAATTAAATGGCAACATTGTCCATCATTATGGGTCTAAATGAAAAACTTAGATTTAATGTAGGCATATGTACTGATGTTTTTAGTGCACTCAGCTTTCTTGGAATCATAGCAGCCGTACTTAATAATTCTATTGTGTTTCAACATTTTAAGAAGACTGAAACGCACTATTTCTTGTCATTTTGATCACTTTGATAACAACTGACTCTTTTCTGTTTGTATTCAGGTATTGCTTGGTATGTCTTAAGATAGTGCTGGATACGAGATCGCTACACGTGTAGTAGTCTGTACACGCCGAAATTTCTAGGCATATGACTTATTTTTACCTGACTTTACACGATGTCTTTATAAATTATTCAATTAAATCTTACGAAGCCTTTGTCTCACATGGAATATTTGTCTGCTAACTAACGCTATAGATTTTTGACCATTTGTTGGGCCAGCTGCCGTTACATTTCTATAGTATTTAGTAATTGATATTAAGAGCGTTCCCTGCCATAATAATGCGTATGTCAATTTAATACCGGAGGCCCTAATACTTCGTTCCGATGAGGGATATTCTGAAGCGTTCTGTAATTGTTCAAAATTGGCGCTAATGCGTTCATTGGTGTTGTGAAAATGGCAGACACGACTACGAAACCACTGCGAGGTCTTTTTAGGTGGCCGTCCGATGTATGTGTATCATGTTAAGAATAACCTGGAGAAATCGAGGGAGAATTAGAATTTACTGATATAATTTTATGTTATCACCGGTGCCGAATCATTTTAGATTGTGATATCATGACAAAGCTAGGATATTTTTGAAATATTTCATTACAAAAACTTTTTGTGTGAACGACCTGTGTTTGCTTGCATCCTGTGAGGTCTATTGTGCTGCCGCAGATTAAGGCATAAGAAAAGAATGTTGCAAAATCAAATAGAGCATCAAGTTCACGACTAGCTTGTATCCACTAATAAAAACTGATTTAAATATATTTTGTACCCGCTTTAATTAAGCAAAGTGAGAAACATAGTTATTGCCTGACTGATACATGTACCGAAATGGGGTTCTGCGCTTGTTTATTTCGTTTTTGTTCTAACCACGTGTGTGGTTTAGGCACAATTTTGACGTTAAGAAATGCGTGTTTACATGTAATAAGCGTGTTGTGTGTGCAGGTTATTTTCGCTTAGGTTCGTTAATGATTTTTTCAGCTAGGTAAGCCATGAAGACGATTGTCAGCGAGCAGTCGGTCAAGATCCCCGATGGAGGTAAGTACCGTGTTGATAATTCACAATTAACTCTTCGAAAGTTTTCGAATAGAGTAACCTCCTGTGCGGTTAAAGAGTGCGTTAGTGGGGAGGTTTTATAAGCAAAACCAAGTTGAACCGTTGTCGCTACGTTTGCGTTGCGTAGTTCTTGGTGTTCACAGACTCTTGATTTTAGCTAATGTTCGTCCATTGTACTATAACACGTAGTGATGAAAGCCTTAATCCATTCTCTGACGATTTGGTCTAACTCCGTCGCGGAACTCCATTTGAGGTTTTCTCTTTTGGAGCCTCCAAAATGGCAGCGAACCAGTTCGGCGAGATTATATAATTGGCCTGAGCATATCTGGACTAGTGTGTGAGGAAGAATCTTTAAAAATTGCCGTTTATGTAAATATGTGACGGTCAGTTGGTAGTTTTGCGATTTTTAGCAGTTTTTTTAAAATCCGTAATCGTTAAATATTTTTAGTCATTAAGAGTAACATCTGTTGATCACGCCTGTGTGAAAAGTTATCTTTCAGTACGTTAAGAAACGAATCAAAGATATTCCTCGCCATTAGTTCGAATTGTTTGAATTACTACACCTATCCATAGTTTATCTCAAAGATAATATTATAAATAAAGCTTATGATTTTGCATTTCGTTCTGTGGCCCTGTTTTGATGATCTGTTTTTGTGGCGATCAAAAAGTGACCTGTAAAGTACGGTCTCGGGTGGTGACTATCACTGGTCCCCGCGGAGCGCTGACCCGCAGTTTCCGCCATGTTCAGGTCCAGATGGAAATGCCGGACCCGAAAACGCTCACTGTTCGTAAGTGGTTCGGTATCAAGAAAGAACTGGCCACCGTCCGTACCGTCTGTTCTCACGTTCAAAACATGATCATCGGTGTCACCAAGGGATTTCTGTACAAAATGCGTACCGTGTACGCTCACTTCCCCATCAACGTCGCCATCTCGGAGAATAACACATTGGTTGAGATTCGTAATTTTCTTGGGGAGAAGTTTATCCGCCGAGTGAACATGTACAAGGGAGTGACGTGCGTCAACTCGTCCGCCCAAAAGGACGAATTGATTCTGGAAGGTATGTGTAAAATACGTCAGTTGATAAATAGTAATTGGCTTATCTCGACGTGATCGTAGCTCGTGTACGACGTGTACATAGAGAGAAATCCAACATATTCAATGTTATTCGCTCAACTCGTTTAGTAGGGAGGACTTGATGGAAATATTTTGCTAGACATTGATGGATTGTTTGTTGAGAACTGCTGATTTAGGAGAAATCAATCCATTTACTGAGGAGTGGATGAACTTTAGATTTAGTTAAGGTGTTTGCTCTTTTGGGTTCTTGCTCCGACCTATGTTTTGCGTCATAAGACGCATTGCTGGGTTCGACGAAAATAAACACAAAGATTTTCCGTTTTGTTACCAAATTATACTACTTTTAATCTAATTTGACTTCGTTGCAGGTAACGACATTGAAGCCGTATCACGATCAGCGGCTCGCATCCAACAGTCGACTCTCGTGAGGAACAAGGATATCCGTAAGTTTCTTGACGGTATCTACGTTTCGGAGAAAGGACACGTTGTTCCGGATGTTTAGGAAAAGGGGCCATGAGCAATGGCTATGTGTCGCTCGACTGTGGTGAAGTCGCTAATAAAGGGGGATTACAAAAAAACTTGGGCTAGGTTTTCATTTTATTTAGTAGGAAAAAATTCAAGTTATATCTTGACAGAAGCCGATTAGTTAGTTTTAGTTCTCTTCAATTCAAACAACTCTGGGTATTTTTAACTTAGTTTGCCTTTAATAAGCCAGTTCGTACTCGCTTATTAATATATCATTATCGAAAATAGTACTTAAACTCATACGTACTTTTGTATTTTAGATAACTGATGCAAATCTGCTCGCGCTAATAATGTTTTTAAAGAGAACATGACTGGTCCATATTTCATCTACATAAGGCTAGATAGAAGCGTCAATGAATGCAAAGATCAAAGTTGATTAAATTAAATAAAGCTATTGTGTGTAATTATTATAATCCTCGGTGCGTTTGCTTTACATTACCATCCAATTAGAGCTTGACATAGCTAAAGAAGCTCTGACCTAATGATGGTGATTAAAGGCCGTAAGGAAGTTTCGCTTTAACTGATCTTGGCATAGCTAGAGACAAAAACGTATCATCTCTTCAACGGATGTTGGAGGTAACAGTTAACGAAAGGCATTTACTGAAATTGTATAAATCGTATATAACGATTAACACAATTTAAGTTAAAACACCATTAAAAAATGTTAAGTGTATAACGATTTTTCCCGGTTCCATTCAAAACTGCATTATTGATCTCAAAAGTATGAATATTTTTTTAGGAATTTGGGAACACACATTCCTAGAAGATATCATGAGCGAAAATTATCCAGCATGATAAAATTGCCATCCAAGATGTCCCTATGGTCAACCTAATAATTTCACGAGCTATACGGCATACTTCTAAATAATTGTTCAACGAATTAAACAAAGAATTATGATTTCTTAGTATGTGTTAGAAGTACTCTCTTTATTTTTTACACATTTATGCCACCACTTTGATAGCTTCTGGGCAGCTATATATATACCATTCCCATACGCAAAGTCCCGTAATTACACGGACTTTGTTCGGGTATAAGCGGGTTAAATCCATCGTTAGATATTTCTTCACTTAATTAAGAATTAAGGCATGGCGATGAGGTCTGACGTTGTCATCAAGTGATCCGCCTGGGTGCCTTTATCTTCTCGTCAATAGTCTACGAGCCCCATAAGGAACTTGACATAGTGGTCGCATTCATTGTTTTATTTTCAGTGAATATCTCATAGTAGCAACTGGCCCTAATATCCATTGCAAGTACTATTATTAGTTTACGCCCGTACGTATTCGACACTGTTTATGAACTCGATTTCTCCCCAGGGCGACGCCTGGTCCTCTCCCGTTGACACTACCATGCCTCTTCCATGGTGGCGGTTAATGCTTTATACGAGTTTTTCGTGAGTTTTCGCAACTGGCACGTGAAATACACCATTCGCATTTCATGGCTTGTAGTGAATTCATGGGATATACATTGTGTTCTGTTATTTTTTCAAGCATTTTTAATACTTGAGTTACGACTTTATATTACATTACATGTGAGACACCGGTTTTGAGCCCTTACATTCAAAGCTGGTTTTGTGGAAAACCCCAATTGCAGCAATGCATCCTTGGTTTTCGGGTCCCGACGTCTGCTCGCCTCCTTGCTGGCTTTTAACACTCCAATTTATGCTCTTTAAATGCTTGCACCATTCACGTACTGTGTATTCTTTCAGCATTTTCTTGCCTAATATTTTCGTTGATGTTCGATAAATTTCTAGAGCCTTGTGGTTCTTGAGGGACTTGACTACTGAGCGTCAACTTTAGCCACTAGGCTTTTTTCTTTTAAACTTGTTTCTTATGTAGTATCGCGTCTATTTCTTCTATCAGTCAATAATCTAGTTTTAGGCTTACGAAATAATCACACTCATATGATTTTCATGGTTAAGGCATTGGTTCTTTATTATACCTCATACCAACGATTAATGTGTCACGGCAACGTTCACCGGTGATGGTAGTCTCCTTATAACGCGTTCATGCCCTAAGCTCACGTTGGATTTGGATCCAGTTCGTGAAGGGTCCGTGCGAATTGCGGTACTGGCAAGTGACACCGTCGGGCTTCAATCGGCCATCCACGCGCATCTCTTGGTAGTCATCCTGGTCCCACTTAGTGAAACCCCATTTGCGCGATACGTAAACACGCTGACGGCCAGGGAACTTGAACTTAGCACGGCGCAGTGCCTCAACAACACTCTCGCGGTGCTGTTCTTTGGCGCGAACCGACATAATGATTTGGCCGATGTTCACTCGGGCAACTGTGCCTTGGGGCTTACCGAAGGCGCCACGCATTCCCGTTTGTAGACGATCAGCGCCCGCGCATGATAACATTTTGTTTATACGTAGCACGTGGTAAGGGTGAAGACGCACACGAAGATGGAAGGCGTCCTGAAATTATTATGACAGTAGCAGAATGCGAAACCGTCAAAATCAGTAATTGGACATGCAGATATGGGTAGGCATATATTAGGGCTATTTAGCGCTGGATTATGCTTTTCGTGTTAAGATTTTTTGCTTGGCAACGCAATTGGTTGTATACTAATTAAGAAAATAATTTAGGTTGCCATAGTAGCGCATGAAATCGTTCTACATACTTTACCGCAGGTCTTGACGAGGTACTTGTTCGCACATATACGAGCGGCCTCTAGAGCTTCAGATGAGAGCTGCTCAAACTCCCGAGACACAAGATGGACACAGAGTGGGAACTCATCGACACGGGCCTTTTTACGTCCAAGGTCGTAAATACGGATCTTCGGATCAGGAACACCCCGGCAGAATCGAGATTTCGGGTACGGCTTGTTTTTACAGTAGCGATAACACCGCGCTGGACGGCGACCCATTTTCACCTGCGAATATTTAAAAAGGGAAAGAATTTAGGCTCCTTGCCAATTACGTTCACATTCTATTTTAATGTTCATATTCTATTTAATGCTATGCTTTATATAACAAAATATCTGCCAAACTAAAGACTGCTCCTCTATACCATGATGACTTTTAATTGGCCAATCGTATAACTCTGGCTGTTAGAACACTATAACACGTAGTAGCCAGCAGTGCACGCCGCCGTTTGTTGCACGAATCTCTTTCGAATCCAAGATTGATGTTCAAAAATAACATGTTCTGAAGCAAGTACCTAAAACCCACTAACTGTATATTGACAGTGACGAACTACGATAAACCAGTTTTGTTATCGAGCTACTATGTTCTAGGCTTAATGCCAGATTTTCTAATTACAGAAAACCTGAGTCAAGCACCCGATGGAGCATCACATCGAACTCGATATAGAGGTGATACAAATTTGTTCAAGTTGAACTTTTGTAGCAAGCATTTGAGACCAAACGTTCTCTCGACGATCGTCTGGAACTATGACTATCCGGCGTTTTTATTGGGAGTTTATGCTCCAGGTTTAAAGTCACGCTAAGACTGCAAACCTGTGTCAATATCCCAGAATTTTATTCCAATTCGTACAGTTTCGTGCACCGCTACACAAATTTAGTTAAAAAAAAACAATGAAAGTAATCAGGTTTCCAAAAAAGAAACCATTATTGTTTACAGGCTCTAGTAATAATGGAAGAATCGCCGACCGATTATGTTTTAAGATGCCACGGACCAACGCTTAGTAGCTCTAGTTTTTGTAAGCGCACCAGTTTCTCGATGTCTCGATAGCTGGGTTTTTATATCCATTCTACATTACGTAAAACAAGCAAATATTCGCTTATATTGTGGCTACTTAGCACTACTGCATGTGGTATAATCGATGTGATAAATACATTCAACAGTTACCAGATCGCACTTTTCGACTCAAAATGTTCCAAAAACCATTTGCACAATAAAATTAACCGTTTGTCATTGCAAATGCCTGGAGTCATGGACAATTTAATTCCTAAGCGCTACAAACTATAGAATCACCATATTAAAAGGTTGGAGGACGAAGGCCATGAAGCTATTGTAGGCTGCAGTTTTGCCATGCATGTGCATATATTCAAAGTGAACTTATGAATTCGATTACGTTCGATGCTCTAAGTATTGGTACCAATTCCGTACTCGTAACTTACTCGTAGCGTTAAAAAGATGGATCTTTACACTTTACAACTCAGAATTCAAACAAAATCATATAATGGCTGGGTCCAGGAAGCGAATACACCATAGGGTTCCACCACTTATTATAATTATGGCAAATTTTACATGTCTCTAATTCAATTTTTGCTTGAGAACTTTGTCGTAATTGATAAATTCACTCACGGTATATTGACGCACTTGATATATATATGAAATTCATAGAAATCACATACCTTTGGAAGCGAGCCACGTGTGACTCCACACTTCCAATCCAAAAGAAACCCTAACGGAAGTTTATGGCAGACGACCAAAACTGAAACCACTGGAGGGAATGAAAAGGCGCGAACACTTGAACAAAATTTTTCGCGCGGGAACTTTCGGGTAATAACTTTTTTCGAATTGTCTTTGAGTTTTAATTTTTCATTAAAGAAGTCGCCACTTATTATATGTGATAATGGCCTAAATGTAATATTAGTAGTAACTGTAAGTTTGTTAAGTATCTATAAAAAATTACTTCAAAATCAAATTTATTAATCTACCAGTCTGATAAGTAGACAAAAGTACTGCACTCGTATAGAAATCAATAACGAATTTTATACGCAGCCCCTCTGCACACACTGTCTGCTTATTGGTAGCGGCAAGCTTGATGATCTAAACTTCGTAGCCATCAATTCCGCATAAGTCTGTTTTTTATTTACTCTTTTATATATATATATATATATATAACATTTACTGTTTTTTTATCTCATATAAGAAAAGTATCAATTATTACTCGTGTGTTCTTGTCCCATAAATTGCTCTCCGCTATGATGGAACGAACGTGTGAGTATTCTTGGGCAATCCGAAGCCGCCTACCAATATTTCTATTGCCACAATTAGTATCAGTAATTTTGCTTGCGCTTTCTTTTAATGCATTATTTCTATTAGTAAACATAGTAGAATAATTAAGTACATGGTATTATATTACGAACAGACTAATAATCGGTTTTAAGCAACCAAGCGTGTTTTTTTTTAAAGTATATTATTAAAATTTACGACCAAGTATTTTAAGATCATACCGTAACAAGATCATATTATAATCGCAGTGCACTCCTAAATCGATACTCTTCTATTAATTTTAATGTTATTTTTATGCATCTAGGTAAACTTCGATAGTTTATCTGCTAAGCGATACACAATTTACCAGCTATTTACAAGAAGGAGAAGGATGTTTTTTATTCGGGTTTGCTGACTGAGTTCTACGAGCTGGGCCAGCATTGCATGACTACTAACCCTGGCACGAAAAAACTTCTAAAAGCTCGCCTAATCTTCCAGATTAAGACATCGAAATGAATCGAGTGTCTAACTGACAAAACTTTTGCAGTTGATTTCTAAGTGAGTGGAAAATATTTATTATCGGTTAAACAGATGCGAGCGGATCCTCAAATCATTAAGAATTATCTATTATTATTCAGTCAGTAAGTTTACTGAACGCTAGCGGCGGTTCTATGTAGGACGTGTATACTAAAATAGCGCGCTTCATTTATGTTCATCAGTTCGTCATTGCTACTTTATGTATGAACGCTCTTGGGGCCAAGATACCAGGAGTCACTATTAAAGACTTCTATGTTTCTCAAAACTGCACTTAAAATGTTATTATACACTAACTATATAATATCAAGCTTGTTTTTTATTTACACTTTAGGCAGCTTTTCTACTATGTGAATAAGTCGTCGGAATTATCCCTTTAATGCGTAACATAAAAAACTTCACTAGAAGCTGGGGAATGTCCTGCTGGATTTCTCTTTGGATTTTTCCAATAAGGTTATAAAACGGCGTGATAATTGCTAACGCTATCAACCAGCGATATTCACAAGTTTATGGTTACTACGGCAACGCAATCAGAGAAACAAGCATTTGACATTCAGACCATGTCGTCCCCTTTATCTAAAGGGTAAATTAGATAGTGTTGTCAAGTGCTTTATTACATTACTTTCTAAACCCATTTACAATACTTACAACTGATCGATTCAGATTTTCGTCGGATTTTCAACAAAATACCAATTACGATTGTATTCTTCATTCGAGCTCAAATCAGACTTAACTGAGTCCCTGCGTGCCACCCATTTTTCATGTGTTCGATGTTCAACATGGAACTACTGCTGTTGTCGTTGTCACAGCTGTTGTGAGTATGGCTACAGGTTGTTCACAGTAGACGCAAGGAGCAAATGATCCTCCAGTGACAGCTGTGTGTGCTCGGGTGGCGCCCTGCTCTACGCCCCATTGAAGCGCCCAGGAGCGGAAGCATTCGATATGATATGCCCGCCGACACGAGCGATGCGCGCAGAACACCTGATAAAATTTGTACATAAATTAAACCTTCCATGCACACACTGATTCTACCAAGAAAAGGATAGGTATGGTACTAGCATGAAAATGGTTTTTCATAACATATATAAATATATAGTGTTAAATGCTTGAACATAAATATAGTAGGTAGAAATATATAATGAAATGACAAAAAAGCTATTGTGGCTATATTACTATAAATAAATCGCATTTAATAAGCCTAGAGATGGTGATAAGACACGTTACGTACGTCGGGTATTTGCTCGCCGAGTCGATACGCATAGCAAATAGCACACGTGATGTCCACTTGTGAGTTTTCTTGGATTCGCACTAGCCTCAGTTCGTCTCCCAAAGCCATCCTGTTAATTTAAGAATAAGAATTTTATGTTTTGTGAACTTCTTCTTTTTTTTTGCTTTATTATTATTATTCTATTTTTAGTCTCATTAGTGTATTAATATATCTAATTGTTTTTCCTTTCTTAATTGTTAAAAAAAACAATTAAATTACAGTCATCTCCCACAACGAAAATATGTAGAGGTGCTGCATAAAAGCTTTCCACTTTTTGTTGTTGGAAATCGACTACCCAGCAGTGAGGTGATGCGCTAATTAAAAGAAACATTACTACTGATAGATACCTTAGGTTGTCGAGTACATCTTGTTGCGAGTCCCACTTTCGCGACCATTCAGCCCGTCTCAAAATTTCGCGGAATCCGACACCCGAACTTGGACAACCCAACAACTCCAACTGAAATCAGTTTCAGAATTTTCATCTCTTAGCTAATTCCTCAACATCTGAATATCTTTATTGATGCTTGTAATACATCAAAAATACGTTAAATATTAAATGCAACGAGTAAAGGACACGTAATTTAGACAATAAATTTTACCAATGGGGGTTTTTCCAATTGAAGTGGATCCGTGAACGTAATTTGAAGTGCTAGAGAATCTTCAAGAGCCACTCTTCTATACGGTCGACGTAAGTCTGATGGATCAACGACCCAAGCTAAAGAGTCCAAAGCTTTCTCAAAACAAATACATAACCATATGCATCGTTGCAGTCGTATATGCGAAGTCAGATTGTAAGACGTAAATATAAATTCATTGCAGTATTATTGACTTCAATTAAAGTCTACAAGATTTTAAATCAGTTATATAATATCATTAAGCTGGTAAAGTTTACATTTAAGGGAATCGTAGAATGGTTGTAATTTATTAATAAAATCTTTGAAGACTGTGAAGGCGTCAGCTACTTCACGGGGTCGGTAGAGACCCGCGGTTTTCGCAAGCAGCTCTCGCGGGATAGAAGAATTCACGACGCGGCCCTCGATAATGTTGTAGGTCATATCCATATCTGTAACACTCCCATAGCAATTAACACAATACTAACTATAAAAAACAGTTGTGAAAATAAAGACAATATATACATTGTCTGTGTCATGAGAATAAATTTTATAGCTGGATAGTTTCCAACACTTTGTAAACGCACGCCCATAAAGAGGCATGAATTTAGCTTTACGTTCAGAATATTAGAAGTGTGTAAGCAAGGCAGCACTTGCCCCGTGTTTTATCTAACCAGATTAACTGGAAACATGTTTCGTGTTATTAAGAGGAAAGAATGATCAAAAAAAATTATACAGTTTAGTCCAAATGCAACATCAAATGAAAGTCAACTGTCATCACATTAATCGCAAACCGAGTAAAAGCTATAGATGACGTATGATTTTAGAAGGGTGCTGAAAAATGAAAATATATTTGACCTAACAGGAAGCAGTACGAGACGAACTTTTATAATGAAGTCAAATTTACAGCACGCTCATTGTGCATCTCAGGTGTCTACCTGTGTCGAATCACAAACATCATAGACTCGGAAAATGATGGCGAGCAATGTGATACCATCGTATACCTTTTATTTATAATAAGTGAAAGAGACACTCTTTACAAATGAGACAAGTTTACAAACCACGGTACGTGAGCGTCAGTCGATTTTTGGACACCTCTTTGAGAGACTCAACACCTATCGTAGAGATTAACTGATCGAGAATCAGGCGAAATGTTTTCGCTCCTGATACGCGACGAGAACTCAAATCGGCTCCTTCAGCCGCAAAACCATTATTGTATTCGCCCCGTTCAACCAATCTGCAAACCGTGAATGACAAACTGTATATATTTGTAATAAACGTTTGTATAATATGCCTGACATCATATCTATCTATGCTTGAATTTGAAATACGGTAGTAACAAGCAATGTATAACAATTGATTTTCAAATAAGTAACTCGTATACCATACGTTCATGCTTTTTTAGAGCATTATCAGCCAATCCAACGTATATTTTTATAGATTTTTTTTTCAAAAAAAGAATCACATCTTCAGGGAGATAAACTATAATTAATTGTACGTTTTCAATTGCAGTTAACATACTGATAGCTCAGATAGAAGTAAAATGTCGTCGTGTTTTATTGTATTTTTTAGTGTATGGCTGAAAGGTCTCTACGTCAGTACTGCAAATCTCAGGATACTCATGACTGGCTATCATGAGGCCCGCTCACAAAGTTTACGTTCAGTTTACGTTTATTTTTTCATAGCTACGAATGAAATAAAGACATGTCTTGTTTGGTGATGTAGACGATTTAAGTGTTATTTGTTTTAACAACGGGATTTCTCTATTAGTGTGTCTTCTGACCTGTTTAATGCGTTGAGGAGCTCATGTAAATAGGAGGACGGCTTTCGCATCTTTTTGATCTTTTCGACCAGCTCCGGTGAATCTGCATTGAGGCGATCCATTAAGGATGCTAGTAGGCCGTCTGGAGATGTTACCTCAACCTGGGTAAAATAAAACGGTAGGAAGAAAATAGGCACAGTTACAAATGTCGGTAAACAGCTTTAGCGAAAAAGATCAGTGAGTTTTTCAGTGTCAAGCGTTTCACGTACCTCTCTATGTGCGTCACCACATCGTAGAAAAATAGGTACATTTCGATCGCATAAACGCAGCCAGCCTCGGAATTCGGTTAGATCAGCCTTTATTGGCACAAAATCTATAATTGAAATATTCCAAGCGCACAAAATCATGGAGAATGGAGTTATCAACAAATACACATAATGTATGACATAAATTTCGTGCTTATCCTAATATTACTGTGGTTACTCGATTTGTGACCTGCCGATAGCCTCCATCCAGTAAATGGACGATGAAATGGACGCAACAATTGAGGTATTGCCAGAAGCTTAAAGCCTATCGCGAAGGTTTCAATATGTCATACTGACAAAGAAATGTGGTATAAAATATTCTTGCTGCATTAAACAATCGGATACAGTTTTCTGTTCAAGGCATGTAACTATCATCTATTTGCCCTGAGGAAATATTGTGTATTGTAACCGACTTACTTGGAAATCGCAGAAGCATTTCTTTGCGTTCAGACAACTCCGTTTCAGTAATCTGAGACAGGTTCATTTTTGTTAAACGCTTCAAATCAAGCCTTAATGGCGAGACGCTATCAATATACAGACATATTCGACTTGTCTCTAGATGGAAATAGCAGATGTGTGAACGCAATCATTAAATGGCAGGGCCCGCCAAAAAGGAGAGGAGAAAGTCAAACAAAAACAGTGGGAGAGACGACACAAGCCGTTCTTTGGTGCTACTTGACTCTACCACAGTGATACTCTGTTTAGAAATATTTTGATTAAATATATCAATAAACAGCATAAATTGAGGAGCGTAGTAGATAGAACGGAATGTATTCTGAGTTAACGATACGGTAAATAAACAGAAACAAACTTCTCATCCAGGAGGAGTGGGGCCTCACTTGTTCTGGGCTGCACTCCTCCTTTTTCCCCTAAGTTGAATTTTTTTTGCATAATCTTATGCTATCAATGAAACATCTATTTCACTAATTACAAATAACAATTATTTTAAGAAACCCATATGAATATAGGGGTTACACCACGCTAAAAAAATGCATTTACATTTAAATATAATTCTAAGATGATTATTTGAATTCCATCATTTAATGCTAATTTTCATTTGACTAATTCAATTTGTATCAAAGATCTCCCGCAATACAAGAATGCGTCTCGTTAGGGGTGTAACCAACTAGATTATTTTCGGTCCTATTTTTTGCACATTTGATCTATTAAAGATAAGTGCATAACAAAATAAAATCCATTAACGAGCCTTGTTTGACTATGATATATTTCTCATGAGCGAATGTTTCTTCATGAACTTGCAACTAGATATTTTTCGGTATTTCAACATAAAAGCCACTTTAGTATTAAATAAGGGTAAATATACTACGAAAACGTCTTAAACTGAGCGGTGGTCTTATTTGTTTGCAGGATAGCCTTCATTAGTAAGTCTACTGTTCACATGTTATGCTGGCCACTCATTACTTATGCTGCACTCGAAACTGCGTGCAATTACTTTTGTTACGAATGTTTAAGAAGACTGTAGATATGAGTCAGCCGGTTTAGAGAAAAAAAAAAATTACTAAACAAACGGACTACCCGGGCACAATAGCTTAAGATGATACTATACCATGTCACTTCTTAATGAGTTCAGGAAGACGCACATACATATACACAGGTACTATTTTAATGTTAAGTACGCTTCATTATTAATAATGAGTAGAAATAGATGATGCAGAAAGCCTAATTATGCTGTCTTTGTGTTGTCATTCGACATTTCATTATGATGTATTAGCTCAAAAGTTCAATCTTCATGAGTGTAAAGCTCATATCCTTTCTATACATATTGCGTTCGAAGATTTTAACGAACACTTATGATTGCTTTCACGGTTGAAATTTAGTGATGATGAAGTCCAAATTTTAAGATTACGCATGTCATTCGTAAAACTGAACAACACAGTTATTTGCTTTCGGGAAAGACCCCGAAAGCAATTTCAGGTCTTTTAATTTTAATCCGAGCTCACAGTGTCTATAAGAGTTCGAGTGAACCACTTACTTAGCCCATGCCAGGCTTGTAATTTCGTCCCCTATCGACATCTACTACCAGTTTGTGGACTAATGTGTGAAGATTGCGTTATGTATAGTAAAAGAAAGAAAGGAAGTAAGTGACGGTAGCCATCAAAATGATGTCGGCGATGCTTCACAATTGCGAAAGCGTGAAGAGGCGGAAGGTTTCCGGTCCGATGTGGAGTGTGTCACGAACAAACCGTGGCTCACGTTAGGTATATTCACTCCATCGTGTTAGACACCGTACTACCCTACTATAACCGTGGTTATAAAGGTACTCTACGCAATTGCAATCTGTGATGCTGTGGAAGAAACAGTTGATGATCATGAAAGGTCTGATTGACATGCCATCGCTCTCTTGGATCTGTGAGTCTTCGACTCTAGCTATCAATATATTTGAATTAAGGAAAGTGGTGTCTGAAGAATTAAAACGCCTAAAGGAAGATGTTCAGAGGAGGGTCGAAGTTAAGAGGATTGCTACTGAAACTAGACCGGAAAAGTTGGAAGAGGAAATCTTAGAGAAGACCGATAGAATCTATTTGAGTTCGATGATCGACACGCTTCAGTTGGAGATCGAACGCGGAATTTTGGATGCGTATTTTATTCAACGCTCCAGGCACGAGCTATTCTGGTTTAATGTCAGGCACCAGATAACGAAACACAACTGGCAAGGAGGAAAGGTCACCAGTACAGTCAGGTCTGATTGGCGGATATCCGATTGAAATATACATCTCGGTTACAACGGAAACATATCAGTGCCTCGGAGTATTTGTGGGTCCTTGCTCCCTTCAGCATTCTGCAGAGCGGCCAATGAAAAGCTAGATCGTTATTCGAATCTACGATTGCTTTGGGGAAACATTTAACGAATTCGTACTTTCGACTACGTCCGAAGGTATAAAAGATTGCTTCAAAAATTCTCATAGTAACTTCCGGTATGTGACCCGTAACATTTGCGGAATCAACGACATTACTCAAGCGCCATTCTACCAAAAACAAAACGAGATGGTGAGCACTGGAGTGAAAGTAAAACTGTTATAGTCACATTTGCTGGTGACAAGAATTTGTCTATTGACTCTGAGAAAATTGCTACTAAGTAAATCTTTCATGAATCACTATAATAATAATACATTGTTGTAACTCATTTAATGGTCGACGTGTCGTGTCGGTGAACTGAGGTATTTATAGTCAGTAATGAGAAACTTCTTTTTGATTTTCAAGTAAACGGTTCGACTTATGTAAAAATGTTCATACGCGAAAAACTTTTCGTGAAACGTTTTACTCAAGTACGCCTCTTAAATATCTGCTGAGTAGCTGGTTTACCCCATTTAGTTTTTGGAACGGCAGGCTCTTCTTGTGACGTTTTTTCAAAATCCGAATTCGAAAGCAATTATTACGAAAAAATAAATGCAAACATTTTGCTACCTAGGTCACACCTGTATCCTATGTGAATTCATTCTATGTGTTTTATTTCATCAAGTTCTAAACCACGTTAGTAGTTGGCGGTGTTGGAACGGTTAACTTCAGAGAAAATGGGGACCCGACATAGGTGACCTCGCTCCTCGAAATCACTAGGTTTCCTTAAGTGTGCGTCGAACTAAATTTCGAAATGGGCAAGCAGTAAAAATTAAAATTAAATTTTAGTTTCGAAATATAATTACTGCCTATAGCAAAGTCATGTTAGTTATACATATGTATTCTTAATATGCATGATGAGTTTGAGATGCATCATCACAAAATGGAATCGTTTGTGTGTTTTAGTGAACGAGTCGTTTGCTTTGAGCCCGTAAACTAATAGCTCTAATATTGACGGAGATATCGTTGATCACAAAAGACGAGAATTGTCGCGTTAGAACCGTGAATAGAAGTTCCTTATGAACCAATATGACAACATAAGTAAATACTGATTTAACCCTTTAAACGGTCGTAATTTTGAGTCCCATAGATAATGAAGTTAGCTTTAGAATTCTGCAGACGCTTAGTCCTTACGAATGGTTCCGAGTAATATTCCGACAGTAGGTGCCAATTTACCAGCAACAACGTTGCAGAAAACCCCCGTCATTTTCAATCATCCTCCCGGCTGCTGAAGAAAATCGTGACGACGTGTGCAAATCTAGTCGGCGAAAATTGGCTGATGTGCAGAGTGACAGGTTTGGGTAGAGTATAATATCCGATGTTCTGCTGGTCCAGTTAATGACGTAATTGCTTACCTGTTGCTCAGTAATGGACTTCAGTGTTTGGTTTATTTGATGTGATAAATATACCGGCAGATGAACGGATAAGTTTGACCAAGCCCTACTAGTAAGGATTTGGCTTCGAAAGGCAGGACAGAGTACCTGAACTGAAGTTATGCGGACTTGAAACAAACAGGTATTCGTACGACGGATCATACGGTAACCTGTTTATACGTAACTTGCATGAATTAAGAAAGTTATGTCTTAGATAGTAGTTTGGACGTTACAAATATCGTTTAGCTCACGTTTTTTAGTTTCTTTTATCGAGCATGTCTGAACTTAACAAAAACAGATTGGTGAGCAAAACTTAGACATGTTTTCACGCTTCTAAAACATTATGATGTAACAGTTATTACAGTAATATAACAAATGAGCTAGGTCACGAGCTTCTTAGAATAATTTCAGTATTTTTGAAGCAGTGGCACCATCGATATTATGTCGAGCGCGCTTGATCTATAATTACTTAACGTACGGACTGCATCTGTCTGCAGGCGAGCACGCGCTCTAAGAGTTAAGCTCTCAATTCTCTCAACACTATAGGTAAAATTACTTTGAACAGCATTTCCATCACTAAGTGACTAACAATCTTGGGAAGTATAGGCCATACATTGCTGTGAAACTGGGCAACAAGGCTCCAGCGTACACTACATATATACTGTACGCTGTTTGTGTTAAAAATGGTTTTTGTCGTTGTTTTGTTCCATTACTATGAATTTCTTTAAAACTGACCAAGAGCTTTTGTTTTGCCCAGGCTATTTTTGGTTTATTACCAATAAACATGACTATATTTGCACTGCTGTGACAGATAATATTATATTGACTTCTTATCACGCCTGCGCACGTTGTGCTTTTCTGTTCATTTGCATTTCGTTCAGGGAAAGAATGGCAGCTGTACCTGTACCCGGTGGTGGTATTCTTCGATTTCGTGATTTTCCTCGACATCTACATCCTGGTCCACAAGGCTTATTCACTAATCCATCAGCCAACGCTGTTGACTTGGTGTCTGCCCGCGGTATGAACCATTTGCTTAGCTCATGCCAGAAATGCGGGTATGTTTGCCCTCGTCATCTTCTATTGCTCTGCGGCCATATCCTCTGCGAGGATTGCGTCCTGTATGCGAGGTCGAGTGACCTGGGAGGCAGTCAAACGACGGAGAATGGCGATTCCCTTGATACAGGCAACGAGCAAGGAGTCACAAAGCGTCTTCGTGTCCAATGCGGCATGTGCGCTGAGCAGACTATCGCTCATATGAGGCACATTGACCCTTTCGTGCTCGAAAGTGTGCGGCTTTTCTGTCATTGCGGATATCAGGGTACTCTCGAACAACTTTCCAGTCACAGGTGGACCTGCAATGTCGTCAGGGAACCACTTTCGACTGCTAAACCTGACCATTCACCAGTAGCAGCTATCGATCCTCAAGATATAAAAAAGTCCATTATCGAGGAAGCAAAACGAATATATAGAACTTCTACGACTGATAGTACAGTACAAGAGCTGGAAAGCAGTCTTGCACAAAAAGTCGATCAAGCTGTACTAACAGCCCAACTCCATTCATTGAAGGTAGATCTACACCGTTTTGTCATTGAGCATCGATCATGCAACGAGCTATTCTGGTTCAATGTCAAAGAACTGATCGAAGAACACGATTCCATGCATAAAGACATTTATTCGCAGACTCAATCACGATTAATTGCAGGGTACCCAGTTGAGGTGATCATTTCTGTGGAGACTGTCGAGACCTGCAAATGCTTTGGGGTATACGTTGGCCCCTGCTCTTTGCCACACTCTGCAGAGTGGCCAATGAAGAAAAAGATCATTCTTCGAATCTACGATGATAACGGCTACACGTTTGGTGAATTTTCGTTCAACACCACTAGTGAAAACTCAAGGAAGTCGTTTGAGAAACCTGAAAGTCAAGGACACATATCTCGATGGGGAAAACGTGGCGGTATGTGTCCGATCGGCGACCTTGCTAGAGCGATGTTCTACGAAAAGCAGAATGGCATGGTGTGTATTGGAGTTGAAGTAAAGCCATTTTAGGCTTATATATATATAAGAAGGATATAGATCGACGAGCGTACTTTTTTGTTACTAATGGGAAGACTGATCCAGTCATTGACAGGACGTGATTACCGTACACACGAATTCTTAGATGCGGTACGGTTCCTCCGTTTGGGGATGACGGTACTGCGTGCAATAAAGTTTGTTCAGCTGGTGGTTCGGTAGTTCATGACGTTAATATGCTAACTTTTCACGGCTGAGTGAATGACCTAATGCAATGTTGTTTAAAGTATGGTTAATAGGCAATTAGGTGCAAACGGGAGGTTACTTATCTGACATTATAAGCTACAACATTTGCAAACAACGATGGCTTTTCGATTCGCTTTCTGTAGAAATGAACCGTAGCATCATAGAGATCAAGAGAAACTGCTGTTATAATTTGCCGACAGGCTGACACCTCGTACGAGTATTTTCTAAAGCATTCATCATTGAACGCTTGTTATCTCCGACAGGCGGCTTAATGAGTTAAGTACAAAAATACAAATCACAATAGGTAGTACGTTCTTATTCAAGGCAGACCATATTTGTTAAAAGCTGTAAGGTGTGGCACTTAGTTATCTAAGCGTATTTTGATTAAAAAGGGGCATAAAAATACATATGCGAACTAAAGCCGCAACTAGCCATTTTGCTCAGATTGAACGAGACATTCTGAAAGAGTTGCAGCAATATATGGGCTAGAAATCAGCAAAATCTATAGCATTTCTTTTCTATACGAAAAAGCTCTGTGAAGCTCTCTGTATACCTATCAGACCTATATGACCAAAGAACTTGAAGCGAGTATTCATACACCGACGCGAAACAGACTGGGTACGTGAGCCCACAAATCAAAAGCTTTGCTTATCAGGATTCGCGCTTAGAACAAACTAACTTGTCGAGGTCGTTTCAATATAGGAAATAATCGGAGAAAAAACGCTAGTAGTTGCCTCGTATTGATTTTTTTGCTAAATTAAAATTCTCAATTTGAACACGATAAAATGACCTTAATGCCATAGAAACCTTTTTAACAAGGAGCCCAGGTCACCTTCTGTTGTGCGACACGTTGGAGAAAATACTGTCAAGTGAATAACGCACTTGTAGACGACGGTTTCATGTATGATGTGGTAGGTGCAACGTGACTGTGTCAGGCTGGTTTAATTTTTTAACACTATGACGAACTCCGACAATCGCAGACAGCTCTGCCTATTGTTCATTAAACACTTCGTTCGGAGTCTGAGGGAGCTTTCGTTCTTAGGTGCGAGGCGGTACGTGTAAAGCGGAAATTGTTCCTGATCACAAATGCATGCAACCCTTCGCTAGGGATACAAAAATATGTTCAGGCGATCCTGGCTCATCTTCTTTTCTTGCAACAAAGTACGGTGAAAACAGATGATCGTTTTAAACTGCGTTACTTATAGAAAGCGACGCAATATATTGCTAAGCACAACAGACATTTGTATGCAAAATACGTGTTCGCGACACAACGATAGACGTTTAGCCATTCTGTAGTCGCTGATATTTTCTTTCCTTACTGTTGGTGTAAAGGAAAGAAAGACATCCATACTTGGGTCTACTACAAGGAGCAATCGTAAAGGTAACCAAGACAAGCCTCAAATGTACGTGTGAAAAAGTTCCTTCATCTTGCTACTTTAGAACAGACCAGGCCCTGCCGCAACCTACGATTCAGACATGAACGACAACCACAACGGTGGTACGAGATAGTTTCCAGCATTTCGGTCATTACATTATTGAAAATTATTTGGATGTAAGCTTAGCGCTTTCATTGAAGCGGAAAATATTTTGCATCTCGCGAGTTTAAGGTAGCAAACATAATCGGTTTAGCAGTTTAAAGAAAAAGTCAGGGCTCGCCGATTTAAGTTCGTCTGCATACGTTTGGCGCAATTGTTTCTGTATGCAATTATTTCTGGTGAAAACCTATAATAGATGATAATTCTTCTCCCACGGTGGGGACCAATTTTGACACAGTAAAGAGTGTAGTGATATATACACGTTCCGGTCAATGCACGGTGTCACCCGCAGACTTTACACTGTGCACCGTGCGCATTCCAGGGTAAAGCATGCCTTGTTTCTACAGAGGGTCGCAAGGGTCAGAAATGGCTTTTAAGTAAAAACAGCCAACGACCTCGGCAAATGGTCATCCGTTGCGGGTCTGTCGTACGAAAGCCGTCGCTTACTTAAAGCTGGACTTCATCAGTTACACTATTTTCACAATATAGGTATCGAGGCACTTTCGAGCAGCTATGATGACATAAATTGATGTGCGAAGTGAATCAAGAGTGTTTTGTGCCGCCGAAACCACGTGAACAAGGCTAGCTGACCTCGTCTAGGTAAAAAACATAATTTTAGAGTAAATCAAGAGACATAGGAAAGTACAGAGATCAAGGAAAGCGGATCACTTCTGAAAACGGATTTTTAAAACTGAAAAATGACGTTATGAAATCAACCGAAAGATTTGACTTAAAGCCTTAATTGCTTGAACCGAAAATAGGGGACAGCTCTTCCTTTTTTAGTATTACTGATAATACTAACATAGTGAAAAAAAACATCACGGGACACCGTTCTAGCTATAAGTCATTCTAAGCGACGTAAGTCAAGGAGTATTTCCAAAATCATAGGCAGATTTCAAGTTTCCTACATGCAATTACACCTAATTGACGGCTGTTCTATTAGTGGTTACATCGTCCTACGAAAAATCCTTAACTGCAAATACTATGACATTAATACTAATTCTCAATCGATTCATGAGAAGGCAAAGATGGATTTTGTGTATACGATCAGCTTGGACACACTTTCGGCAAATACTTATTAAGAATTGCTCCATTGGCAATCGTGGCCAGTGCCAGACAGAACTGAGGGCTAGGACAAACGCAATATACGTATGGTTTGAATAAGTCAACTTTCTACTAAAAGCGAAGTTTTGCATTGGGATCAAAATTAACGGACTGTAATTTAGTCATGTAATCTATGTTATGATACTATGATAAAACACATTATTATTGCTACTATTATTATTATGTTGTTGATAAGTGTACGTATCTACTATCGACCCTCTAATGAAAAATGAAAATATATCTGGGATAAAAAAATCCAATAAACATATAGTTCTTGTGATGTTTTAAAATTTTCATGACTAAAAAAATCTTGTATTTTTTTTTTACTCATTTACATCGTTTACTACGCGTTTAATGTTCGAATTGGAAATTAGATGAAAGCATTAGGAGATACAGTTCACTTTGTGGATATGCACTTGAAAATACGGAGTGTCCCTCTTCAAATGATATAACGTCGTTTAATACCTATCTCTTACAAGCAATTTAAATTCCATGGAGTTGTAAATGGAGTGGTGTTGAGTTCTACAGCCTTAAAACAGCTCTCAAAGACGACGATATTAAAGCGTTCAATGGCAGACCAAGTAAAAAAGTTGCCCAGTTCAATAAATAGATCATTATATCGGGTTTCTTTAAGCAGATCAGCGCAAAAGAGCAATTTTAACGGAGTCTTGCTTTTTCGATATCTAGTACTAGTGATGATCCAGGTGTACTAGGTTCGGCTGAAAAAGCCATATGGTATACTGTAGTAATGCTCTGCTTTTCTTCGTATGTGACTTGAGGAAAAATGCAATGCTTCATAAGTTGGCTTGCGAGAACATAATTGCGACAAAGAGTGTGTAAAATTTCGATAAAAGTGAAAATAAAAGATATGGACTATATAAGCAGAAGAACTAGCATTAATATAAGCCTGCTCGGTGGCATTGGACGCATTTTAAACGTTGTAAGTATTCGACGTGAAACGTGTTCACGTCTCTGCTATATGTAAACAATGTGACGCCTACACACAACCCGAGCGCGTCAACGAGCGTCTTATCTGGCATCAATGAGTGTTTAGCTATCCTACGAAACTGTTCACAACGTTTCTGCCGAAAGCGCAGTAAACCAGCTCATTGTTTTCAACATACAAAATATTGTTAACATGAAAAAGACTGTACTTGCGAGTTTGTTTTACAATTTGTAACTAGAAATTGGTACTTTACATAGTTAGTGGGCATGCACACTCAGCTTGTAGTGCAGTATCGTTCCCAGTCCTTCGTTCAATTATTTTGTCTTTGTGATGTTATAAATCATACGTTAGCTCCTTGAGAATCTTTTTTATATACGTGTATACATTTGCTTACGAAGAATTGCGTAAACATGACTCGTCGTATAATCTCAGCGGTTAGCAGAAGTAGATGTTAAAGGAACGAAACGACTTTTTGATACGATTTTTCGTGAAATGCACGACACTTAAAGGAGGTGTAAAGCGATGGTTTGGTTGGAAAAAGGAGAATTTCGAAAAATTTTACTGCTATGTTATAGCTATCTACCGGATTTCCTGCATACTTATGAACATGACAGTAGCTAGCCAGTTTACTTTTGCCTGAACAAATCTGCGCCCGTTAAACTAAGCTTTAAATCAATTTATTCTATCTATATCGTTTGCGTCAAAATGAATGCAAAACAGATCACCTTCATAACACCTAATAAGCGATGGAACGAGTCAAGCATTGAAATGGGTATTGGCCTGTATTTAACAACTGAGTAACTATGCCAATTTATAAAAAAAAAAAAAAAAAAACATGTGATAAGTGCTTTTTGACATGATGTTTCTTTGAAAATTTATAATTGCTATCGCTGCGCTACAACTATACGTTTGCTCTATCAATGGTGATTTCGATCGCTGTTTCAGCGTTTTTTTTTTATGGTTAAGACGTGTCACAAGTAAAGCGTACTCTATTTCAGCATTCACGCGTTTCTATACAAGTGAATGCCCATGCATTACGTAATTTCTGTAGTATCAATAAACAGAACAGCATAAATTCTCAGTTTACGGCACATAGGCAATAGTAATTTACTCAACGTGTTTCGTTTCCCCAGTCCCGATTCCTCTTGAAATGGCCGCAGCCGTTGTGGCTACAACACTAGACAGTTTTATTTTGAAGATACAGCAGCTACTGTTGTTGCCCGTGAAGGCTAGGGTGTCACTTATAGTCATTATCATAATAATTCATGTTATTATGAAGCTGCTTCGTGTATTTTGTTCACATTTTTCTAAATAGATTCGTAACATCTACTTAACTAAATACAAAAAGGTTATTTTGTGCTGGCATAGAACCAAATTTCACGACACTTTCCAAATGAAGTACCTCCTACGAGCGCCTTTATTGATCGAGCTCTTGCAATCAACCGCAGAAGCAGTACATCTGGCTCGTGTGCAGTTGATTCTTATGTCGGCTTTTATTAAACAGCTCAAAACAACAGATTAGATGTTCACCGCTTACGGTCTTCTCGGTTAGCTTAAAATGAAAAATCAGACAATCGTTCTTATCTACTGTCCGTTCTCATACTAAATTTATAGAAGAAAATAACGGTGGTAGCAATACTGCCCCAGAAAATCCAATGTAGCTGTGCTTTCTGCAAGAGAACTTGCGACATAAAATGGGAGAGCTAACTCCATCGGTGCATGTTGACCATCGAGAACTGTCACCGGGAGTCCGGTGAGGACCTAGGCCTCGCACAGCCGTGAACTCAGGGAAACTTTCAGGTCAAGGCGTCGTCGGTTGCCGATGCAGTGGCAGAAATACTTGTTATGAAAGGGGAACGAGAAAACCTCTGCTGAGTTACCTGGTGAACCCGGGTGGTCGAGGGCATCGAGGGCGTCGGAGTGTGCGGAAAAGACAGAAGTACAGGGGCTCATAGGGTGGCGATGGTGGCTCTGTTTGCCGCCGGTCCAAGGGGTCTGCTTTGGTGGAGACTAAGTAGCTGACTCGTGCTTCCTCTTTGCGCCGACAAGCACTGGGGACGCCCAGTTCGCAGGTATTGGCGGGAAGGATCTATATTTGACCTGGCTATTCCTGACACCTCTCGGTACATATCCGATGCTCTGCTACAGGTCAACCTCCGCTTGCTCTCTCTGTCTTCAAGTTATCTTGTTTTCTACATTGAAGCGATGTGGTGATAGGTGGTGCTCGGTAGTAGTGAAGTCGTACAACAAACACTCCAGCCAACCCTGAAGAATAGGACAGCTTGTACAGTGTTCGCATATACTGACAAAGAGTCACATATGCACTTGCTACGGCAGGAGTGCGAACAATATATGTCTATGCATGCACTTAGTCGTCCTCAGATGTAAAAAGAATGATATGGAGAAACGCGAAAGTCCTCGATTCGTTGCGGATGTCCGTGCTTTACTGATTTTACTCGTGTATGTAGTTTGGTCATAGGACTTATAGCGTGCGGTTGCAGAGTCTCAATATAAATCTAGAATAGAGATAGTGGAAACAAGTAAAAGGCAGCTTCCTAATTGATAGCGATGCAGACATGTGTAAAAACAAGAAAAAGACGTATTCGATTAAGCCGCTCACAACTTGGACCGGTTTTGAAAAGTAATTATTTTTGGATTCAGTGCAAACGGTGATTTGCAAGGAAGAGTAATTAATAAAATCAAAAAGTTATTACACAAAATGAGTGGTTGAATCTTGCTTGAAATGAAGAATTGCGTGCTTATTATAATAACTTAATTCTCTGAAAAACAAAGTCGAGACGGGGTCGATTAGTTTATATTTCAAAAACGTAATCAAAGCGGCCTTTTTCTTAACCGAATTTCACACCTAATAATCTAAATTGTATCCTAACTACTAGAGCTGAAATCTGCTTTGTTGAATAAGTTGCTTCTAAGATCCGTACGGCCTTCCTATATCAAGTGTTTGACAGAGAACTATATTTAAAGCAGCCGTTAAAAAGTTTGCCTTGAGTTAAACACGCATTACTTTACAAGTGAGGTGAAATTTCGAAATACGAAAAAAAACTTCAGTCATCTGAACACCGTCCAATGTCAATTGTTTTTATTTGATCGACCTTTACGCAACAAAGAGACCTAATTTTTGCTTCTGTGAAAAGTATTGTCTCTATGAAATTAATCACTCCGGTACGATTATTTGCTTGTTGTTATATTAGCACACAATATCATTGTTGATCTGTTCTTCAGAGTCAAACACAGCGACATAACCGGCAACCATAGCTTACACATACAACGAGTTGGATCTGTTTGTGACCGGCTCGTTCCAATCGATGAAAACGACATTAAATATTGATAGAAAATACAGCAAGTAAAAAGCATCTATTTTTTTCATACACGTATGACTGGTTGCGTTCTAGTAAATACATTAACATTGGTCCGTGTCACATTTAAAACGGAATGAGCCCCGTTTTTGTGTGAACGAATTACCAGGGGAAAGTTCGGCGGCTATGCAATTTGCCAAAGTTCACCGTTTTATATTCCGCTGAAGTGTAATCCTCGACAAAGTCAATAGATTATTGTGTACACGTTATGTGGATATTTAGAAAAAGGAAATTGAATATGTACACTAGATTTGACGCACAAATATTCGCTATAAATACATAAACATCCATGTTGTCTATACTACTTCCTGGGTGTATGTATAATGTTTATATGAATAAGTAAACTTAGAGGCAATGTAAAAGTATGTTGGAAATACAATTTCTATATAGATATATAGAGTGTGGAATGCAATACGCCAGACAAAAATGAATATCTGTGACATTTACGTAGACTGCGCATGTTCATACGGTTATATATGCTCAAATATTACCCTATTTTGTAAGCCTCTGTATCTGTTGCTTGGCATGTACTTAGTTATTCTGTTCTGTGTGTTCCCCAAACATATTAGGAAGTTGTGTGAGAAGTTCACATCCAGACATTTTTACGCTATACAGGCTGCTCTCACATACTCATTCACTTAACCTTCCTCCATGCTCTTATATAAAAACATATTTAATATTGTGTGATAGTTAATGTAATAAATATAACACTAAACATTTATGTGTCTTTTTTTTACTACACGCTATAAAAACGTATTAGAGAGAAAATGTTTCGAGTTTTTTTGATCATACACGTTCGAGATTGGAGGTCGTATTGGATTTAGCTCAATGAATGGTTTATACTCGCGCAATCAGCAGGAAGTCATAATTATTCCTCAGGGACATATAACGAAGATTCTGCTATTGCTTTAAAATAATTATTGATGTTATCTTGAAGTCGGTCTTCCTTTGCTAGACTAAGCTACTGCTATTAGTAGTGGTAATATCAGAAGTCATATAACAAAACGCTGGTATATTAGCGTTTTGTTATATGACTTCTGATATTATTATTATGTAGAGTCTTCGGTCTGCGTAAACCGCCGATGTTCCGTTAGGGCATACGGGGTCCAGTCTAGTCCCCCTTTAAAATGTTCTCCATTCAGTTTCGTATGCGCCCAACGCTGAATCTCGAAAGATGAAATCACTTCACGTTTTACCTGAGTAAATTTTAGGTTGGAAACGATTTTGAGCGTAAGTATCCGTAAAGACGTGCTTTATCTTTTTTTTTTTCTACTTATATGCAACTTAGGGAAAACATAACTGGCCATGAGACTTCAAGAGGCAAGCGTCGGGCGCATACATCTATATATTATCAATTTATAGTTAGAATAGCGATTTCTATATAAGTCGACATATAGGTGATTTTACTTCTTCGCTGGCTTTATAGTTGTCGACGCAGTGCTACCGTTTCTTGCCAAAGGAGCATTACAAAAGATTTTCCCAGCTTCTCTTGGCTAGTGTGGCGTTCTTTGCGCTTTGAGTAGATAAAATACTCAACGTACGAGTCATGCTTTTCGGCCTATTTCGATCTTTCCTGCTCACGTTTGCGGCGTCGATTAAGTAGAAGTGTTGTAAAAGTGTTATTCTTGGTTCCACTTTATCGTCATCGACGGCCTGCGACTTACTTGGCTCTGAGCAATTAAACTAGTCGATAATGTCGTTACTGCCTATCGGGAGTGTAGGTCCAACATTATTACTACGATTACTCTGGAGAACAGAAATTAACAAGTGCCCACCAAATGCTACTATCGCGGGGGTAACATTTGGTTTACTATGATGGTTAGAACTGCACGACGACGCTTGACGCTAACCGATGATATAATACGCAGCTGTTTATTCTACGATCTGATTCCTCTACTAGCACAACACGGTGATGATGATATCGTACGAATAAAAACAATAAACATATGTGCACGTTCTTTTCGTCATTGTTGGTGGTAAATGCGGCATAACGCTATAAGGCTAGATTACTCTACCGTTCGCTAGAGGGCGTCCTCTTCAAGGTTGTCACTGCACAATTTGGCGCCACTCGGATACACTGAACATTTATAACGCTGCTCTTGTTCGATATCGGAATTGGAGTTGACCCCAGTGATATAAACATGTCTGTAGACGTTTAAGAAGCAATAAAACATACACGCAATCAATAGTTTGCGTCAAAAGCGGGTCATCTATTGGGATGGACGCGAGATGATTCACTCGATACGGTCAGTTTTTTTTTATACTAATCTAAGTAATCGGATAAGTGTTCTCGTGGGTGCTGATCGTTAGTCAAAGCGATTGTCAAAGCGTCTTCTTTCGATAGAGCTCACGACAGAGATGTCCACAAACATCTTGCGGAACATCGAACGCCTTTTCATATACCTTCTTAATGAAGACATCCAGCAATCAAACTGGAGTCCAGTAATGTAGTGTAATGTTGATATATATTAACGTATTAAAAACGCGAACACTAATTATGCTGTGTTACCTAGTACAGATTCAAGATTAACTCGTGTTTTGATATATACGTACGAGATTTATAATCGCATTTTCTTGAGACCTAATCAGACCATTTGACATTGTTCTGATTTTAGGTAGGCCCCGGTCTTTCACAAGCAGGGCAAAAATACCACCAACAAGGCTTCTGTGCACTCCATTTTTGTGACACATAGCCGCTGGTAGGTTTCAATGACTTCCATAGATCTAACTTGGCCATCGATCGATCAATATACATTTTTTTAGGCTGATTCACGTCTATTAGGACATATAAAAACTATTGACGTTTTTGTCAAATTTGATTGTTGCTGCTTGTTCCATTCATTTTTTTTTTTTTTAGTCTGATTAGCTTTTGTGGAGATCGTGTCTTCCCCTTACAAATGGAAAAATGCGACATTCACGTGGACTCCTACATGGTACTGCTGCTACTACTTTGTCTTTAAAAGACAAGTATTACACTGATCTTTCAGGCCTTTTTTCACATCCTTAATCCGAGTTATTTAACAAAAGTACTTTGTCTGATAAGTATTTTTGTTTTACACATTTTTGTTTAACTGGGACGCAAAATTATTGCCTTAACTGCAATCTGTAATTCTTTAAGACGTATTACCGGTAAGACCATCACCGTGAGCCGCTTCTCGCTTTGATTACTTTCAGCGTAGCTGCTGGTGATCCTAAGAAGATTAGGGCATGAAGAGCCTTTATAAAAAGTGTATGACCTCTCAGGCAAGTCGCAGACATGCGACCTGAACAGAGCCCTTTTAAAGGAACCGGATATGTTTAAATTATTGCAGTAGTACCCAATGACCGAGTTGGACACATGAAATTGCGTAAGTTGTACTTCAAACTACTGAAGCCTCTTTTTGCCTAGCAGAATGATTCTAAATACGTTTAAAGGTCATTGTTTATTAGTCAAGTGTGCTGAAGAGGTAAATTATCATGCTTGGCATAGCAAGCTGTGTAAAAGACCTTGTCCACCAGAGAACTCGGAGCAAATTCAGGTTGATGAAGGGGCATTGGTGATAGTTTTGAACTCACAGACCCGCTAACATCTGCTATCCCGTCTTGGTATCGGGGAATCAGCTCTGTCAATAAAAATCGGCTCTCCTGAGAGACCATTCAAATTTGTCTGAACAGGGTCATACCCGCCCTTACTTTTGCATTGTGCCATCTTGTAGAATAGGACAACGAATACTACAATGAGTGGAACGGATGCTAGCGCGGTGATGCCATAGACTTCAGTGCTCTGCAAAAATGGATGAGTGGAATTGCTGGCGCCATCTAAACGATATTCGCCAACAGGATCTCCAGCGTTGGCGACAGGTTGATTAAATTTCAACACTTGTAGCTGTTTATTCGAGCCTCGCTCTCTGTTTGTAACTCCAACTCGCAACGAGTTTGTTCGTGGAGATTTCGTGATCTGGGAATCTTCAGCCGATTGCTTTTCAGAGGCGAACGCTGAAATCTTATTTTCGTTTTTTGAGATGTCGATAATGTTGTTCAGATAACTTGAGACCGTTGTTTGGGATGGTACGCTAACGGCTGTTGTTGTAATTGTTGTGGTCGTAGGTTTGTTTGTTGAGACTGGCTTTTTTGTTGACCGATGCGTCGTAATTGTAGACATGTTCATTTTTGTTATCGGAGCTGCGGTTGTAGGCTCCATAAACTGGTTAGACCATTGTGTAGTTGTGGTCATGGAACTTATCAGTTTTGGAATTGTTCTGTCGATAATTGGCTTGTTATATTTTGATTTTTCATCGGCGGCTACACTTTCGGGTATTTCTGCGAAATGCGGTTCCTCTATCGTCGTCGATGTCACCGTTGTCGTCTCTCTGAAATTGTCGAAGCCTTGCTCTGTCAAATCATCAGCCTGGGAGATTCTGAGCAGTGGGTTTTCTGTATCTTGGTCCTCATCGTATTCAAGCGTAGTGGGCATTTGTTCTTCAAAGTTGTCGCGACCACACTCTCTATTATTAAGTCTAACATTGCGAATGATGAACCCAGCGCACGCTTCAGAGGTACTGTTTTCAACAATACCATCGATCGTATGGTGGTTGATGGAATTCAGGTGACGGCACAAGTGGAGCTCGCCACCGTCTGCTCTTGTCGGTCTTAATGTACCACTCACAATGAGTTTTTGCCTATCGGTAGTCTCGTCAAAGTTAATCTGGCGAAGAGCGGTAGCTGGCAGTGCAAGCACCTCCGAGATACACATAATCGAGTTCAGCCGATATCTAAAAAGTAGTGCATGGCTATTAAGGGTTAGAGTATGATGATTCAATTCAATATCCACGCGCTGATCAGCCTGAGATATCTGCGCCTGTGTGACCTGTAGGCGAATTTTCGTGCGATAATCATCATACACTGATGAAATATCGGTGGCAATTGTTACTGGTCCGTTAAGATTAACAAATAGCCCAGACAAAAACATGATACCCGATGATGATAACTGAAGTTGAACTGGCAGGTCGTGACTTATTAATCTTGACGAATTGAATTCAGAGGTAGTTTCAAGTTTGAGGAAATCCAAACTTACATTAAAAAATCGACCTTCCTCGACCACAATGGTCGGAATTACATAGGCCATTAAAGGAAAGTTTTTTTCTCCACATTTAAATGTGCCTGGCAGGTTCATCTTCCATGTAAGCCATTTGCCCCCTTGGAAATTAGCCTTTCGACATCGAAGTTTTTTGTCTATCTCTTTACCATATTCAATGTGAATTTCTTCATTTCGGCGGGCACTGGGTCTAACACGGGAAATGCTTATACTAGTGACATTATTGAGTCTATTGGGATCTCTTACGAATAGCGAAGGCTCGATCCGTTCCTGGTAAATAATCTTAGGATAGCTATCATCTTCGTCTGAAACGTTCGCCATTGCCACTGCGATCGAGACCCATAGAACGAGCTCTTGGAAGCCATTGAACGCTATGGCGCGTGGCAGATACATTTGTCAATCACGAAAACACTGGTCAGTAGTTAAAGTTACTCGATAACTAACCCACGCGATAAGTTTAAGCTCCTATCCAGCGCGGAGAAATTGGTCGCTAGCGTTGATTAATGTAGACACGAGTAATTTTTGGTTTAGAACACTGCCTAGATACGATATAGAGAGCGACACAACAGGGAACACGAAAGTATCTTGGACGCACTGGAAGCGTATGAAGTGTGTACTTTCCTGTTCCTGAACTACATGTCAATATGAAGTCTTTCTACTTCATGCTAAACGAGAATTGTTTTAATGAGGATCCTTTGCAACACTTTTGGCATAGCGCCACCAGTGAGAATGTCACAGCACAAAATTCGCCCCCCAAACACCCAAAATCGACCACTATGGCAATATCACTTCCTCAGTTACAACCTGTGAACATATTGACATCAATAATAGAGCAACTATATGTTGCTGGACACTTGTTAAGTTTCCACTGTACCAATAATCCAGTTTCTCCAGGAATCAGCAGCGCTTTAACTTCTGTCGGAGAGAATCGCACGCTCAGCTTACCCTTCCGGTTTCCTTTGAGTTTCGTTTGCTGCTCCGATCTTTTGCGACTTTTGAATTTGCCTTAGTTAGTCCTCGTCGAAATGCATGCCGTTATATTGATATGCCACTTTGACTCTTGGTCTGCTTGTTCGGTGCCGATAAACCGCTGAAAAAGGGCGCCTAAGTGGCCGGCACGCAGACTCGCTGAGAGGTTTTCCAGCCGCACCGATGGGGTCGCTGGACAGTGCCGTTGATGCTAATGGTGATGTTAATAGCGGTAGTTAAAGGGAAACCGTGAGCCTTTGCGCCAATGCCTGCCTTTATCAACTGTTGGGATACCGGCGGCCGGCGAGTGGCGACCGCTACGAAAACAGTGGCGACGTTGGCAGTACTGGCTGCGGTGCGGCGCGACGTTCGAGCTGGAGAGTGCCGGCTGCAGCGGCAATGATCGGTGATTGCTAGCAACGCCGTTACTACTATTGTTGCTACTAGTACGACGACGATGACGAAAACTGTCTACTTTACGGCGGACACACGAATGATCAACAGTATCACCATCGCCACCTCAAATAACAACAACGGCAATGACGACGGAATCGACCTTTTGTCGGGAGCGAGGACTACTGCCCGCACGCTACTATTGCTCCCATAGGTCGTACGATTGCTGAGAATACCAGTACAGCCGCCGCTTTTGTGGCCTACCGCCGCGTCGGAGGTCTCCCGGCACCTGTCTGATGAAATGACACCCAAGCGCGAATGCGAACACCGGCGCTGTGCTCTGCCGAATGGCTTCTGCACAAGATACTGGCAGCTGGAGGATGAGGAAGGTTCAAGGGATCGAGACACCCTTGACTCGATGGGCTGGCAGACTGGATGCTCGGCTGGTCGGCGACGCGATTCGACTGATGAGTGATTTACGCCACGCCAACTCACGACCGTCTCGCTTGTTGGGCGTAAATGCTAGTGGAAAAACGTACTAACGTAGATATACATATACGTTGTCCGGGAACGCATTTCGAGTAATAGAGCGAGAGGTTGAGACGGATGTAGGGCGATGGGGGTACCCGATGGCGACTACGACGCTGTTTTCGTCGTAGTCGTACCGGCGGCCTCGTTACTGGTGATCGCACCGCGACATTGAAACGATAGCATCAGCCGCTGCACACAAACAGCGCTAACAACAGGTTGTCTGCTGTTACCGCTGCTGACTTGTCTATGCTAAGTACCAAATGCTGTACGCAAATCAAGATTGATCACTACGGTGGCCGCATTGACGAAGAAGTAGCATACAAATACATATACGTCGTGTGTGTGAATCTGCATGCACCAATTTCGAGTGTGCACAGTTGTTAGCGCTCGCGTGTATAGACTCGCTTTATCTATGCAGTATGTATTTACCATTAGTAGTTGACCCTTGTGATCAATTAATCAACGCTCGGATAACCCTACCGTTTTCCGAAGGCCAAGTACTAGGTTTGATTGCGGCGTCCTATTTTTAGCTGAGATTACGTTTCACTCTGGCAGCTGCTGCTGCACTTTCGCAATCTTGTGCATGGGCAAAAATACGTCGTTGTCTTAACGATCGGTGCGGGCTTTTTCCGACAAAGACAGTTCACAGTGATCCACTAATCATCTACATATGTTTGGTTGTACCTAGCTACTAACTGAGCTGAGAACCAAAAGGTGGAAAAGCCCATCAGAACTATATTAAGCGTAGGGCAGAAGGTTGCCTATGTAAATCAGAGCTCGTTACCTGAGCAAGAACTTACAATAGTTAATTACGATATGCCACGATCCAAATTTTGGCGTAACGGGCTGACGAACTGTGGCGCCATTGAGTTGGATGGAATAAGGGAAAACACGTGGGTCAAGCAACGTATATCGTATCTGAAAGTCACATTGAGAAAACTATTTTTAGACCGGGTTCCCGGGTAGATCGTTTAATATACTCAGTTATTGGTTGCAGATGTATGCGTTAAAACAGTTGACATTGACGTACTCTACGTTCGGTCTTTAGAAGCATAGTGAAAATAGCGTCTGCTTTGCATGTTTTTATGGATCACTCCTCTAATAATGACTCTTTATTAGTTTTTGTGAGAACATCTACGAAAACATGACATAATAATAGGAGTGGACTGGATTATTTAGAATAAATAATAGTATAAACAACTGTTCGTCAAACCTGGCAGTATTACATAGCCATAGGAAAGGGATAGAACTGCCGGCTGTTTGGCATCAGAAGGGCCAAAGCCAAGTTCTTACGAATAGAAAGCTTAAGTGCAAATAACGCCGACATTGAAACTCAATAGTGATTCCCAGAATCGCCGATGGGACATCTCAAGTACATGGTACATCTCTCGAACTATACTACAAATGATGCTGGACGGAGGACAACTTTTTCAACAACCCTATATATGACGTAGAAATATATGTGCTATTCGATAGATGAAATTTAATGCTGTGACAATTTGACATCTCCTGTCGACGAGAGATAATCCCTTATTTTCACAGAAGACATCCATTGTGTTTTCCTAAATCCGCTAATATAAATGTTAGGTTGCAGAAGTTCCGGACAGTAAATAATGGCAACACCAGTGAAAGAGCACGCGTCAACTCGAATAATGGGGTTCGTCGTAAAATGATAAATCTAGTTAATGGAGAAAATGTACTATTTTACGATATGGGATGACTGACCCGTACAATCAAATAAAATGGCATCTCGTATAATTTTAGGTAGTAGGCATTTTAAAAACAAATTGTAAAATATGTCAATTTTTCAATCCAAATCAAATAGCGTAAATTGTATGCAGATTGTTGTAAATCATGTAACGCAAATGATGGAGCTGAAATACTGTACAATGACACTTTCTAATTCGACTCTACATGCTTACCTCATCGTTTACCATAATGTTTACCTGAAAAATGCTTGGGGCAGCTTGGTTACGTGCGCGTGTATTTAAGCAATTAACAAAATAGTCTCGAAACAATGATGCACACATCCTTTTCTATCCATGTGCCCCGATATACTCTACGTCTAGTGACAAAAGTATTCCGCTCATTTTTGGACATTTTCCATATTTAGGTGTTACTAAAGCGACATTGTGTAAATGTTTTTACAGTAAAATATCTCGATTTTAGCATTATCATATTGTTTGCATCGATGTATCACTTTCGGCTATTGCAGCCATTATGATTTGGTCCGAAGCTACGAGAAAGCTACATTTTTGCGGTAACAGCAGAATCTCTCATCGCCTGACGTAAGACGGACTAACTGACGTTAAAGTCAGGATTCCGCCGCCCGCAGTATACACTACGAGTGGTCTGTGAATGTGGGAGTGTGCAAAAACGACCGTGAAATTTCTAGCCATCGGCTAGATCCGATGCGCAACGGACGCGTTGCGTCGTTTCTGTCGCGGTATGGCGACGCTTTGTTGTCTTAATCTACGTCTGACTATTTTAATGCAGCGGAAAGGGCTTGTCGTATGTCTAAGTAAAAGCTGCTTAGCCAAGGTGAGATTTCCTGCCTACTGCACTCACAACGTACCAACTACAGATACTTGACCACAAGTAGAATTTGCCCGCCAACATGAGTCATGTTTCGATTCGAAGTTTCATGTGGTTATCTAAATTACGACAACAATAACAACAGCTAAAGGGTAAAACGAATCATCTAAATTCAGCCATTCAATCGAAGGCATCTGCAATGAGACCAGTATTTGAATTGTACCGGGAAGCAATTATAACAATATGGCTTCCGAAGGTGTTCTAACTAATGCCGTCTTATTTCAATTGATTCCATTGCCGAATTTCGAAAATGCATCTTACATTATCAAAATAACAATTTTTTTAACCCCGCAGGTTAGAGATAGTGATCTTAGTTAACTGTTGTCTGTTCTAAGTAGAAGTAGCGCACAAATACGAATATTGCAAATCTATCAGTCTGTTAACAGGAGCCCATGGGTGTGACGAATCCAGAGAAATAAAATCGAAGGGTTTTATTCTATTTCTGTAAGAAATAGGTCCATCCGTTCGTACATCGCCTTTTCGTCGACGGTGCAACGTTCTTAGTCAATTCTGGCTGACTTCTGAACGGCTGCCAAGGCAAATAGATCGTAAATTTTGCTGAATTCATTGCTGTACACTCATGACACACGTTTATTCACTACAGAGGTTAGAATAGGGCGTAGAGCCGATGCGACCAATTGGACGAAAATGATGAGACGACATTCAAATGTTCGCTCGTCAAACATATATGGATATTTGTATATACATATGAAAAACGGTGTATGTTTAACTACGTTAGAGGATCGTCATACGTTTCGGTTTTCGTATGCGACTCCTTTGCTGCGTTGGAAAAGTGTTGCAGGCAAAAAAATTGCCGAAGCTCTAAATTTTGTAGGTCCTATTTTGCTCTATTATCTAATCCAACTTCACCGATGCAATCACGCTACTGTCATTAAATCAGGTTGGTGGTTTATATTTAGAACTACTAAGCTTTATGCTTTAGATATAATTTTCCTTGCCATAGATACGTAGTTTATCAAAAGTTCTTTCCTCATCTATTGGCTACCAACAGGCACATGTTTATAGTCGAGGTCAGTGTCTCCTATTGCTTCTAGTTCAAGCAAGAAATAATTTACCGTTAAGCCCGATCGTGCGTTCGGACGGTTTCTGCGTGTTGTGCGGTCACGTCTTAGCGCTACAGCGCGTAAACTTTTATTGCCTGTCACTTGCAATATATCGTTGCGGTTCGTCTTTTCAGTAATTAAGTGAGAACTCTAGGGATGGTCCCCAGCGTGATTGATAGTCAAGATTAACTGTAAAAACGAATGGTTTCAACGTGTAACGAGGTCCTAGGATAAGCTTTAGGCATTACCTGTATTATTTTCGAACGCAGACCAATCACTGTCTGATCTAATAGACAGAGTAGAATTCCGTGTCTACCAAATATATTCAACATGTTTGGAATTTAGATATGCATGTTTTGTAATTGTCACTGGTTTCAAGAAAGTGTGAGTAAATCAATTTTATGACCCCATGAACCATAAGACGCTTAAGAAGCGTACGCGTTGTGATATACGCGTTCTTAAATGTGCTCCCTTAATGTCGGCGTCACTTCTGTTTGTGATCAGAATAGATCTTTTAGCTTACACTGGCTTTGATGTACTAAAACTACGTTGTTTACTATCGTTGTTTACTATCAGATTTTTCAATAGCAACACAATAAAGACAGCGTCCTTTTTATATGCATAAAGCGTATGGACGAAGAAAGTCAATGGGATGAAACGTCTTTCGACAAAGTTCAAGTATA